CAAAAATAGAGCCAACGGTCCAGAAATTCCTGATCACCTCGCGTAAATGCTATCTAGGGGTCATTTAAATGCGAAATTGTAGCCAAATATCATCAAAAACTGCTATTTCAGCAAAAACATTAAAGGATCCGTACCTATTAGTCTACCTATAAGAACTTATTGAAAGAGGTAAAATGGAATTCCAGAATTATTTTCATGCAATTTGAATCTTTATTAAGTATATTTTCAACAAACCGCTAAAATAGTGTGAAAAATATGGTAAAAAGGTGTTTTTAACAGTGATTCTTAAGACATGTCATGTTGACTCTTCAAATGAGTAATTTTGACATATTTTCACAGGACCTTGATTAAAATCTTGAGTTTTGTAGATAGACTTAATTTCACTTGTCAATATAAAAACTACAATGTGTCCTAATCTACTAAGCTTCATTTCATTTCATGACCTTCTCCATTCGTTGACATATTGAGGTACTTCCACAAGCCAGGCTCCCTCTGAATTTACCTTTATTGTTTAGTATTAACACTATTTCATAATTCAAACATGAAATAAGAAAGTATCCTAAGTGTGGAAGATACACAATATGAAAGCATAGCAAAAATTTTAGTTTCAAAAAGGAGGCCATATTGAAATTGCCATTATAGTCAAGAATCCATTCTGCCTTGAATGTATTGCTTAAGGTAGGAGGTGCAACATAGAACCTTCTACAGAAAATAGAAAATATTTGGTAGACATTCTGGACTGAACCTTCCAACAAACTCTGTCATTTAGAATATCGATTGTGTCAACGTATCACGCCACAGAGACATCCAACCCGGGTTCCCATAGATAATTCTGATTAAATTTTCAATGATAACAAGAGAAAGAAAACATGTGTCATTTGCAATTAAGCATTGCCAATTAAATCACAGGTAACTTAAAATATGTTTTTCAAAAATCTGTTCATGGGGTATACATCGATTGAAGAATGGTCAACATACTTAAAATGATCATGAATGAAGACTAACATACCCCTAAAATGATATTTAGAATGATTTGTATCTATGCCAAACTTAAGTGCACTGAATGACCTTAGATTTAATCCAAATGACCTTATTTCATTTTTATGTGTTAATAATTGATAAAAGTAACTATTTCCATATCATTTTCAATGAAACCTTAGGGGGCTTCAGGTACATTAGGTAACAGATCCTTTGTTCATGAAAATATTAATTCCCTCTTTTATGCCTCCGCCCAGAATATGTTTCACACTAATAAACTTCAATTCTGGGCGGTTTTGAGTAGTTTTAATAAATTCTCGACACTTTTATATGTGACTACTACAGGCATGGTCACTCACTGTTTGTTCTCTCTGTCAGGGCCAGGATTGTTTAGGGTATACCATGGTGAAATGGCGAGGGAAATGTGAAATCGAATGGCAACAAGTCTGCTGGTCTCTGAGCCAGGCTCGTCATCTGTCAATATGTATACCCGATATACCAACAGTTAGGTTGTCGCTTTAACACAGAGACTGCCTTTGCAATGTCTTTTTGAACATGGGAACCAATACTCTGTTCTGCACAAATGAAAAAGTTATCGGCCATTGTAGCAAAAGATCAATCTTTCAAAAGTTTTTATGAATAGAAAATAATTACTATACATTACATACATATATATATATAATGTATGTATATATCGATTGGCCTATTTCGTTCATATTTTAATGAAACTGGGATTTAATTAGAGAGATACTAACCTACAATGGATGAGATAATGAGAACGCACACTAACACTTTAATGAACATCTTGAATTATTGGGTGTACTTGTTCCTTGACGATTTTAATCTGAAATTTTAAAATAAACAAGATTGCTTATCAATATGCATAAATGAAGTAATCAATGATTTCACATGACGTATTCAAATAAAAAACAACCCTTGTCAAAATTAAATGCATATTTTTTGCATTATTGTGCAAAACAAAAAAGTAATTATCTAAGTCAATCCCGTGTCACGACCTACCATTAGGTAGTATCTCGTTCATTTGCTATGAAAAAATCCATTACATAAAGTATACCTTTCTTGACTAAAGTACAAAAAGATTGGCTCTATAAATCTAGGAATATATCCGTCGATCCACATTGCAGATCACAAATATTTTCTTTCAAACATATTACAAATATTCCAATAAAGATGCCATGTAGTGATTCTTTCGATTTCATCATGAACCCCCTTCTTAAAGTCCCCGATAAATCGGGCTACGTATACCGCCGTGTTTACATTAGGGGATTAGAAGAGTTTATTTTTTATTTAGGTATGCAAGCTACGTATATCAATATTAGGCCTTCATTCATGTACTCGTGTGCATGTAATCAGCATGCCCTTCAATATTATGTAAACCAGGCTATTCAAGTACTGTATAATGTACACTATTTATGTGTGTACTACATACAATACAATTCCCTGGGAAACAAAACACAAATACTTTTTATATGTTCAAAATGAGCCATTTGATTGACGCAAACACTAAATAGCTTCATAAATAACATCTACAAAGTATATCTAATAGTAATTTTCAATTTCAATGGTGAAACTTCCCTGGTTACAATTATATGGGAAATCATCACGAGACGAAGATCGTTCGCCTTCCTGGTTTACCTCTGAATCGTGTACCTGGTAATCTCTTTATATAGTTTAGCGAGAGCGGTGCGCCTGCGCAGTTTTAAACTTTGGCGCACACTTTATACACACTATTGAATATTAATATTATATATTGTTTAAGAAATTTATTTAAATTATTTCTTTTAGTTAGCTTGAAAACATGTACATAAGTTGATATGTAATTACAAATAAATATTATTCATAAAACTAGCTTACATTCTAGTTTCTACATTTCACTTTATATATGCAACTTACCTTTTTCTGTGATCGTGTGCGGGGCTTTGAATTTACATTCATATTTATTGGCCACAGTATGGTGTACGTGTAGTTACAGGCATCAATGACACTACGTACATGTTGATACACATATTCACATGGGGACATACGTGAAGACTTCAAGAGACAGAAAACGTCGACAAACTAAAATAAAAGTTGTTTGTAGGAAAGCAGATGTAACTCTACGTCTGAAAACAGCCCCCCTTTCCACAGCTGTCGTTTCATCGTTCCCAATCAAAATGTTACAATTATGCGAAAAGTAATAACAATACCTTTTATCTGTCATATATTTAGATTGATAAGTCATCCTAAAGTGAAAGATCAGTTGCTTTGATAAACATTGTACAGTAGTTTTTTTTATTTCGTGTGGGTTGGATGTATATACCGTCCATTTTGAGAATTGTTTCGTTTTTAAACTTATATTGCCTCTTATGATTTCTGGTATCTCTGACTGTACCTTGGCATTGCAACAAAGTGAACTTCAACCATTTATTTTTCTCATAAAAAATTATACCTAACATAACGATTGTTGTAACTTGTTTTATAGTTTGTTTTGTAAAATAATGGGTCCATTAATGTAAATATCTATTGACAATATCGCTAGTTTGTTAAATTAATATGTAGCATACATGACATGCGACATTATCAAAACATCTAGGTACATGAATGGATGCGAAGTATTGAAAATATAGAAACAGACAAAGCGTTGGTCGTGTTTAAATTATAGTAAAAATCAAGTAATATCATTAAGTGTGTACTTTTTTTTATTTTCTGGGGGAAGGGGAAATCGTATAGCAATGCAATAAGGTTAATAAAAACGACATATCCCATGTTATTTTCCAATAGGAAGAACTCCATGCAGTCCGTTGTTTTCAGGCTTCTGGTCACCAAAATTGGATATCTTCAGAATCAAGCTTGCTATAAAATTCTCTCTTTTAGTGGTTACTGACATAGTGTGGGAGAAACTTTTCATATAACTGACATGAGAAAAAAACGGGATCTTCTTTTTAAATGAGGAAATTTGAGGAAAAAAAATTGAGGAAAAACCGAGGCTACTAATCCATTATCAATCTATATAATCCAAATGACATTTTTATTATTTTTTGTGCTCAATTGAAGATAAATATTGTTCTAATGTAAAACGAGGAATGTGTGGTCTAACAAAACTCCAAAATAAAACTGTCAAAAATTGTTCGTGATACACTACTACGTGGTCCTTTAATTTTTTTAGCAAGAAATATTGTTGAACTATACAATAACACTGGTGATCCGCTCGATTACGCTGGTTACCGGAACAGTTTGTTTCTGTAACAAAATGTCGGAACGTCGAAGGTACGATTTTTCTTCTTTCCTTATTTCACGCATTGTAAGCAAAATCCACACGACATTTTTTCTCACAAATGCACAAACGTGTATAAGTTACATATGTTTTAGAAAATGTACATGTTTGCGCGAAAAATAGCTCAGAACACAACAGGATCGTCGATTTCATTCCTCACTTAAGTTACATAAACGATATGGGTTAAAAGTGCAGATCTTAACTGTTTTTCGAAATACCGTTTGTGTAACTTAAGTGAGGAATTAAATTGACGATTTTGTTGTCTTTTGGATTATTTGTTCGCAAATATGTACATTTTCTTAAATATATGATACTGATACACGTTTGTGATAAAAATTTCCTGGAAATTCTGCCTACAATGTGTGAAAAAAACGAAAAACGAAAATCGTACCTTCGATGTTCCGACATTTTGTTACCGAAACGGTTCGTTTTGGTAACCAGCGTAATCGAGTAGTGGATCACCAGTGAATAAGGACTAGGGATCAACTAAAACGAATACCTTATGTAATTGTTTCGACATGGCTGGCATGGGCAATTTATGTCTGATGTGAAATCACATTTTGAAACAAAAACGTTTAGTTTTAATGTATAGTTCTGAGCTTCGATTTTAATTTAAAAAAAGGTTTTGTCAATGTTTTTAGATGGCGCAATTGTAGATTGCGCCATCTAAATTGCAATTGTTATGTTCTTTTGTTACAGGTTAGAAGTAGAGACTGGGTAACTTGGCAACTTTTTCAGATACTCATGATATTTATTACTGTTTTCAAAAACACAATTGACATTCAATACATGACGCTCTCAAGAGCATATTTGTTGGTTTTAACTGGACAGAAGTGGGCCATAAAAATGGAGTAAATAAAAACCTGAGAATGACACGTACCATGTCTGTTGGAAATTATTTTAAGTGTAAAGATATTAATACTTGGGAACAAGGACGTAGGTCACAAAAACACGAATTTGATACTAGGTTTTTGATACATAACTCGATAAGACAGGATGCGGCTTTTTGGAATAAGAACGTGATGTATTGATTTGGAGAATATAGTAACTGGATGGAATCCTTTTTGAGATCTACGACATGAACAAATATCAAGTACATTTGGCATTAGCAGTTTTGGGACGTTTCTTGGCAGATTTAAGTCTTTTCTTTTTGCCATTTTGTCCCGCTTTTTCAAGCTTGGTTAAATCTGTGAGGGAATGTCTCCTTTGCGAGAAGTAACTTTTATGTGGAACAACTAGTGCACGACCACTTGGACGCTTTGATCCTGTGTTTGAAACGGAGCTCTTGGCAGTGTTTGGGCGACTTGTACCACCACGGTTAGGATCTAAATCCAGTTTTTCAAGCTCTTTCTCTATATCCGCATGTATAGGTGTGTTGGGCCTCGGTCGTAAATCCTTTGTTGAAGGGACGCTACGTTGACCCGTCGAGTATGTGGCATGTCCGGATTTTGGACGGCCGAGGATAACCCTATTGGCGTTAATACGCTTAGCATTGCTATTGCTACGTTTACAACTATTGCATGACGATGGCCTGGGTTTTCGTGATGATTTGGCATCCTCTTCAGTACCCTCAGCCCGACTGTGGAACTCATAGTTTGTATTAACACATTTCCCATCACAGTATTTTTGAAAACAATGAACACATTGATTCGAAGTTGCTCGTTTTACTGGACAGTCTCCTACGCAAGATAATTGCACACATCTTGGACAGCATTTCCTATCCTTTGGTTTTGTGCTTATTGGTCGGACACCTTTAGAAAGTTTGTAATCACTGCGTTTTTGTTTGATTGCATTTCTTATTCTCTCTCGACGAGCTCTTTCCCATTCTTCGGTCTCTACTTGTAGCTTTTCAAGGAGGACTATCCGGTCAATAATTTTTTCATCTTCTTTGATGGGGGGTCGTAACTTCGTTTGATCCCGCCAATCAAATTCTATTTGACTGATCTCCCGATAGTCCAATCTATTTAATTCGATGGGTAACGCTGAGGTAAATTCATATGGAGGAATTTCTAAACGCATGGCATCGAAGTCGAATTTGCGTGGGTCCTTTAATCCTTGCGCTAAACAGAATGAATCTAAGATTTCAGGTCTAAGTTTCAAATCTGGAATATTTGAGTTTTTAATTATGGGTGGCTCTTCGTCATTTTCATTGTCAGACATATCACTAGCGCTGATTCTACTGAGACCACTATCGTAATCACTGTCGCGTCCAGAGGATTTCAAAGATTGGGAAGTAAAGTGATTCTTATCACCATAAAGGCACATTGATTTGTTCAATGTTTCATCATCCTCGTCAGCTAATTCATAGACGATTTTGGGGGACAGAGTATCGTACTCGCCACGTTTTAGAGACTCGTTGGTCTGTGTCATAGGCTGTGGTATCGCCGAATGTGGTCTCGTTCTCGCGAGAGTTTCTCTCGATGACAAAGCTCGCTCGCCTATTGGTACGTATTGCGCACATGCAGTCTTTGGCCTGAAAGTACAAAATATACTATAAAAGGTTGTATCGAAAACACAAAAAATAGAACAGCTATTTGATCAGTTGTACATGCATGAGTTTCGGATAATGAAAAATTGGCGGTAATTTGGTCTGATTTGTCACACTTCCCCCACCCAGCAAAAACTATCGTCTTCACAAAATAAATATTGTCACAATTAATACGATCATTTATTTTGTACGTTTGAACACGGCCAATATTTCCGAACTCAAATTATAAATACAGACAAATTGGCACATGCACTTCTCGACTCATTGCGTGCATACTGTTCTCTAGCTACCTTTGCCTCCCCGTAGAACTAACGTATTTTCCAAGATTCGACACAGAAAGTGCGTATGAAGACTTTTTACGTGGTGTGGTAAGTAGCAAAGGTGTTCCTGTGATCTGAATTTTCTCCAATGGCATCATTGTGTACGAGAACGACATATAAAGATCCTGCATCCTCGAACAAGAAATTCGTGTATTTGTAGGCCTATTCTACGTTGACTGGTACAAATTGAAAGGGAGCCTTATAACGTATCTGGCCATGGGCTGATGTAATTCAATCATGTTTCGTTTAGTTATTACATGTTTCGTCCAATATTCAAATTACAAGTTGTTAGAAGAAAAGTATTCAAATGCTGAGTCTATTTTTCTTATATTGAACAGCTATTTCCAATGCCAGGTCGATTTGTCGCATCTTCTTTGTTAGTTGTTTGCCATTGAATTGTGTGATCTGCGGCTGATTTTATTATTGTATTTTCGTTGACTGATCAATCTTAGCTATTGACTGTGTTACTTCCTATATCATTTTAATTGTTGCTTAACCTCATTGGGTTTGTCCATGTCAAGTATTTTCTTCGCTACGTGTGCAATGTTCAACTATTTATATCCTTCTAAATATTTTATCTTGCTTATTGGAAGGTTTAGAACTTCCACATGTATTATTAATAAGATGCCTTTAAGTATTGTTCCAATAGGTTACTGTTATTAGTTATAACCATATCAAGCCTAGTAGTTCGAAGCCAATATTTCAATAAAGATGTCTTAATAGAATTAATGTCATATTACCCCAGGTCTAGTCGATGAAAATGATTTCTTAGGCAATTATATTCTTAATGCTAGTTTCTCAGTAAAAATAATAACCTAAATGTCAGTTCTATCTTCGAATTGCATAAAATAATATCATTGGCTTTGATCGTTAAATATCGCTTACAGAAATCGCTAAAATGATTGTTGTGTCCGATATTATACGTTATTACAGTTTCCAGTTCCTGTAAGTTCCAAGGAGGATTGGCTCCCAGAGTGCACCACCGATATTCTGTCCCATATATGGGTATGTCGTAATACAAAATTCGAATTCAAACAGCCGCCATTTTGTTCACTTCAACATTTAAATCGTGAATTTTGGTCTTATTTCCAAACGAAAAATTCCAAAACTCACAAGAAATGATCGAAATATTGGTTCGAATCTTTTGAACTGTTTATTTTGAATTTATAGTCGGTTTTAATTTCAGAAAATAACGACATTTCGACGTTTTCATTGTTGGAAAATATCGAGTTTCGATCCTGGGAGCCAATCCTCCTTGTGTAAGTTCATAATCCATTGTTAAGCTTTAATTAATCAATATATGAGGTCTATTGTGTAACAACCATTCAAATTGAAACATATTGGTTCATTTGTCTGATAATGAAACTACGCAATCTTCTGTAATTATTTCAACTGAAATAATACATTAATTAAATAGTACGAGTATCTTGTATTAGGTCCTCGGGTCCTTGTTACGTTATATCCAGTAAATATCCAGTTTCCCTGTCGATATATCGTTGTTTGATGTTTGCCGATTGATGATGACTGTTGATTGATGAATTTTGATTGATGATTTGACTACGCTTTTTAACACATGCTCGATTTCTCCAATCTTGTATATTTTAATTCACGATCACTTTCATCATTGTGACATCGAAACCGAGAATAAAGTTCCAGCAATATTAGTTTTCTTTCATATTACTTTTGAAATTATTATGAAATGAAAATAGTAATATGACGTGCACGAACCTGGGGACAATTCGGGAAATACGGGCTAATCTCAGCTTTAATCGTTAATATCTGCCTTATTTAAAAAGCTAACTATATGCATTATATATCATTTTGAAGTATTTTTTATTCGCATTTCACTGAAATTATTTTTCCTTAAAAAGTGTGATGGGATCTACCATATTTTTTAAGTTAAATGTACTCCGACATCGTCAAATACGCTGTAAGGCGTAACATTTCACGCTTACACGGTTCGTTGAAATCAGGATAACTTTTGAAATACTGATCAGAATTTTACTAAAATTTCATATTTTATTCATTGAAACATGTGCTTTTATGACGTCACAATTGCCTAGCGGCTACAGTTCAAATCGTCTTATATGAACGCTTTTAAGATTTTCAAAATTGTGTAAGGTTTTGAAGGCGAGGGAGACAAGCAATAAGTTCACCTTTATTTAACCTTCTAATTTAGGTCTGATTTCAAAAAAAATTTAACTGCACAATATTGTCATGGCGAAATTTACAAAACAATAACCGATTTCTTTATTTTTCAAATAATAAGAGAATAAGAGTTGCTTTTAGAGACTTGAAAAAATGTAACGCATCGATTTTTTACCACAAATACCATACATATCAATTTTTACTAACGCCCCGAGTGGATTTCCTGACCGTTTTTCAAAAATCAAAAACATTTTAGAAATATTGTCCTCGAGATCTTCTTGCTCTGTGAATTTCACCAGGATTGAATAAGAATAAAGCATCTTATTTTTAGGTTGACTAAACTTGACAAAATGTAACGCTTGCCTTTTTTACGTTATAATGCTGATTGCGCCCTATACTGGCCATTGTATTGTTTTGGTATTTTGACGCCATAATGTTACTCTAATTGTCCCCAGTTTCGTGCGACGTGTATAACAGGTTCACAACGAAACGTTCTTGTTTTGTTTGACTTGCATCGAGGTCCGGAAAAGACTAACGTGCGAGCTTATGCAAATAGTCCGAACTTTATTTTCCCAAGCAATTGCAATCATTAAAAGAACGCAAATGGCCAGAAGGATATTTCATTGAGATTCTATATTGACGATAAGTAATGTCAAATGCGAACATATTGTTGACTAAAATCTTTCAATTGAGCTCAATATTAAGACAATATATTGATTAAATATTCTTGCAGATTTCTTAATTCATTTGGAAGAATGTATGAAGTAAAGTGGAATCTCGGTTTACACCAAGTTTGGAAAAGGAAAAAAGATACAAAGAATTTAATTTTGAAGTGGCACATGACCATTGTTTATTCAGAAAACGTCAAATAGGTTTAATGTGAAAGGTCATCAAGAAATGTCATGGCTTCGCATGAACAAACTCACCTTAAACCTGCGCGCAGAGTCTAGTTATAAACTACCGAAGACGAAACTCTCTTTTAAGAAGCGAAGTCGAACGAACGCAAAGGTAACTCACCTTGGTTTATGCGTATGCTCTCTGTGAACCGTGTTAGGCACAAAACCTGACGTTTCAACGTTATGGGGGCGACATCTATAGTAACCGTCATCATCCAGTTTTTCAGTGCCCTCTAGCGGGGACCAAGTTTTCTTTTTGAATGCTTTGAGACTGGAAGCCAATTGAGATCTGTATAACACTGGAATAGTTTCTCCCTCTTTCTGGTTTATCTTCTGAAAATACCCAAAATATGTGAGATATATACTAAATGAATGAAAGATAATTCAAAAATCATATTCCAGCGGAGTAAATGTATTCCTTTTTGGATTCTGATGAAAATATATCGTTTTCAGCACGGTATCGGAAATCCAGTGTTGCGTTAGTACATTGAAACGAGGTCGCTGTTGATTGGATTGAGATATTGCATGACGAACAATCATTCAGTTTGCCTAACCAAGGTCCCAAACTAAATTACAGAATGAATAATTCAGTTTTGCAATTAAAGAATGGGGGCGATGTCTATTTAATTAGTCTGGGTCATAAACCTGTATGAATTCGGTTGATAAAAGGCTAGACCATCGACATGAGAGTAGACAGAGAGTATCAATGCATAAGGCAATAGATACAACTACAGTACACCGTGTTAAAAGTTTGATAAATTGTAGTTCTAAAACCCCTGGCCCATGTTAAGACCACTGCTATTAGACACTGAGTTATGAAATGAAAGCAATTGGATAATAAGCATTGACTTTATCTCAGTGATATAAGAGAGCTTAAACACATTGATTGCACGCATACTATTATTGAATAATGTGTGAGTGCTGCAGTTAATTACCTTAAACCCCTAGTAGTTGTATAATCCCCTTGCCTATTATGAAATCCTTGCTATGACACTGATTTATGAAATGAAAGACTCTTGGATAATAAGCATAGATTTGTATCTCACTTAAACACATTGATTGCACGCATACTATTATTGTATAATGTGTGAGTGCTGCTGTTCATTACCTTAAACCCGTGGCTATTAGGGCGATATCGGTCCCCTGTTATATCTCCTTGAACCGAACGTACTTGAGCCTGCAGCCTCCGGAACTCAGACTACAATAAATATTATTTTGTACATGAATTTCCGTGTCATCAACATCTTTGTTTTTTTAAATATGAGTGTCGGTTACCTATCAAATGGAGCAGAGCAAAAGGATACGAGAAAAAATTTCTTCTTACAAGAATACTATTTACTAATGCTGATTACTACAATGAGACGGGCTGAATAAGATTGAGACAACAATGCAAAATGAATTATACATGTCATAGTGACTTTTAACTTCATATTTTCTGGAGAGGTTCGCGCATTCCCCTACCTTCGTTATTTTATACATGGCCTGTGGTGATGTGTTTTGGACTTCAGAGGCCTCATCATCTTGTAGAGCTGACCAGGTCTGCCACTGATAAGTATCCTGTAAGGCACCAATTGCAAATGATTCAAAAAAATGTTGATCAAGCTTCTTGCATACCAGGAACTAAGTGAATGCCATTCACTGAATGGTTTCTGCCGTGTGTTAGGGAAGGAAGGGATTTTGCTCATCTCAGCTGGAATACAAAGTCAGTGCCGGTGTAAAAGGGTAGGAGGTCCTCTCAAATTATGGTCCTACTCTCCATTGATTTATATGGTGACCTAAATACAACCCTTTCCCTTATTATCTTATACACAATCAGGGTCAGTAAGGGCCGTTAAGAAAGGGGACCATAATCCCCAGGGGACCATCATTCCTTTCACAACGGGTTTGTCTGATTTTTAGAAGCGATAGAGCAAAATAATTTCCCCAAATGACTTTTCGAGCTGCAAATCTACTATGAAATAAGGCAATTACTCAGATGCGAGTAGGTAGTTACCAGTTTCGCCACCAGGTGGCTGATTCGGGGGAAATAACATGGCAGGGTATAACAAAATTTCCCTTAAACTTGAATATTCATCAGTTTTAGTGGTTCACTTTTCATATTACCCTAATGTATGTGATAGTTATACAAATTAAAATTTGTCCAGTAAAAGAAAATATTATCTGCCCAACACAAGAAAATATATTTCACTTTTTGTGGTTTAACAACATGGGCTCTTTGGGGAACCTCCCCGACCTAGAAGTCACATTTTCAAAGAAAATTAAATTTTCAAAGTTGATAAACTCTTTTCAAAACCACATTTCTAGATGTAATTTTTCATGTAGATTCCAAATATGACATCACTTTGACTGAATTGTGAATTTTTAAAGACGTAAATCAAGATTATTTCTACTCGCATCTAGGATATTGCAATTTACTTCTGCAATCGAGTTGCTAAGACTGTCAAACGTCTGAACGTAGGAATGATCAAAATGTTAGTATCCCAGATTCTAAATATGACGATCCAACGATCTTGAGTTTTCATGACTGTGATATATTTTATCTACCCATTATAAGAGAGATGGTTGTTAAGAATAAAGCACCTGTAATTGTATTTGGATTCTAAATAGCTTAGGCAAACATGCGGTGTTTGACCTTGCAACATTTGAAATATTGACCATTGATATTGATCCTTTGATACGTCTAGAAACGGTACTATATTAGGATGCCCACCAATCTTTTCCCAATTACGTTTTCAATACAAGACATTACTTTGAGATACATAACCAAATAATCAGATGGAGCTGATGAGGACAGATTCATCATTCAGTTCTCATCATTAATCTCTTCTTTCACGATTGGGTGAAATGCACCTGACGAACCAATTAATGCAGTGTTTCCGTACCTTATCAAGAGTTTGTCTCTGCGGTGTGGTCATCTTGTTATTGGTGTCCCCTTTAGATGTGCCATTACCATGGAGCCACCCATGGGCTGTGGTCCTCCTTGCCCCATCTCGTACCCATCCGTGGTCCTTGGGTGGCGATCCCCGTAGTCCCAATCCTGATCTGTAAGACAAAACACTCATTCCTGAAACATTCAGATTGTCTTCATATCCTTTATCGTCACCGTAGGGACCGTGTGCCCTTAAGTCCGTTTCAGACGATACTCGTCCTAGGCGTAATTTGGGAGATTTGGGAGTCCCGTGTCTTTCCTCGGCTCCATTTTGTGTCAATGTACCTGTTCCTTTGGTGTTAATATATTGATCTTGGTTTATGATATTTGGATTGTTCCACCATTCTTGACTACCTAGAATGAACTCGAACTTTCGTCTGGGTACTGACATACTATTATAATCAATAGACTTAAACCATTTTTATTATTGATTCAACAGTTTTATACATTTAAATTATCGAAGTGCATACTATTAAAGTACGTTGAATGAATGTATTCATAAGTTTTCATCGCTGGGACAAGTCACGTCTATATATTAAGTAGGCTTTGAATAAATACTTTATGTGTGTAAATACAATATAAAAGGCCTATTCTTTGACGTGCATTCGATCTCGGCCGTTCTTTGGAAACGATTGTACAAATAACATCGGATTAACTTTGTCGGGTAAGATCGACTGAATATGGATTGACTGAACAAATACACAGCGATAAAAATCTCAGCTGATTTATAAAAAATGATGAAATAAAAAGTCTTTATGTTGTGGTTGCTATAGTTACATTTTGATAATAACCGCAGGTAAAATGTCACGATGACTTATTGGTCGTGTTCTTTCATCTCTCACATTGAACAGCTATAGAATGGTGAATTGGTATCAATTTCTGATGTATCAAAATAAAATTGTCTTTATTATTATCATACATTATTTTTCAGAATATTTTTATAATAAAGAAACAAAATTTTCAATTTGTTTTAAGTATTGGATTAATTATTAGTTCAATATTTGTATATTGTAATCAGCAAGTGCACTTTAAACGTACAATTTTTACATCGTTATTGTAGCTAAGTGCTTCGGTTAAGACTCTACATACACTTAGGGGATATAAAAGTGGACATCGACCTATCGAATTAATGGGTCGGACTTAGTTGCGCAGCATCTCGTAGTTTTCTGTCATAGGTGTGGAGGTGCGTTTGTCAAGAGGAATAAGACCACACCGGAATAGCCTGACAACGGTAGAGTCAGATACCGTTGTCTCAAATGGCGGACATAACCGTAGCTTCAATTAGATCTTCATGAATTGTATGTTTAATAGAGCACCTAGACTAAATTCCTTTGGACAAACAATCAATCAAAGTTTCTTCATCCTCATTGTACAGTTAATAATGTTCCACCATCGAAATAAAGTCTTTAATTTAACCAATCAAAATGAGATACGGGACAACGGACACTGTAATTACCATATGCCGTTGTCTTTCTAAATTACTCAAGTTCAGATTCCGTTGTCATTGACGATATCGAAGACGTTATATTGTGGCGATTTACGACCCAATTTGATCAAAATTGGGATTTCATATGAAACATCATCACAAAAGCTAATACATGCACAGAATTAGCGACGATAAAATCCCATGAAATGAGGACCAAGTGATTAAAGAGTTGAACCGAAGGTTATGTCCGCCATTTGTGACAACGATATCTGACTTTACCGTTGTCAGGCTATTCCGGTGTGAAGACGATATTCTGGTCTGGATCTAAAAGCCTTGTGTGACTATTGATTCTAATTGTGAGCCACCTGCATCATTCAATCAAATCTGACCTCTGGCTTATTAGTTTATACTTACCCAGGGGCAGAAAGGACCATATAGAAGATGGTGGACGGATGGAGGACAATCGACGGTGACCATAATATCTCTGACACCGGCTGCATAATGAATGTAACCAACCAATACATTTTCGGCAGTTTTGAAAAGTGCACCCGGGTACGTCTTTTATTTCATAACGCGCGGCGTTCTCATGAAACTGTTTTCAAGGCAATGGCATGTTAGAGTAATTAAAGTGATAAACGTTGAGTGGTAAAACGTGATCATGTCCCTGACCAAAATATAGACTTAACTTTTGTACCTATATTTGCTTTTTACTGGTGCCCCGAGTTGACCGTAAACGTCTTGAAATGCCCCTGCACTAGGACGATATGGGATGGTTATGTTTGTTACTTGGGTCATCATGTCGAGGAAGCGTCATTTAGCGCCATCTTTGTTTCATTAATAGTTCTCATGTTTCATCCTTTTTATCGGGCTGGTAAACAAGATGTCGATACACTGACAATTCTCTCCACTGTTTTAGAGAAATTCCATGTTTCCACAATAGTTTATTTTATTTAGATCTGCATATCTTGTCAACGGCAAAATTTAGGAATCGGGCACTTTGATTCTAATGTTTATGTATCTTTACTCACTTATATATCTTTAAACTAATTAAGATGTGTTTTAAAAAATTGAAATGGTTCAAACACTCAGTGTGGCGTTCTGAACACAGTCTCGTTGTCACAATATAAGTAAACTAAATTGCAATCGTAAATTTTGAAGTAAAATATTTGATCTTCATTGTCATTTTATAGCACACTTTAGATAATGGTACATTTATCTCTGCCACTGATTTTATTGTTACATTTTATCATGTCTGATTTCTGTATCACGCTCTTTACTTAGCCCAGAACTGTTGTTCATTAGCTGGCCATTCCTTTAGCCTACGTACATGTAGCTAGCTTCTTTGGAATTTTAGATATCATATAGTATCATAACTTTGATGAAATTGTGTAGTCGCATTGTACCCGCCATGTACCGTTTACTTGAGATGTCTCTCAACATAGATATACGAATGGCATGATCATCCCCTATTAAAAATCTTTTCATGGCTAAAAAACAACATCGAACATCATTTTTACCCCCGTAGCCACTGGAGTTCAATATTATATAATAGACTGATGAATGTGTCCTTGTTTCTACATGATCATATCCAAATAGGCATTAATGGTATCCAAGTTCTCTCTCCGGTAATCTTTATTAATCCAAAAATCTAAACGATTCTACCCTATTAAGCATCTTTTCATGTCTAAAAACAACATCGAACGTCATTTTCACCCCCGTAGCCACTGGAGTTCAATAATATAGACTGATGAGTGTGTCCTTGTTTCTACATGATCATATCCGAATAAGCATTAATGGTATCCAAAATTGCGCTTACAGTCATTAAAACTAAGTTCTCTCTCCGGTAATCTTTATTAATCCAAAAATCTAAACGATTCTACAATCATCCAATATGAAATGTTTGAGATTGAAAATACCAAGTTCGGCGTTTCCATTTATCATCTTGTCCAAGAATGCACTGTAGGAATAACATTCAAAGTATTGCATAGTTTCGAACATTTAATACCATGTACGTGATTTATTGACCTTGGATAATAAAATCAAACAACATTTGAATATCATGAATTGTGTAAACACCTTTATATAAACACATTTGTAACAAACACACAAAGTTACTTAATGTTTGTTTTAGGTGATTAAATATTGTTTCTGGCACGTGATTTACTCAATTAATAAGCATTTAATATCTTAATAACGGCCATCGTCGGAAAACGGCATCACCAGGGAGTGGTGGGAGTGGTAATCCCTAATATACAGGGTGACACAAAAAGTGTCACCCACATAATGTTGGATATAACCTTTTTGTCCGTATGATTCCCGACGTGTACAGGACTTTTTTGTCTGCGTGATTTCTGATCATGACTTGTTCTTTTGCACAATAAAGCAAGATTCCACGGAGCAACTCCATAGGAAGTTTTAGATGATGAACTCAGCTGGCTGCACTTTTATGACCGTTACAATTAAATATGTGGTTAAATGTCGTCCATTCCATTCCAGGCACACTGGTTGAGCATGGTCTGAAGGTGGTTAATTTTACGAACATCGTAAGGTGTTCGTATGACGTCATACGAGTGCGCGGGCTTACGTAACCTTCATGAATACAAAAAAGGCGGTCACGCATCCGTTACGTCAGGTTCGTGGCCATGAATAAGGCTGTACTGGTAAAGTTATTGACCACATTTAACATGATGAACCCTCCAGATTTTTTTTATCTCTGAGGGTACTTGAAAGATCATTTGTATGTGATAAACCCCAAACCAAAGAACATCTGAAGATAGAGTTCACAAGGATGAAGATAAGGACCATTGATTTCTGTGGGGAATGTGTTTAATAAGGTCGCCAATAACGTTGCTCATAGAATCCAGGTGTGCCTGACATTTTGACCACATCTTATAACGCTCATAAAAGTAATCTGAACTTGGAATTGCGACATGGAGTCTAGTTCTAATGTGCTAAATAACAAATCAGAAATCATGCAGACAAAACTAAGCCATGCAACATCATGTGGGTGGCACTTTTTTTGTTACCCTGTACTTTCTATTTTAGCCATAAGTTGATGAATTAAAATGGTGCATTGTGTAAATGATTCAAGGGGTTCGGCAGAACTTCGTTAAATTCGTTAGGGCACGCGCCATTGCCCATTTGCTTTAGGCTGAGATTTATAAAAATAACTATGTAGGGTTTCAAATAAATATGTTCTTCCTCAAATAAATATGTTCTCCCTTTGTAGGCATACTCTTTGTGAACTGATTATGAAATCAAAAATTGCGAACTTTGGGACATTTATTTCAGTGAGAAAATCAGGAAGAATTTCGCGGAAAATTACATCATACTTAACAGTTATGTCTTAATTACTTCAAGAATGAAGATATACAATTACAGTTCTAATTAACTAAGGGAAATGATTGAAACCTGATACTCAAGCTCTTTTACGTAGATGGACGTCGAGAAAATGAGATTTGCTTACCCATACACTAGTATATCCTTTGCAGTTAGCTTCCCATTTTTGTATTGTTTGGACACTGGAACTTCTGTGCTGTCAATTTTGAAGACCTCATTGGCACCAAACGACACACTCCTTCTTGCCTTGTTAGGATCAGCCTCGCTATTCTTATAGGCATCTGAGTCAGCATATATGTTATCATTGGCCTTTATGTCATTCTTTATATAACGGTTTTCACAGGGTACAGGGTGGGGTGAATACTTTGGTCTGACACCCTGTACACACATCTCTTCGACGTCAAGTGCGATGATCTGAGGGATTGACCTACATGGCGAGCTCCACATCCTCGGAGAAGATATACGTACCTCTTACCAGATTACTCTGTCCGTTTAACTTGCATTTCGAATTCAAAGTTGGTCTAACTGTCGCTGGTATCGGCCACTTTTTGTCGAGTCTTGGAGATGAATAGTGGTCGTTTTTTTCCTAGATGTGTATGTACTTCCTGATTTCAAAAGATTGTAATGTATTGTACATCGTGCGATAACTTATCATGAGTCAGTCTATCCTTAAAACGTTTTTTTGTCACGAGTTAACAGAATGTTAGCTGATGTACCGTTGATAGGATATATGACTGACAATGCTTATCAGTCAAATACATTATATGAATAGGCACTTCAATATGTTTTGCTTTTATTTTTCTTATTTGTCATGTCTATCAAATTAATGCCTTTCTTCGCAGTAGGTGTAATCTTCTTTCAGACAAGGGGATAATCCTCTTCCGGCATTGAAAAATCACGTCTGATTTGACATTCAATTATTTACTTTCAATATTGAGCGTCGGAAATGAATGTTACGAAGGCATATTCAGTTCCTTAATGAGAAAATTCCATACTAATTCATACGATTTTTATAACTCTGCAACTCCGTCATTAAGGTACAGTAAAAAATAAAGCTCGGTTCTTGCACAACACGGATTTAAGTACATGCTTTTAGAGGATTATTACTTAGAATTGTCTTTATTTACTAACCTACTCAAGATTTGTATCATTTTGCAATATTATTGTTTGCTTTGTTATTATCCTTAATTTATATTAATCCAATGGTCAAATAAATATCTCTGTTGTATGAGATAAACCATTCCTCGTTTGATAGTGCAATGTTCTGCATTGCTTCGCAAATGTACGGTAAGTGATATTATATACACTTCAAAATACCTGTGTTATCAAAGTATCTGTTTCCTTGGCTTGCACCATATAAGAAACTATGGACTCACTTTCTCTCGATGTCATGATTATTCAAAGATTATTAATCCTAGAATTATATCGGCAATTCATAATTGATTGTTATATCACGCTCTTCAGAAAAATATTATCGAGTGAGGATTACATTAGTTTTCCAGACAAATCCTTTATTAATTGCACGATTCATAAACTCCAGATCTAGATTCACTTCGTGATGTAGCTCCAATAGCAAATTTCCATTTACATAATTCATAAGTGCTGGGTATTATATGTACGTAAAACGTGCTAATCGCTGTAACTATCTGATGCCATGTTTTCTTATAATCCTGACTAAGTGACAATTCAGAATAATTGGTATTCTCACTCAAGCCTAAATGTTCATATTCTCAATAATGATCATGAAAACCTATATTCATGACACACTTGTTTAATTATTAACTTTATATCTAATACAGTGAGGCGTTGATGCATTCTATGTTGGTAAAAGCTAAGTAAGAATGGAATGTAAAAATGGAGATTTGGTGTGATGCAATGAAAAAGTAAAAACTGAATATGAGAGAGAATGAAAACCACGATATTATGAGTGTAGAATACAAAGTAATAACCAAGAATGGTGTTCACTAAGACAGGGTTTACTGTGTAAGATATACGAGAGCTTGTGTTCAAGTTAGCTATATACAGACTGAATAATTTTATGACACAATGACAGGTAGCCACCAAGGTCTCTCAGAATGAGATTGAATCCGATGTCCGATGAATCCGATGCTTCTTGCACATTTCGTGTTCGTGGCCGTTACATGGGTTAGCCTTTTAACAACGTTCTTCATTCTAATTGATATTTCATGCTCTTTCATTTTCAGTTACCAATATAATTGATATTTTAATAGGACCAGTATGTATAATGACAGAACAATTATCCCGACAAATACGTGGAGTATATTTAAAAGATATGTGTACCTATGCAAATACTCGATGTTAAGACATACCTTTAAAGGATTTAAAGCAAATGTAATATCTTATTGTAATATTGATAAGCAGATAGGCAGAAAAAGGTGGGAAATTATGGGTACTAGATTAGATTAGACTACTGTGGTTAGATGCCTTAAAAAAGAATATGATGGAAAATTGTGTGACTTCTATGATATTAAGCATATTGTAGAATAGAATAGAATATTTATTGAGTACATTCACACCCCTGAGGGTCAGGTACAAGAAAGTGCAGTACACAAAAAGAATATATATGATTTAACACTAGACTACTATATACTACATATAATATATGCTTACTACTGTAAAATATGTATTACTACAAAATGCTTTTTTGCGCAGCAGGAATTAGCCTTTCTAAATTAAGTATTGCTTTCTAAAATTCGGAAGGCATCACTAATATATTTTGCAACCTTGATGCAATCTTGATTTATACAAGTTAAGAGGTATATAAATTGATTTGTTTGTGCTTTTGCCGTATCAGACAATTCAGTTTGAAGTAATAATCTTTCATTTTGATATTTTTTACACTTCATCATAAAATGTTCTTCATCATCAATAATATTGCAATGGACACACAGTCTTTCTTCAATTGGGGTTTTCTTTGGTTTAGTATATCTCCCTTGCTCAATTTGGAGGTTGTGAGCACTTATTCTCAAACGTGTAAAGTTTCTTCGCATATCAAGTCTGTCGATTATATTTAAATAATGTTCATATTTAAAATCTTTCTTGAGGGTTCTGTAGGTTCGTAGTTTATTGCCGTTATCATTTTTCCTAGTGTCAGTGTTTAATTTATTCTTCCAGTACCTGTCAAATTTTAGTTTAAGTAATGATGTACATCTTAAGGTATCAATTGTAGAATCCACAGATTCAGAGCAATTTTCATTAATAGAGCAAATTATTTTGTTTACGTTTGAAACCCATGAGTTTTCTTCTAGTTCTTTGGAGCAGTCAAAAGCTGCCTTGATTAGAACATTTTTTGTATCTTTAATGTGATGTAAAAAGTTGAGAATGTATATGTTAATGTAACTGCTTTCAAATGTTTTTTTCTATGAATAAAAAAAAGGAATAAAAAAGAGTTTAATATATAACTGCAAAATGATTTTTTGCAAGGTACAAAGAAAACATCAAATTAATCAAGAAAAACAATTTTATCCTTTTGGTTATACCCATCCACAACGTTGGTATTTCAGGCGGCGTTATAACAATCACCAAGAATATACGGGCAATATACGGTATAATTAAGTATTATATATCACTATACAATATATCATCCAAGGCTCACCGTGGAGTTGATAGTGCTCTGAGGGGGTTGAGCTCAATCAGAATGTCTATTCAAATGCACATGGCAACCCTGGGATGGCAAAACAGAGCATTGTCTCAGGTCATGACTATCATAAACAAGTATCATAAAAAGCTCAAGACACATACTTTTGCAATGGTTATTTAAAAGGTACTAAGAAGACAACTAGGGAACTACTTTCTAAATGTTCGTTACAATTTTACACTATTTTCATAAGAAATATTCCATGCCATTCTTATGAAAATCCTTTGATTCTGATGTGTACAAGAATAGTATCTGACAAGATTACTTTTCAATTCTAACGACACAATCTCAATTCATCAATATTTGGAAAGAGATTTCATGTTTTCAGAAGATAATGTTGGAATAATAAAGGAGAAATTGGCATCAAGCAAAGCTTTTTGAAGATTGCTTCCATAGGTTTTAGACTTTATTTCTGCGGTCACTTGGATTGTCTATTCAAGGATCTTCTTTTTGAATAATAAAACAAATGTACGTTTACTATGTAACTGTATTGTAATTGTTTTTTTGCAATTGCTCTAACATGTTTTTTCTTCTCTGAAATAAAAAAATTAGTACCATGGGTACTGGGCTCACATGGTAACAGAAAAAAACGGATATAATTTTTTGCTGATTTTTTGTTACAAAATTATTCCAAGCCATTTGTCTCTCAGTCAATTAAAATGGCTGAAAAAAAACGGATATAATTTTTTGCCAATAATTTGTAACAAAATTATTTCATACAACTACTCTTTACAGTGACATGGCTTTTTGCAATGCAAGACACCTGAAATTATTTGTAAAGCTAGGAAATGGGCCAAAATTGAATTTCGCGAGACAAAAATGGCGACCATTTTAAAATCAGGCAAGCTTTTGAACCAGGAGACATAGGGGAGTTTTTTGTATTGATGTTGAACAAAAATAACTTGAAACTGGAATCCTATCGACAGAGGTTTTAAGCAAATGGTCCAAAAGAGGATTTCGCGAGACAGATGGACAAATCAATGTTAACTAAAATGGCTGAAAATAAAAAAAAACGGATATAATATTTTGTCGATTTTTTGTAACAAAATTATTTCATACAACTACCTTTTACAGTGACATGGCTTTTTACAATGCAGGACAGCTGAAATTATTTGTAAAGCTAGGAACTTGGCAAAAAGTGAATTTCGCGAAACAAGAATGGCAACCATTTTGAAACAAAAAATAGGCGAGCTTTTGAACCAAAAGTCATAGGAGAGTTTTTTGTATTGATGTTGAACAAAATTAATTTAAATGGGAATCCTATCGACAGAGGGTTTAAGGTAAATGGTCCAAAAGTGGATTTTGCGAGACAGATGGACAAATCAATGTTAACTAAAATGGCTGAAAATAAATAAATGGATATAATTTTTCGCTGATTTTTCGTAACAAAATTATTTCATACATCTACTCTTTACATTGACATGGATTTTTACAATGTAGGACACTTGAAATTATTTGCAAAGCTAGGAAATGGGTCAAAAGTGAATTTCGCGAGACAAAAATGGCGGCCATTTTGAAAATAGGCGAGCTTTTGAACCAGGAGTCATAGGGGAGTTCTCTGAATTGATGTTGAACAGAAATAACTTAAAACAGGAATCCTATCGACAGAGGTTTTAAAACGTGCCACAGAAAGTGGATTTCGCGAGTCAGATAGACAAATCAATGTTAACTAAAATGGCTGAAAATAAAAAAATGGATACAATTTTTCGCTGATTTTTTGTAACAAAATTATTTCATATATCTACCCTTTACATTGACATGGATTTTTACAATGTAGGACACCTGAAATTATTTGTAAAGCTAGGAAATGGGTCAAAAGTGAATTTCGCGAGACAAAAGTGACGGCCATTTTGAAAATAGCCGAGCTTTTGAACCAAGAGTCATAGGAGAGTTTTTTGTATTGATGTTGAACAAAAATAACTTAAAATGGGAATCCTATCGACAGAGGGTTTAAGGTAAATGGTCCAAAAGTGAATTTTGCGAGACAGATGGACAAATCAATGTTAACTAAAATGGCTGAAAATAAATAAATGGATATAATTTTTCGCTGATTTTTCGTAACAAAATTATTTCATACATCTACTCTTTACTTTGCAATGGATTTCTACAATGTAGGACACTTGAAATTATTTGTAAAGCTAGGAAATGGGTCAAAAGTGAATTTCGCGAGAAAAAAATGGCGGCCATTTTGAAAATAGGCGAGCTTTTGAACCAGGAGTCATAGGGGAGTTTTCTGAATTCATGTTGAACAGAAATAACTTAAAACAGGAATCCTATCGACAGAGGTTTTAAAACGTGCCACTGTTATTGACAGAAAGTGGATTTCGCGAGTCAGATAGACAAATCAATGTTAACTAAAATGGCTAAAAATAAAAAAATGGATACAATTTTTCGCTGATTTTTTGTAACAAAATTATTTCATATATCTAATCTTTACATTGATATGGATTTTTACAATGTAAGACACCTGAAATTATTTGTAAAGCTAGGAAATGGGCCAAAAGTGAATTTCGCGAGACAAAAGTGACCGCCATTTTGAAAATAGGCGAGCTTTTGAACCAGGAGTCATAGGGGGGTTTTCTGTATTGATGTTGAACAGAAATAACTTAAAACAGGAATCCTATCGACAGAGGTTAGCTAGGAAATGGGCTAAAAGTGAATTTCGCGAGACAAAAGTGACGGCCATTTTGAAAATAGGCGAGCTTTTGAACCAGGAGTCATAGGGGAGTTTTCTGAATTCATGTTGAACAGAAATAACTTAAAACAGGAATCCTATCGACAGAGGTTTTAAAACGTGCCACTATTGTTGACGGACAGACGGACGGACGGACAGACAGACGGACAAGTGAGTGATTGCAAAAGCTCACCATGTGAGCTAAAAAGTAAATAAAAAACTTGATAAAATGTCACTATTTGTTTGCAATTACAAAAGTGTAACAATTTGTTAGACTTATACTGAATGCTGTTCACAAAAAACGCTGGCTACAAGTTTTAATGAATTTGTGTAGAGATAAGTTTTTAAATCTCTGGTAAAAATAACGGATCTTTATTTCGAACATTCTTTAATCTATATCTCCACACGTACAAGAAGATCTTTTCAATTTGACTGGGGTATACTATCTCAAATCTACAGCTATGTCACAGATTCATCCAATGTTTTATATATAGAGGACTAAGTATCCAATCCATCAGTTGATTCATTGCTAGTAGCGTAAAGTTGATTTACAATACAGAACATACCAAGTGATATCTTAATTGAGAACAATGTAAAAGATAACACAGCATTCACTTCAAAACTACACTTTATCTTTTATAATAGTTTAACATTCAATACATGTACAAAGAACATATACTGGGCATAAAATGTGTACACCCATTACACTAAAAGTAAAATGGCCCATATAATTTATCAAATTGCATATTTCATATATTTTAGAAAAATAAGTTTCAAACTTTACATTAAGTTGTTTGGCATGCTCTTTTGCATAAGTTGACAGCAGTTACTCAAAAGTGAGTGAAATCTTTGTTCAGCATTATTGGATTTTATACAGGAGAGGACATATGAATGAACGTTTTTCTCATTTTTTCCAAAGCCATGTAAAATAAAACTAAAACTTAAAATACACATATTGGTGATAGACCTGAATATTTGTAACATTTCATTGATTTCCCATAGCCTTACAATCATATACACAAATGGTTCACAACATCAAAGCAATAAATTGTTTCTCAAAAACATTATAACACAATTCTACATTCATGATGACACACTGAGGTTTTAAGCTGGGCTACTGAAAGAACCATTCACCTTAATTTAGTTCATAATATTATTAAATTAACAATATCTTATAAATAAAATAGAGTATTTTCTTATTGGTTATAATTCTTGTATTCAAGACAACAATATACTATATGTGAAAGATGGCTAAAACTATGTACATGTACAAGTACCATGAATATAAGATTTGATGTTTCTCTTCACCCGTAGATCTGACATTATAAGCGTGAATGGGTTACCATGGTAGAATAAGTTGACAAGATAGTAGCTAGAATAAGCTAGAATAAGTTGACAAGATAGTAATAGATGACCTACCTCTAATTACCTCTTTTGTTCTTAATATTTGACCCTTTAAAAACAACTGCGAACTTAAGTTATTATTAATATACATTACCAGAGTGATGAATTTACACAAAAATGCATATGTATTGTCTTTTTGTATGAACATTTCAATCAATCAGTGTTGATGCTATGGCAAAACATATGTGAGATAGACCAATAAAATAGAGGTTCATTTTTACATGACACTGGATAGGTTAATTTTGGGATATCTTGGGTATTCCCTCTCTTCACTTCAAGTTATTATCACAAGAAAACATGTCATATGTCAATTATCATCCCAAAATAATTCGCCATGACAACATGCTACCATGGAAACATGTGACCATGACAACCAACTTGCCGATTTTGATGCTACAGGTTTATATGAATGAGGAATAGAAGAAATACTGCTTTGTAGTACACAATGCATAGTTGTCACTGTACACAAAATGCAATATAAATCATAACAAGGGAGTAACATGAGAAAATGTCACCACCTGTAAATGGTTACAATGTGTGGCAACTGTCACATGCACCAACACAGACTGTAAATACAATCCTCTAACACTGCTTTGAGACATGGTTTCCAATATCCATTCTTCGAACTAAAATTTTCAATTAAGTAATATCACTCACTCAAATATATGGCATCTATTGTATATTGTATTGTATAAGAAAATATTCTGATTTCTAGAATCAGTATTAAGGCACCAAACAATCATAATACTATTCTAATACCTAATTTACATTCTAATATCTAATGTATGTGTAAATCTAATACTGCACTACAATGTGTGATGTAGTTAAAGGAATAAGAAGGAATAGAGAGAAAAATGTTGGAAGTTGTCTTTCACCTTGTGACAAATAATTTGAAAATTGATTAGCGCATTATAGTATTATCCTTAAAAAAAGTCAGTACTGGTGGTTTCTAGAAGATAAGCATGACATGGAGTAAAGAGAGAAAAATATTATAAAATCGTGACAGTTTTCGAAACTTTACTCTTAACTGATCTCTCTATCCCTTTAAGTCCCTTTAACAACTTATAACTAAATCTTTCCAAGCACACTCATTTGATGGCACAGCAATTAATTGCATATGCTGTATATCCTTATGTTAAAATTTGAAGAAAATTACAATGTAAATGCACATTATATCTATATGATCAAGGCTTTATTGCATATGTATTCCTTATTGCCTATGAATATACACATTCTATGTGCATATTCCTATTGCTTGTACAGTGCATATATGCTTTGTATATTGCCTCTAAATGCAGTCTAATAGCATGTGATTGCCTCTGAAATATATGCACTATCAGCTTGTGTATCTATGCACATTGCCTATGAAATACTTGCCTGTGAAGATACATAAGCTTACTATTGCCTTTGCAGATACATGTGCATATTATAATGTACAATGAAACTTGTCTTAACTTACACCTCTCTCTAGCGAACATCAGTGTCTAGTAAATGTCCCTTCTCAGCACATACTCCACTAACTTCTATACCAAATTATCTCTCTGAACACCTACCTACAGTGAATACATTTTGTGGCTCCATGGATATTGGACCTAGATGTACACATATTTTACTGCATCCTGTTTATATGCATATTTTTGTGAATAGGCCTTACTTGTACATCTGAGTCTGAGTTTACATGTACGCCTATAATTGTATACAACTACTGTAGTATGTTTTGGCATCTCGACTCAAGAAGACTGGGCATCTAAATTTTTTGAACCAAGATAACAGAGTTCTGTTTGGACCTCCAGTCAGTTTAACTAGTTCCACATATCATTTACATGACCGGGAACACAGTTGAAATGGTCAGAATGACCATAAACATGATAGAATAACCTTTTCAGCCCTCTGAAAATGTGACTAAAAATAGCTACGAGTAGGTGCTCAGGAAAGGTCACTGAACAGAATATTTTGACTTTTTCAGAAAATGTGCCCAATATATTGCTCTAAATGATACAATTCAAAAAAATTTGATATCATTCTTAGAAAAAGAAAAAATTGAAAAAAACTGAATTGAAAATCGATCTATTTTCCTTTTTACTACAGCCATTATTGTTTCAGACGATTTTTTAAAATTTCAAAGATTGTGGCATTTAGAGCAATATATTGGACACATTTTCTGAAAAAATCAAAAGATTCTGTTCATTGACCTTTCCTGAGCACCTACTTTTAGCTATTTTTCAGTCACATTTTCAGAGGGCTAAAAAGGTTATTTTATCATGTTTATGGTCATTCTGACCATTTCAATTGTGTTCCTGGTCATGTAAATGATATTTGGAACTAGTTAAACTGACTGGAGGTCCAAACAGAACTCTGTTATCTTGGTTCAAAAAATTTTCAAAATCCAGCATGGCTTTGTCATTTTTTGTTTTGTCATTTCCTGTTAACTTCCATGAGACCTTAAGCAGGAGTATCATCATCATCTTTTCGTTTTTGCAAGAAGTTACGGAAATCTGGAGTTAAATATTTTTCTTCATATATCGGTACTGTGACGCCTTCATCTGCTGAAAAAATGATGTTTTCATAATTGAATAATTATTGTTATATCATAGAAAGAAACTAGAAAGCATTGAATATTGTATTAGAAATGTACATAGTATTAATTGATTTACAGCATACAATATGAAATTAGGACTAAGAATTTTTGATCTCCTCTTTATCTCCTCTTAAATTAAGAAGAAGACTCTCAACATTTAAATTAAAATGAATGATGTTGAATAATGTCATTTACAAATATTGAACTCGGAACATGTTACATGCAACATTGAACTTACCTGTAGGGGATGGTAACTCTGGCAGAGGTCTCCTAGCAGAGGCTGGTAACGGAGGTATTGAAGGACTGGCTCCAACTGAAATATATCCAGTTGAACATAAAATAACAATTCACAATCTATCAGTGATCTTCGAAGTCACAGGTTTTTTCTCAAGTGGGTGCAAATTTCTCATTTCCACAATTCAGACCAAAATTGGTCAAAATATGCCCATTTTCATGATTTTTCTAATTTTCAAGTGGGTGCAAACGGATTCTGAAATGGGTGTTAGCCTATTATCAAAATCTCAGTAGGGTGCTGCGCACACTTGCTTTAATGCTGGGGAAATCACTGTTTATGGCAACTACATGTTGTACAGTATATAAGGAAACAGCAAATAAAAAAATCTGCCATCTAATATGATAAGGAAACACTGGCAAGGGTAATTAAAACTGCAATGTCAATAAATACACAAAAACTAATCTCCCATTCTTGAATTACAGGGTGGGCCAAAAAACGCCACATTTTTATTTTCCAACCTACATTCCCCAAATGCAGTTATATAGTGCCAGGGGTTCTTAGTAATAATATAATGTAACAAGTCTTGTACTTGTATTAATCAAGATGACAAGATATAAAACTGTTTTTAAAGGATAGAAAGTTAGGAGAAAAGCAACAGAAGAGAAAGAAATATACATACTGTATTGATGCCAGAATATAGAGATAATGAACTGTACTTAAATACATCTGAGCAAAATTTGGGGATATGTCTGCTTTTTCATGTCATCATTTCTTGTTTCTTGTTCATAATGGTTTGCAAATCACGTTCCTGGCATTATACATGTAGGCTTAAAGCTGAACAAAATTATATTGAAGTACAAATGTATATGTAACATGGAAGCATACTTGCAAAGCGTGTAAAACATGAGAAATTGGACAGGGTGGGTTCATACAGAGTCGTGTATCTATTGCACAATAACCGTCATTACCTGTAGTATTGGGAATTGATTGACTTCGACTTCTCTGCGTCAATGGTGGGGGAGGAGGAGGAATTAATGGAATAGCCAAGCCTGCTTCATCATCTGCTATCACCCCCCATGTTCCATCATAGTCGTCTTTGAGATCAGATGGTGGAAGGTTTTCTGGTCTCTTTGGAGGTGACCCATGGGGGAGTGGGGGTAGTGGTGTTTCAGGAAGGGTCCTTGACCTAACTGGCCTCCGTGGTCGAGCATTTTGTGAGTTCTGAAATGTTCGTGTAGATGTTAAACGAATGTTAGTAAATCATCAATTTCGAATATAAAAAAAAACATAAAAATTTAGAATTGGTCAGTACAGATTGACTCTGAGAAAAGAATTATTATATGGTGGACATTTTACATAGATCTGCAATATATGACAATTTCTTGGCAGCTTGATGTCCAAGCTGGATAAAACAGCAAATTTCATGACCGAAACTGAATGAACAATTTGTTATACACATTCTGTGGAGTGCTGTAAACAAACCAAGAGGTGCCTTGATGTGTTTTTTATCTATAAGGCAATCCTAATGTTTTATCTGTACATTGTAAAGTACATGTACACATATGTATATGTACATTGAAAGATTTTTTCACATTTTTACCATAGGGACCTACCATGACTACCAATCTATACCTACTGACTTCTGTTATGCTGGTGCAATCAGACAACTTGCATTCCATTTAAAACACAACAGTAAAAAGTGTCCTAGAAGGGAATATCCATCAAAATGTACTTACCTGGGTATTTTGTGTATTAACTTTTGTAGCAGCAAGGGCTAACGAGGCTGTGTGTAACTTCCTATGTATGAGATCAGACTCTGCAGTTGAGAACATAAACATCCCCTCCCCTGTGTCACAAAACCTGCAAACATACATGTATAATTTAATACTTGGATAACATTAGCTTCACATTTCACATTTCATTGTGTTAACATTACAAATTTGTAACAATTTGTGACGGATACATATCATCAATGGTAAATGTAAATGCCAGTCACAAAAAAATTTGAAAATAAGAGTTTTGAAAAAGAATCTTCAAAAAAATTTGAAACAAAACTTTTAAAAGTAAAATTTGAATTTTTTTAGAAAACTAGGTACTAGGTATAGGAGAAAGCAGTTATGATATGCATATCTTCCTTTTGATAACCCAATATCCAAAACCTCCCAGTACATAACCCTTATTCCCTGAATCCTGTCATCTATAGCCATACAAACCTCAGAAAGTTAAACTTGATTTTACACTAATATTATCAAAAATCAAAATTTGCCCCTAATACATATATCGGCTACAAACCTTCCTGCCTCAAATGTAAATTGAGAATCATCTCTGCCATATCTTCGTATTGCACCTACGGGCCAGCTGACCAGCAATTTCCCAGGGTGCAGTATATCCCAGAGGTTAACGTTCGAAGAAGTGATCTGAAGCAGACATTCACCTGAGATATCCAGCGCTGGGGTGGGAAGAAGGTAAACATTGAACTTATCTGAAAATATAAGCAGACATTTCATTCATATAAGTAAAACTCGGTGTCCAGAAATCTGTACATGTAAGAATTGGCTGTAATGATATACATGTATTTATGTTGATGTAAAAAAGCCTGGGTCAATTGTGTTGCTCAGTGGTAGAGTACTTGCCTTATAGCAAGGGACTGTACTGTAGGTCAGATCTCCACTGGGGTGGACCTTTTCATATCAGTCTTTAGCACAAGAGTGTTTTTTCTTATATTTCTATTCAAGCATGATAGCATGAAGTACAATAAATAAAACAGTTTCAAGTTTCATTAACACGAAATGGGACAGGGTCCATGTCAAACATTCTGTAGTATCTTTAAAATATCTCTGGTTTTAGAGAGAGACAGTAATTTATGAACCTCATTACTATCTTGATGAACCTAAGAAAAATATGCAAATATCATGTTCATTTCAGACCCAATTTTAAATTGATCAGTGAAATGTAAAAGCGTGACAAATAACTCATACCTTGTTGAATGCAAGTTATACCTTATGATTCATTTTTGAGACATTCATGTACTTTATTCTCCCCCCCCCTAGAAAATACATCTTGTTTTAAGAATAATTGCAATCGATGTCATTTTAATCACATGCCAAAATCAGCCTTCAATCATGATATATCCTGTTCCTAGAACAACTAACTGTTTAGATCAGCATATACTAATTGATGCACTGCTATGACATTTGACTTCCTTGTTGATATTATTCAGAGAAAATGTTCACAATGAATTAATAGCAATATTTAACAGGATCTGTTCTAAAAATGTGAGGGACAGTCTCATAATTTAATTGTTTTTCAAAAGAATTCAACAAAGGCTACAAAGCTTAATATATCCATTTTGACCTTTTCCTCAAAAATATTGTTATGATTATTGCAAAAAGCCCATTAGAATCTGCAAATGAAAATGAAATGAAACAACAAACAAAGACTCCTAGTATTTGCCCAATTAAAATGTTTCCTCTACCCAAAAGCCACTTAAAAATAACACTCATATTTCAATGCAGTTTGTTGTGAGTAACCTTGTTTTCCAAACAGCATTTCTTAGAACTAGATTCTTCCTATATCAACATAGGAAATGAGTAAGTGGTTTTTAATTGGGTCTGTGTTTATTTTTGTAAACATATATTTATCTCACTTCATTCTTTCCCCCATCATCATATTACAGTGTATGTACCATAAAAATAAGACAAGTCAAAATATCTTTAGAAAGGTCATCTCTCCAGAAATCAAAAATTATAAATATTTCCTTGTATCTAGTTAAAAAATGATAGTTGGACAAGACCTTTTGCCATCAAAATTGATAAATCTAGCCCCCATCTTAAGAAAGAAAAACAGTAAAAACTATCTAGCTAATCTGAACAAAACTGGGTGAGACAAAAATGTTTGGATTAACAGGGTGTTCACAATCACATGTTAAGGTTTCTTAATATGTGAACTGATGGGGATATAAAAATAGAACAGAGATAAAGTGTTCACATTGAGAGGTGGTCGGATTAGAGATGTGCTCAGGTATCTTAGTTTTACTGAACATCTACCATTACAAACAATATAGAATTTTATGTGCAAGTCACCTTGTGTGCTGTGAGTTTGAGTTACATCAGGTGGGGAGACATGAATTGTAGCAATGCCACATTCTTTACAGAGAGCTTCCACCCACTCATCTGCTTCAGCCTCTGAAATAAATGGATATGTACATCAAATGTTTTAATGTTCTAGATTCTCTCTTCTTAAAGAAACAGCCTCTAAAGTTTCTCTCTCTATGTACAGGGTGTTCAAAAAAAAACGCAACCCAAAGAAATCGCTATATCTTGGAAAATACCAGTCCAATTGTGTTCATTTTTTCAGGAAGGAAAGAAGAGACTGTGTATGTATAGCTCATGTTGTTAGTTAGTTGTAAAACATGATGCCTTGGACAAATGCTCAAAAGACATTAGTATTGGAAAGATACGAAAAACGCAGTCAGAGACTACTGCCACAGCAATAAAACCAAATAACTTTCTAACCATAGTGTTTTGGCTATTCAAATTTGGCACAAATCATCTTCATTCAATGTATGATAAATCTGTAGAGTGAAATCAAAATCACTCCAGGGACTTTACAGTTTTGGTTGAAATGCTCTCAAAACCCAGTCAAACACCCTGGTTCAGTCAGACTTAAGAAGGCATTTTGACCATGACTGTAAAGTCCCTGGAGTGATTTTAATGAAACTCCCCCAATTCACTACACATTATATGAAGATAATTTGTGGTGAATCTGAAGTGCCAAAACACCATGGTTAGAAAGTTAGTAGGGTTTATTGCTCTGGCAGTCACCTCTGGTTGCGTTTTTCGTATCTTTCCAATACTAATGTCTTTGGAGAAGGTGTCCAAGGCATCATGTTTTACAACTAACTAACAGCAGGAGCTATACACACATAGTCTCATCTTTCTTTCCTGAAAAAATGAACACAATTGGACAAGTATTTTCCAAGATATAGCGATTTCCTTGGGTTGCGTTTTTTTTTTGAACACCCTGTACATAGATTTAATGTACTGGATATTTTTTTCTTAAAGAAGCAGCCTCTAAAGTTTCTCTCTCTATGTACATAGATTTAATGAACTCGATATTTTTTATTAAAGAAGCAGCCTCTAAGGTTTCTCTCTCTATGTACATAGATTTAATGTACTGGATATTTTTTCTTAAAGAAGCAGCCTCTAAAGTTTCTCTCTCTATGTACATAGACTTAATGTACTGGATATTTTTTATTAAAGAAGCAGCCTCTAAAGTTTCTCTCTCTATGTACATAGATTTAATGTACTGGATATTTTTTTCTTAAAGAAACAGCCTCTAAAGTTTCTCTCTGTATGTACATAGATTTAATGTTCTGGATATTTTTTCTTAAAGAAGCAGTGCCTCTTACATTTCTCTCCCAGAAAATCATCTATGACCCATTCTTTGTTGATATAAAATCTTACATGCATTAGATATCTCTTGAGACCAACTTATGGGCACAGTATTGTTGATACTAGTATATTGAGAAAAGCAACAAAACATCCAACTGTCAGAGTTGAATGGAATTTCAGCTTTCCACAGGGAATTCCCATCACAAGCATCAGCATGTGACTTAAAATCAGATTTCGAGTGGATTGGTTGTTAGTTTATTTTCCAATTTCTGCCTGTCCAGTTAATAAATCATTTTTGCGTACAATCATGAAATTGACAATGTAAACATAGGAGTCCATATCCAACAGTTGGTACATAAATGGCTGAATCTGTTTTACACCTCCTAGTGCAAACATTATCAAGGGGTACTCAATTATGCTCTTAACAGACACTGCCTCTTTAATTGATTTGTTTGAGTGCACTACAATTCTACCTCTAATAAAAAATGAACACATAAACCTTTAATATGCCTTAATTAATTTGTTAAACAAATCAGAGGTAAATAAAAGCTTGTTGAATTCTTTACAAGTACAAAGTATGTCAAAAATACAAATTTCCAAAAAACTTTTGTCTGAAGTCTATGTTTTGTTTTTATTTTAGATACTTTCTAGACAATTTTCAATCTTTATTTGCTCAGTGAAACTTAAATTTAAGTCTGATTGCCTTATAACTATTGAGGCGTAGATGGTGAAAGTTGATACCTAGAGAAAGGAACTCACCTGATTCAACTGCAAAACAACGAGACGTCAAATCCTGGAAGACAATTGATACTGCATGTTTTTTAATGTCATTTGGCAATCTTGAAATACTTTTAATCTCTGAAAGTTCTATGGCTTTATGGATGGCAGACACATTTCTCGAAGCACTCTCATCTGGGTATTTCTCTAATCGTCTTGGCCCCTTGCTAGATGCCTTCCTAAGCATAACCCATCGTCTTTGCCAGGCCTGAAAAAAGATGTATAAATTGTGTACTACATTGGCTCATTGATTTCAGTAATAAAATAACTGTCATCTAATAAACTGGTATAGAATCACTTAAGACTTACACTTTCGAAGATTACCATTTTATAATACTTGGCTTTTTCAATTATTTAATTGAACTAAAAAATATAATTGGCCATTTATATAGAGACATGACTATCTCATTATTTGAACGTGTTTGAAGAAGTTTATTAATCTACCTGACAAAACAGTCATCTATTCAGTGAAATTACTTTCCATTGGGAAATATTTTTAGAATCTTCAGAAGCAATACTGTACAATGATCACCAAATAGAGAAAGTTTCAACAGTTCAATGTTTTTCTCAGACTTTCTGCAAGCTGAACTACATGTGATTAAAGGTGCAACAATCGATGCAGAGGCTAAGCCATTTAACGATCATGAACCAGTATCAAAATATATTTAAGTTTGAATATTTCATCAAGACCTTCATATATTTTTATTATCTCCAAAGAAACCCCTTGGATGAACATTATAATTTCATCTGATATTCCTCAATCCTCCTTAAACGTGATCTTAAAAATCTATAAGTGGGACTTCTTTTATAGAAGCTTTGAACTGAATTCACACTTCTAAATGCTGAAATTGATGCATACATTTAAGAAAATTGGTATGTCAGAGAACACGTTAAGCCAAATGCTGCCCTGATAACTGAAAAAGTCAAAATTTTCAAATTTTCTCTCTACAGGCCTTGTTGTTAAGTTACCAGTTCTGACCCCCATTCCCTTATAATTTATTTTGCTGTATTTCCTACCTACTGAGGTTCTAGGTACATAACGAGCGGGAATATATAGTGTATCTAGGGACCGGGATGGATACACGCTGTATCCATCCCGGTCCCGCTCCTGAAATTTTTTTTTTCAAAATTTTGTTTCAATTTTTTACAATTTTTTTTCAACATTTTTTTCAAAATTTTTTTCTCGAAATTTTTTTTCATATTTTTTTAAAAAATCTTTGTCAAAAATCTTTTTCACATTTTTTTCAAATTTTTTTTCAATTTTTTTTCAAAATTATTTTTCACATTTTCTTTCAATTTCTTTTCAAATTTCTTTTTTTCAAATTTTTTGAAAATCTCACAAACTTTAAGACCAAGAAAACGTCGTACCTTAGTATGTTTTGGAATTTTGGATCTTTATAAGGTATGATGTACCTAGAAGTTGCTATAGAACCTCAGTAGGTATGAAATACATCTGTTATGTACTGGGAGGTTTTGGATACAGGGTTTATCCCAAGGGAAATATGTGTATCTCCCGAGGGACCTCCCAGTACATAACTGGTCCCTCGGGAGATACACATATTTCCCTTGGGATAAACCCTGTATCCAAAACCTCCCAGTACATAACCGTTATATATTGTATAAGATATGTTGGAAGGCCGAAACTTAAACTGAATGACAGCATACCGTAGAATGAGATCTTAAAGAACAGGGCTTCGATTCAAAAACAAGACTGATGATAAATAAAATTATTATTCATGTGCATGTCTTGATTTGATTTGAAACTCTTGATTTAAAATCACAACCCCCCCCCCCCTTCTACACCTTATCATCATGAGTTAAGTGCTTCCTTCAATTAATGTCACAGAGTTTGTTTGTGTTTATTTATGGCATGAAGAGATCCACTAACAATTCATATTGACAGACAGCTAAATCAATATTTTTGAAGTCAACTTAATACATGTAATATATGTACATGTCTTTTCTAAAGTAAATATCATATTGTCCCTCGGAACAAAATCTATATTCCCTCTGGCCTCCAACAAAACAACCATTATATTATGCTCTGCAATATTATATTTGCACTGTATGAATTGAGGTTTTATGAATGATATTCAATTATTAGTTTTTCGTGTTTGCGTGATACAGCAATAAAAGTAAACGTGACCATCAATACTACATTTGTAATAATTAAATGTCATATTACTGTAGTGTATGTTAAGATCAGATATATGTGTTATGATAATCCACCAACTAATCAGAAACATATATTGCAGATAATCAAGTACTATTATCTTATCTTTCAATAGACTAGATGCAAGTAGAAACAATTTTGATTCACATCATTATAGATTAAAAATTCAGTCAAATTGATATCTTATTTGAAATTGACATTTAAAATTACAAGTTTTGTACATCCAAAAATGTGGTTTTAAAAAGTGTTTATCAACTTTGAAAATGTTATTTTCTTTGAAAATGTGTAAGGGAGGTTCCCCATAGACCCCATATTATGAAATCACAAAAGTGAAATATCTTATCTTGTATTAGATAATATTTTCTTTTACTGGACATACTTTAATTTGCATAACTATAAGATACACAAGGGTGACATTTGAACAACAAAAGTAAAACTGATGAATATTATATTCAAGTTTAAGGGAACTTTCTAGCCTTGCCAAAGTCGGTATTTTTTCTAATACCCTGCTATCTTATCTGCCCCGAATTAGCTACCTGGTTGTGAAACCTAACTACTCGCATCTTGCTTATTTAAATAACAAACACTTAAAAAATTCTCACAAAAAGGTAATTTTATTGTAAAGACTTAACAGGAATTTGGTTTGTTCAAAGCAACATTCTATTCATGAAGAAAAGTTTAAAAGAACTTGGATTGTAAATTGTAGCTCAGTATTGTAATTTAAATAAAATCTATGATAAACAAGTTCCATTGACAATGTACACATTGTATATCGAGTAAGGTTTGATATATTGAAATTCTTACCCCTAGATTCTTTCCTTTTAAGCGTACATAGCCTTTCTTTACAATATCCTGATAACTGACAGACATTATGTGCAGCCAAAGAGTATCCTTCAAGTGTTGCCCTCCTCTAGGTTTTTCCTAGGGTTGTCTAGGTTTGTCCTCCCTAAGGAGGCTTTCAAGGGAAATTTTTTCCAGGGGTCGATGTGCTCCGGTAGGCTTACAAGATTAATTCCTGAGGGTCTATCCCTTACTATTTCTTCTAAGGACCTCCTTAGGGTTGTCCTTTTAGGCTTGTATTCTTCATATAGGGTTAATGCACTCCATGTTCTGCAGAGTAGTCAACCTTTGCTTCTGCATTTGATCTGGGGTTCTTACATATTATACTCAGGACGTGTACAATTCAATCAAATGCATCATGCATTTACGGTCCTGCAAGTGAACATAAATAATGTCATCAGGGTACAATAGCAGCAGAAACGAAATACACCGATGGGAGCATGCCGATGTGATCTTATAAGCATGGCATGTACCAATCACATCAATTGTTTATGTGAAGTTGCCATGCTTACCATTTTGTCCACAACATTGGTACTAGATAGTTAAATGTCGTTAAACTCAATAACCGCTTTCTTTACTATTAGGAATTTTCTTGGGCCATAAGACATGTCAGATAAGAAACGAGGCCGAAGCTAGGTCTAATGTTGTTGGACTACATTGGTACATGTATGTTGAAGACTAGCACTACCAGGGAGTACATGTACCACACAAAGTTGTATCAAGTCCTTTTTGGTCCACTATTGGGTTCTTTGCATAGTGAACACCATCCATTGATCTCTATAGGAAATGGTATTCACTATCATAGGCCAAGGGTAAAGTAATAGTAAGCCGTATATAGAAGAGTCTATTCTATATACATGTACAGCTTACTATTACTTTTCCCTTGGCCTATGTTCACTATGGTTCTTTGGGCGTCCCATACTCAATCTACATTTATATACCTCTGTGCATTGAGTGTGAAGACACTCAAAAACCTCATAGATGACCAAAAAGGCCTAATACAACTTTCTGTAAGTGTATGAGTCATTCACTGAGTCGAGTGTAAACAAATAAGAACAAATACAATTATTGTACTTGTATTGTACTAGATCAAACTTATATTGATCTATATGAATGGAAATTAGGGGATATTACCTCATTAAATGCAAACTTACTTCTAGTAAAGAATCCTCTGGAATAGTGAAGACTTCCACCGTAACGAGTTCAAAGTACGTGCAGAAAAACTGATTAAAAGTGTCACTGGAAAGTTCGTGACTTCTACCCGGAAGTTTTGCAATTATTTTTAGATGAGCTGCTCAGTTATTCTGTTATTCATTTCGAATTTTAACAAACGAGAATGTTTACATGCAGTTTACATAATTTTCATCGAAATACAATTTTGATAAACATACTATTGACAATTTGTGAGTATTGAGTTCATTAAATTGTTAACTGCTTATTGTATCATAAAATAGAATATATTTCTAAGTACGTGAAATTGAAATGAATATAGTGAACAGCTCCGGACGAAATAGTTTGGGAAATTCAAATTTTTAATAATTTTATTTTATTCCACCAAAAACGGTGAATTTGGCACTTTCAGTAGACTTTAGAAGGTAGGGTATTTATTTTTTACCCAATTCTACATAATTTTGTTACTTCTTGCAACCATAATTGAAGTTAGGTTGCAATATTTTGTACATCCATGGGCTTTCAACTAGAAGGGTATGCAACTCTATGTAATAACATGAGACCTTCAAAATGAGCAATGACATGCTTCCCTTTTATGGCAATATTTCAAAAAGTATTAGATAAATGTATATGTTTTAGTATTATTTTGAATAAAAATCAATTTTTAATATGATTTAAGCATAAAATATATTCAATATCATATAAAAGTAAACAAAAGAGACCAATAAGAATAAGAGTTATCAAGATGTTCTCTTTGAACATTGCATTGTGGGTAATTATTCAAGAACACATTCCAATAAAAACATAATTTGTGGGAGAATGTTCACTTTCTGTATTGTCATAATTATGATGAATTCCAATTTTTATTAAATTATCAAGATGTATGTAGAAGATCACGTTTTTATTTTTGAGTTATTTCTTTTAATCATCAATAAAAAGTACAAAATAAGATTTTCTTGGAATGTGTACATTCTCCAATTTTGAAAACCCATGGCAATGTTTATGTATGAAATATGGGAAGTTGCCTACCCTTCTAGTTGAAAGCCCATGGTACATCAAATTGGAAATCAAAATATGAAAAATGCCAGACTAGCCGACTAGCCTAGCTAGACTAAGCTAAAGGCCGAGACCTAAATTACATTGGTGAATTTGTACAATCTCAGTCCACCATCCTTGGCCCAAGAGATTGGTAAGAAAGTGATTAAAGAGTTGAAGCTAGGGTTACGTCAGCCATTTGTGACAACGGTATCTTACCGTTGTCAGGGTATTCAAGGGTGTATATATAACATCAAAAACAATTTTCCATCTGTGAACAATGACACAACAAGTAATCAACAAGAGAAACACAATCTATGAGAGACAATACTGTATGAACATGTTATTATAAAGCCCAAGGTTGGCTGGGTAAAATTGTAATCAATTTTTCATATTTTATAATTGAATTGTAAGACTGACCACTATAAATAAATTAAACTAAACTATAAAACAAGACAGCACTCATGTTCTAACAGAGTCATTTCACCTATACTTTGAATAGTCCTTTTTGCATGAGTATCTAAGCAAGAAGTATTGACCAATTCAAAACCATGTACCACTGGCACATTCCCTTACTCAAATTAAATTGGATATATAAACTAACATAATGAGGGACCTGGTATGCTAAATTTTTAATTGATTATTAAAGTGAATTCTGAACGCAAATATCCCATATCATAGCCGTAGGCAGCGGGGGTTCGGTGGGTTCGAACGAACCCCCGGTCAGGATTTCCCAAAATATCATTTTGCGGAAAAATGCATATAACCAGAATCATTAAATTACTGTGCTATTTGAAAACTACATACCGTATATGAGCAGTAAATGAATTGATATTTGTTGGTGTTCTTAAAAACATGTCTTAGTGAAGTTACACTTCCCTCAAAACGTTTGGCAACCTTAGGCACGGGGTGAGATTTAATTTTGGGAAGACCCCAGAGCATGAGATTTTACATTTAGAAATAACAATAATAATTTCGCACAATTAACTTAGAAGCATGCTTCTTCTCGGACAAAATAACCCATCTTGGGCAATGGCTAAATCAGTCCTCTGTCGTCTGTAGGAAGCCACCAGTTCTGTTCCAATACGAAGTTATTTAAAGTTATTGAAAACAATGCAGACGTCCCATACTCCGAATGATTTTTACAACATTGACGAATAAATATCTGGAATAGTTTTAATATTGATTAAACACACGTTCTTTCAAATGTGTACATCTCTGTTTTGTTTTATTTCGATTAAAATTTAATTAAAATATTTCTTGGGACGTCCCTGGGGCTGGCAAGTCCCCGAAACCAATTGCGTTAAATAATTAAAAACGTTGTGAAATGAATTATTTAAAAGCGTATATCATTTATAAACACGAGCATTTGTTCAATTTATTCATTCTTTCATTTGTTCAGTGTTTATTTACCCATCACTTTCCCAAAGAAAAATCAATCATTGCAAAAAATGATTTTGTTTTTTCAGATACACTCCACTCATCTAAGAGATTGTATAGAATTCAAATTGTTATCGTTCCAGTTTACTTGCTCTCCATTTTCGTGTTAATGTAACGATATGTTTAGCGAATAAATTATATAATAAAAAAACATTGAAAAGTTAACAAAATAACAGTCGCTTGTATTTATATAATTTATATCCACTAAAACGTTTTTATTATCAATTGCGGTTGATCTGCTCTGTGTGACTTACTACTGAGCTCCGGGGACGTCCAAAGAAATATTTTTAACGTTTTAAAACAAAGCATAACCGAGACCCACTTATTTGAATGATATATATTTTCATCAATAATACGATTTTGCACTTTCATTTTTGCACTTTGAATCATTAATAACTTCACCAATTTATAACATGTTGTGAATCTTTTGGGAGATATTGTATTTGATGTTGTAAGGAATAGATTGGTAAGTCAATTATACATGTTGCTTGTAATTTTGTCACCCCCTATAGATCAGATTCTGCCTTTAATAAGGTATTGAAATGAATTGTATTTCCCCTCCCAAAATAGTTTTTTCTTTACAAATTATGCATATAAGAATTCAAACTTAAAGATGCTTTAATACATAATCCAATGGGTTAGTTAGGATTGCCAAACTGTTGGAGGGAGTGTAATTGTACAAATTGCATTATTTGAGAAACCCTAATGAAGGGGAGGGGGGGGGGGTTGTGAATATCATAAAAATAGAACCCCCGGTCACCAAATCCTGGCTACGCCACTGCATATGCCATTGGCTTAAAATAAGCCTACAATCCAGTGTTTATGTTTTCATATCATATCTTGTCTTATTTCTTATCTTATCTTAGAACCTAAACGGACATTTCTCATATTGGGTACACATGCATTTCTACAAGGCCTCTTGTTTGCCTAACAGAAACTTCTTGAAGTTTAAAACAGTCTTAATCATTGCACTCGTTGATATTACGATGCTTTATTTTTGACAAAATTCCCCTGAATAGCCATACAAGGTACATTATTTAAAAGAAGTAGAATTAGTCGAAATTGAGATTTGTACTGTACTTGCTTCTTTCAGGGAGAATACAGGACTCTTAAGATGGTTGATCCATATTGGCCACCTGAAGCTTTCATAGCGCACCCAACAAATTCCTCCAGTGACATTGAATTAGAATTACAGGATTTCACGAGTCTAAAATCAGAACATGACCAAGGTAAGATATAATGTAATTAAATGGCAGGTGGCGGTAAGGCCTCCTTTTAGCCACCCCCCTCCCCAGATGCCTTTGTAAAATGCAATATATTTTTTTTCAATTTATTTTAACAAAAATTACCGTAAAACCTGCTCAGTGAAACATCTCTGGAAGTGAAACACCTCACAAGTACAGTAAGTAGGTGGTAGGTGTTCACTACAGATAGATGATTTCATACAGAAGTCGGTGGAGTATATGCAAAAAGGGTTGTTTACTAGACAGGTGTTCACTAAAGAGAGGTGTTCACTAAGACAAGTTTAGCTAGAGTTGTCAAAGAAGTCAAATTTCCAAAAGCAAATGACATAATTATATATTGAACCTATGAAAGTGGAACATCTAGGAACTTGAACATTGAACACACCACAATGAAAAAAATTCCCGTAAAAGTGAAACAATCAAGATTCATTAGAATATCCTCTTACAGTGCTTCCTGGGTAGGACTCAACAGGGCAACTTGATAATGCATTGGCATATAAGATAATGGGTCACAAAAATGATCATAATTGATTGAATTGGATTAAGTAAATCTCCAACTGTGATCTTTTTAGCAAGACACAACAAGCAATTAACCTCCTGTAGACATTGGTGTATGATACTACCCCTTGTTGTTTGTTTCTGACTTGATTGCAATAAAATAAAGTGCCTTTCATACTGTCGGGAAAAACTGATGCAGCAGTTACTGTGTTAAGTAGAGGCTACACACATGTACATTATGGGGAATGAGGACATTACAAAACTATCACAGCAAATTGAGGGAAGTGAGTACAGAGTTTCTACTAAACCATGTTGTTTAATTATTTCATACACATGTATCAGTGTTCTCCACAGATTTTTCTCAAGTGGGTGCAAAATTCTCATTTTCACAATTCAGACCAAAATTGGACAAAATACCTCATTTTCAAGTTTGTGCAAATGGATTTTCTAGTGGGTTCAAGCCTGTTTTCAAAATCTCAGGTGGGAGTTGCACCTACTTGCTGAAATGCTGGGGGGGGGGTCACTGTAAGTATATTCAATACGGTTGTATGACATTGGCAATGAAGGTTGTTTCAAGATATTTGAACAGTATTTCATGAAATAAAACATATATGTTTCACTATGATTCCAATATGTGGCGACTGGATAATTATGGTTGGAACGAATAGATTCAGATTATACTTTCCGAAATTATGCATTGATTTTATTAAATTTATTTAGATGCACAACTAGCAGAATTTTTATCAAATAAACACATTTTAGTTATTTATTCATCATAAAAATATCACTGAATGTGTATTTATATCATAGCTACAATTTGATATAACAAGACGATACTTAAAACATAAATGGCTACATCCGTTATCCCCGATTGTTCCCACTTTCAAGCGGGTGCAATTGGATTTTCAAGCTTATTATTAAAATCTTAATTTAGTGAAATGCCCACTAGCTAAATGCTGGGAGATTTTTAGTTAATGAAAGTTAATGAAGACACAGAATCAAATCGTGTGCCAAGGGCTGATGTGAAAAAGTCAGTCTACCCCAGTGGGGGTGATGTCACATGGACTTTCCCACAGGCCATTCCCCCAAGCAGTTCATGAAGAAGAGACAAAAAAAGTTCAACCTTAAATGGGACATCCATTGGACAAATAAACGTACAGTAAAACCTTTGGAGATGTTCCACTTATATAGATTCTTTTAAAATTAAGTAGATGGGTCATTTAAGTCTGAAAAGTGTTCCATTTACAGAGGTGTTCCACTTTACAGGTATCACTGTTATATAAATCATGCATGCACTCAAAATCCGAGTGATACGTTAACCTCTTAAGTGGTATATCTTACAAGTCACTAGTGGAACACCTTTTTGGAAGAACCGAGGGTGTTCTACTTACACATGTTTTACTGTATACTTCATAAATACCTCTTCCTTTACATGGCTCTCAACATTAATACCATTATTGTATTTTATCATAGAAAATGGGTTACCACAACAACAACAACAACAGGGTATTCTAGATGAACTCTCTGTAATGCCTTTGTCCCAACCAACCGTTGTCTTCTCAACTCCACCAAAGAACACACATCAACAACATGATGGTTTATCAGGTGTTACACAGGAGCGAAATGCGTTGCAAGAAATGTACACGAATAAAAACATTGGAGATACTGACAGTCAAAATGCTGTAAAATCTCCCAGTTGCTGTAATCGTGACATCGTAGTTGAAAAGCAAGATAAAGAGGGACAGAAAACAGACAATGAAGAGAGTGATTCTACTGTGAATTACAATAATGAAAATCCAGACTCAGTTGACTCGAATGACTCAGATAGTAAGATACATCACAGTGCAAAAAAGTCAAGTGCTAAAAAGTCGAGAGTATTAAATTCAGAATCAGAATCAGACTCGGATAAATCACAACAATCAGCCACTGATGAAGACACATATAATGATAGAGAGGAAAGCAATGTCAAAGCAAGAGTCAAACAAAAGAGAAAGAGACCATCCGAAAAATCTAGTAAAGAAATAAATTACCCTGCATTGCAGAAAAGACCTAAACACAAGGAAGCCTCATCATGTGATGATGATAATGATGATGATCATTCACCAGTCATGGAAGGGAAAGATTCGAGAAGGACAATCAATGAAAGTGGGTCAGAATATACTCCAGACTCTGACACTGAATCAGAAGATGCCGAAGGGAGTGATATTACTGAGGCTAGTGCAAGTGAGCTCCCTAGTGTATCTGAATCAGAAACCAGTGATGATTCAAAATCAAGCACATGTTCTAGTGGTTCAAAATATGTTCCATCACCATCGACCTCAAAAGGTCAAGGAAAAAAGCAACGGGAGCTCAGATCAGAAAGGGTGCGATCAACCTCCTCCTCTTCTAGTGCTGATGACTTTAAGTCTTCACGTTCATGCTCTAAGAGAAGACAGAAGGGAAAGCCACACAAACGCAATTCAAGTAGGAGGAATTCAAGTTCCTCAGAATCTGATTTCAGGACATCAAAGAACAAAAGACGCCAGTCCAAGAAAACTTCGAAGTAGGTGAATTTAATTAGGGGTGCAAAATACATAACTGATTATACCTTGTTCCCCTTTAAGGTACTTGAAATACTGTAAATATCAAATATGTTGCATATTTAATCCTGTTATTATTTTAATTAAGGAATAAAGACTGAGATTTTATGATTTATGGCATATATATGACCGAAAATTTTATTCTGTTCATTGTTAAAAGACCTCAATCACGTAGCGATTGAGGTCTTTGGCAATGGCCAGAATAAAATTTGACATAAATCATTAAATCGAGGTCTTTGTTACGATTCTAATATGATAAACAGACAAGAAAAACAACTTTTTGCATTAAAGAATTTTAGTGGTCATACATACTCCAATATAGACCAGTAAATCAATTGTTCTAGCTATTGTGCTGTCACGTATCATATTAGAATGTTGAATATGAATATGGTTAAAATAGTAACCTGAAAATGCCTTTAATGGTGGCATTTTCTGTACACATTTTCCTTTCGATTCCTACTTAATTCTAAGACCTTCAAACAAAAAGAAAAATCACATCTCTGAGGTTGTTCCATTCGGAAACAGATCCATTTTTGTAAACAGTTTGAAGAGTGCCAACACATTGACTTATGTCATACAACTTAAATGCAATATAATATACTAATATTTGAACTATAAGATGACCTCATTCTCCTAAAATAAATTTTGCATCTTATGATCTTCACAATCATATCACTGATATTGGAAAAAATAGGGAAAAACCTATACTTGACCTTCTATTATATCTGACCTTGACCTGAGATGACCTTAAAAGTTATAAAATATTTTAATTGTCTATTATAATAGAAGGAAGAGGAAAGACTCTGGCATGGATGCTTCTTTCTATCGTAACTTTGACAACGAGCAGAAACACCACCAAATAGAAGAGGAAGAAGAGTTAGATGAGGACCAGGAATTTCAACAAGAGGTTTGTATAATTTTGATTTTGTTCCAACTCTTAATTCAATGTGAAATTGAATTAAATTTCTACAAACCTTTTGCTAAAAATATTTTGATTCAAAAAATCCTGAGTCGATAAATGACAAGTTCAACAGTAAGAACGATTTTGTGAAAAAATCAGTGAAAAACAATAATATTTTCAGGTTTCACTTTCTGAGGAGGTAAAATCAGGTTAGGGTTAAATCATTGGAAAATCAACTTAGTTTTTTTAAAGCGTTGAAATTTGTGAGATGATTTGAATTTTAGAAAATTAATGTTTACTTTACAGTAAGGTGATAGCCCTACTGTGAACCTTTGTTCAAGCTTTTTATTTTTTCTTATTGAGATTTATGGAGGATTAATATAAGAAGGATTACAGATTCAGTTTTATTCTTAGATACTGCAATATGAATTAAAAAATGAATTTAGTTATAATGATTGACGATAATAGTGCTCTATATTGCAGCTGGCAGACTACAAAAAATCAACCAATGAAGAGAAATTGAAGTACCTCATTGAGAAAACGTTAAGACAACTACTGTACTCACCTGAGCAGTTCAAGAACTATGTTGAATCCCTTAGATATGGTATGCTTTTTGCCAGTTTATATCCTTCCATAAGTGTACATGTCAACATGTTAAAATATAAGGAAATGCAATGATTGAATAATTATTTACAGTCTGGCTCTATTTAACCGTTTCTTTAATGAGCATGTGTATTAATGATCAAGTAATTTTCTCCTGGCACAGTCTAGTGGGCAGTCTAGACCATTTCACTAGAAGAAACCCATCAGACACCAGTGAAATGCATGCAAACTGATCAGAGTTAAGATGAAATTATAGACAACATGTGACATATTTTTACGATTCATCATCGATGTATTTTATGCTTTGTTTGTATGAAATTCTATGATCATTTAAGTACAAGAACATCACCTTATCTAGGATGAGGCAGAATGGTGTCCAGTTTTTGTAAAACATATGGAAAAGTATACCTCTGTTGTTAGTTTTAGCAAAACTCTACACCTACGTGTAGCTATGCCAATGACATATGTTCAATTTATTGTTTCAGTGAAAATTGTAGATCCTGCGATTCAGCATGTGATGGATAAATGGATAATGCCAAAAGCAGAGCTGGTGCAATCAACTGCATGGAGGCGCAACATAAATGTAAATTAATCTTAATGAAAAAATAAAAATATATTCTTTAGGGGTTTTCTTTTTCTAATAACGAAGTTTGAAGGGATATAGAGATTGCCTTCATCTGTCTGTCTGTTGTACATCCATCTGTCTGTACATCCATCAGTCCTTCTGTCTGTCCAGGCAAAAACTCAAATACCTTTAATCCAATATTGGTTATATTTTATACCTATGTGTCCTAAGTACAAGTTCTGCTCGAAAGTCGAAATGAAAATGGCCATTGCTTTCAAAATGGCCTCGATTTAAATGTTGATTTTAATCATTTTTTGTTTGAATTGGAATTTCCTGGAAATTTACAGTCTTGAAATATAGCTTTCTTTTTCATTTGAGATTTGAATATAAATACAAGTATCTGTATTTATCTGTATTATCTAAATGTTACACTCAATTTAGAAAAATGTTCTATATCATTTACTTGTACTTTAATAAATATGTATGAATGTGGATGATAAAAGCATATTAACCCAGATTTCAATGAATCAACCTTATTTCATAATTTTCTAGGAGGCAGCCTCTTCTTTGTCAGTGGCAATATTTGATGAATATGAAACAATAAGAATGAAGTGTCAGGTACGTAAAATAATTTGGTGTACTCCCTTTCTATATTTTACAGAAGATAATATTTATCTTGGTTTTGACCTTGAGTCAGTAAAATTTATCACCATTTCAGTTACAAAGTTGAACATTTCCCTAGCTAGCATCTTTAACAAATAAGCAGCACTGGTATATTCTTCAAACTAGTTACCGAAATGTTAACAAAATGTCGGAATCTCGAAGTTACGATTTTTCTTTTTTCCTTATTTAATGAGCTGTAGGCAACATTTTTATCACAAACATGTGTCAGCATCACATGTTTAATAAAATCTAGATATTTGCGAAGAAATAGTTCAGAAAACGAAAGAATAATAAATATATTTCCTCACTTGAAAAGGTACATGTATGTGAGGTATTATATCGGTGATTCTGTCATCTACTGAACTATTTGTTTGCAAACATGTAGATTTTCTTAAACATTGATACTGACACACGTTCGTGATAAAAATGTTGTGGAGATTGTGCATACAATGTGGGAAATAAGGAAAGCAGAAAAATCGTACCTTCAAAGTTCCAATACTATGTTACTGAAATGGATACATTTCCTCTCTAGTTTAAAGGGTGCAGTACCAGTTAAGTAGACTACTGTTTCAATTGTCAAGTCCAATAACTGGAGTTTTCTTATAGTGACTTTCTGTGCCGCAAAAACAGCTTATTGGCCCATATTTTGAATAATAGGAATGTGTAATATTCCAGTGCTGTGGCAGAAAGAGAATGATAACAAAGAAAGCAATATTTACAGGAAACAAATACAACAGGGATACACTTGTTACAGATGATGATGAGGTAACTCAGATCACCAGTCAAATGTAATAAACTTGCATGTTTTGCCAGAAAGCACATATTGACAATTAAAGGAGTCTTTCATGTATGATAAAGAAATTATATTAAAATATTCAAAGCCCATTTTTAAGTCACAATATAATTCTCTACTGAACAATTCGCTTTAGGTGCATGTTAACACTGAAAAATTCCTTTACTACTCATATTGTACATTGCATGTACACCTATTCAGAAAAAAGAAAAGAAAGTAAAATACATTATGGCTTGATTATGATTATTTTAAAGGTAATCAATAGTAATTGAATATTTAAATCTTTTATCCAAAGAAGTCCACAATTGCAAACATCAATTTTAGGCATCATAGTTTGTCTGTTGGGATTTGCAACTTGGTTGAGATGTCGTTTTTATGTCACCACCAAAAGTGGTGACATATTGTTATGGTCTCCGGTTGGCGTCCGGCGTCTGTAACAATTTCTTACAACTTCCTATAACTTAAAAAATACTGTTTAGACTGACTTCAATTTTTTTCTAAATCATCTACATGTTCTCAGAAGTTCAAATCTGACTTTAGATTTGACATTTGACCTTCAATGACCTTCTCAAGGTCAAAAAGGTCTTTTTTCAACTTGCTTCACATTGACTAAATTTTTTTTCAAAATCATCTACATGTTCTCAGAAATTCAAATCTGACTTTAGATTTGACATTTGACCTTCAAATCTGACTTTAGATTTGACATTTGACCTTCAAATCTGACTTTAGATTTGACATTTGACCTTCAATGACCTTCTCAAGGTCAAAAAAGGTCAAAAAGGTCTGTTTTCAACTTGCTTCAAATTGACTAATTTTTTTTTTCAAAATCATCTACGTGTTCTCAGAAATTCAAATCTGACTTAAGATTTGACATTTGACCTTCAATGACCTTCTCAAGGTCAAAAAAGGTCAAAAAGGTCTGTTTTCAACTTGCTTCAAATTGACTAAAAAATTTTTTCAAAATCATCTACATGTTCTCAGAAATTCAAATCTGACTTTAGATTTGACTTAAGATTTGACATTTGACCTTCAATGACCTTCTCAAAGTCAAAAAAGGTCAAAAAGGTCTTTTTTCAACTTGCTTCAAATTGACTAAAAATTTTTTTCAAAATCATCTACATGTTCTCAGAAATTCAAATCTGACTTTAGATTTGACATTTGACCTTCAATGACCTTCTCAAGGTCAAAAAAGGTCAAAAAGGTCTGTTTTCAACTTGCTTCAAATTGACTAAATTTTTTTTTCAAAATCATCTACGTGTTCTCAGAAATTCAAATCTGACTTAAGATTTGACATTTGACCTTCAATGACCTTCTCAAGGTCAAAAAAGGTCAAAAAGGTCTGTTTTCAACTTGCTTCAAATTGACTAAAAAAAATTTTCAAAATCATCTACGTGTTCTCAGAAATTCAAATCTGACTTTAGATTTGACTTAAGATTTGACATTTGACCTTCAATGACCTTCTCAAAGTCAAAAAGGGTCAAAAAGGTCTTTTTTCAACTTGCTTCAAATTGACTAAAAATTTTTTTCAAAATCATCTACATGTTCTCAGAAATTCAAATCTGACTTTAGATTTGACATTTGACCTTCAATGACCTTCTCAATGTCAAAAAAGGTCAAAAAGGTATTTTTTCATCTTGCTTCAAATTGACTAAATTTTTTTTCAAAATCATCTACTTGTTCTCAGAAATTCAAATATGACTTTAGATTTGACATTTGACCTTCAATGACCTTCTCAAGGTCAAAAAAGGTCAAAAAGGTCTTTTTTCAACTTGCTTCAAATTGACTAATGTTTTTTTTCAAAATCATCTACATGTTCTCAGAAATTCAAATCTGACTTTAGATTTGACATTTGACCTTTAATGACCTTCTCAAGGTCAAAAAAGGTCAAAAAGGTCTGTTTTCAACTTGCTTCAAATTGACTAAAAAAAATTTTCAAAATCATCTACGTGTTCTCAGAAATTCAAATCTGACTTTAGATTTGACTTAAGATTTGACATTTGACCTTCAATGACCTTCTCAAAGTCAAAAAAGGTCAAAAAGGTCTTTTTCAACTTGCTTCAAATTGACTAATTTTTTTTTTCAAAATCATCTACATGTTCTCAGAAATTCAAATCTGACTTTAGATTTGACATTTGACCTTCAATGACCTTCTCAATGTCAAAAAAGGTCAAAAAGGTATTTTTTCATCTTGCTTCAAATTGACTAAATTTTTTTTCAAAATCATCTACATGTTCTCAGAAATTCAAATATGACTTTACATTTGACTTTAGATTTGACATTTGACCTTCAATGACCTTTTCAAGGTCAAAAAAGGTCAAAAAGGTCTGTTTTCAACTTGCTTCAAATTGACTAAAAAAATTTTTCAAAATCATCTACATGTTCTCAGAAATTCAAATATGACTTTACATTTGACTTTAGATTTGACATTTGACCTTTAATGACCTTCTCAAGGTCAAAAAAGGTCAAAAAGGTCTGTTTTCAACTTGCTTCAAATTGACCAAAATTTTTTTTCAAAATCATTTACATCTTTTCAGAAGTTCAAATTTGACTTTACAAGTTCTCAGAAATTCAAATCTGACTTAAGTTTGAACTCATAATATTGTGAGCAACTAGGTGGTGACATTTTGTCATGTTAATGCCTTGTCTATTTAGCAATCATTATTTTTGTCAAATTGGAGATGTAAATCGCTAAAATGATCTATTTATTTAACATTTGTAGTTGGATGAAGGGGTAACAAGAGAAAAGAAGTTTAAAATTGGAGATGACTGTAGAGCAAACCTTGAGGCATTTCACGATATTCACCACTGGTTGTATCATTTTAAGTCAAGGGCAGTTGTAAAGGTAAGATCACTTTACAATATTCATTGCTTGTTGTATCATTTAAAGTCAGTGTCCCAAGGGTGACTTTGTGATAGACACCACTGGTTGTATCATTTTAAGTCAAGGGCAGTTGTAAAGGTAAGATCACTTTACAATATTCATTGCTTGTTGTATCATTTAAAGTCAGTGTCCCAAGGGTGACTTTGTGATAGACACCACTGGTTGTATCATTTTAAGTCAAGGGCAGTTGTAAAGGTAAGATCACTTTACAATATTCATTGCTTGTTGTATCATTTAAAGTCAGTGTCCCAAGGGTGACTTTGTGATAGACACCACTGGTTGTATCATTTCAAGTCAGGGTCACTTGAAGGGTTGACTTTGTGATAGACACCACTGGTTGTATCATTTCAAGTCTAAGGCACTTGATATGGTAAGATGACTCTATGATATTCACCAGTTGGTGTTTCATTTCAAGTCAAGAAAAAGAGCACTTGATTTTCTCTTCATCTTTGATATTGGTAAGAACATTTTTTGATGGTCACTGCTTGTTGTATCATTTCAAGTCAAGGGCACTTGATAAGGAAAGATGACTTCCTGATTGTCATATTACTGATCGTGTCGGGCACTTTATAAGGTGATATGCTCATCAATATATGGAGATATTTTGTATCAGTGAAAATTTTTGACAATCTTGTCTTGTTCAGCTAGCTATATTGATGCATTTAAGAATACTGGCTTTTCTATTACAATATGCAGTTTTTTTTATTACATTATCCTTTAAAGTATTATTTATAACGCAATGGTATTCATGTTTAGATTGATGAAGTGAAGGCCAAGTTTGGGGATGATGTTGAAGTTGATGAGATCATCACATCAATATTAGAGGATGAAGACTGGATAGAGGAGGTAAAATTAACAATTCAAACCTCATAGTAACCAACATAGAATATTTAATTTTTTTAGTATGGTACAATAAGCTGTGAACACAAAGTGAACATTAAAGATTTAAGTCCAGGATTGAATGAATTATAGATGATTTAAACCATTTTGTAGATACTTTAAACCATGTACATCTTGTTTCCAGACTGAGGGCGGTTCAATTTGTTTACTCATGTGCTTAATTTTTTCCCACATTGCACAGTATTTTGCACAGTGTCACTTAATATAATGTATTCTTGAAAGAAGACTTTTTGCAAGGTTAAATGGGCAAAACAGACCATTTGACATTTTGACTTGCATAAGCACCTGTCTTGCTATTCCTTATGATATTATTGAAGTGTATATACATATAGTCAGATTTATAGACCCAATCCCAACTTATGAATAGAAAAATAGATTATATTATTTATTACATCCAATAAAAATAGTATTGTTCAATTCACAACAAGTAGTTGTTCAGAGTAACACAAATGTAGGTTTTCACTGAATGCAAACTTGAAATTATGGAATTGATGAAAGTAATTATGATGAAATTAATTTCACTGAATCTAAAAAATATGTTGTTGTTTTAAGAATGCAGATTATTTGAAATACTGTGCTCTGATTGAAATTTGATATATCATGCCTAGCTATGTGTAAATATTCTACATTGCAATCTCAAATTACACAATATTTCAACTCTACTCAAATATATTTTGCAGAAATATTATTTTGCAGCAAACTGACGATATTCGGGAGAAGCTTACCACTGCTGAATGTGTAAAGATGAACAGCAAAGCTACCTACAGTTCATGTACAAGAGGCGATTTCGATGATGACTATTACTAGCTTTACTAGCTTAAAACAACAGGTTACTAAGGGATCACCACAGTAAACAAAATGTCTTGTAAACATCTCATTGTTCAAGTATTTTAATTGACATTGTGTATATATTCTGAGAAGAAAAAGCAGTACTTGTGATTTACTTTTAATTTACTACACGGTCAACTCTAGAAAGTCAGCTTGATGCCCCTATCTATATATCTATATTGTGATCATATGGTGGCATATTGTTATTGCCACCATTTTTGTCTTAAGCAGTTGGCATTCGAAGATGAGTACCTGATGTTATTGTCTGTAAAAGTTGCATGTTGTGACATTTTTTGTGTTTGAAAATGCTCCTTGACAATCAGTGTCTTGGTGTCATTTAGGATATTTTAGTTACTTGGATCAAGTTTTGATTGAAACTTCATTTTTAGTGGGTGATACTTTTAAATCAGATTATCATGTAATCATAGAAAATGATAAACATTTCATATTATCTTAGAGGTTAAATTATAAAGGTGACATCTAATTTTGAAAATCACGAGGTTATACTATGTATTGCATGTAAATATGTATATATTGACACATTTTTACCATATACATACAAGAACATACATTTGTATGTAGTACCATTTGTGTATTGCAAAATACATTGCTTTGCATTGTATACAAGGTAGCTGTATCTCATGATCTTCCATGTATGATTATTTTATTTATATCTTCTGTACATTAAATGATAAACAAGTATACGATAGATACATGGACAATGACTATCTACATTGATAAACAAGTATACCATGCATGGAAATATATATCCATTGATAAACAAGTATACCATTCATGGAAATGTATATCCATTGTACATTGATAAACAAGTATACCATGAATTGAAATGTATATCCTTTGTACATTGATAAGCAAGTATACCATGCATGGAAATGTATATTCATTGTACATGATGAACAAGTATGCCATGTATAGAATGTATATCCATTGTACATTGATAAACAAGTATACCATGCATGGAAATGGATATCCATGGTACATTGATAAACAAGTATACCATGCGTGGAAATGTATATCCATTGTACATTGATAAACAAGTATTCCATGCATGGAAATGTATATCCTTTGTACATTGATAAACAAGTTTACCATGCACGGAAATGTATATCCATTGTACATTGAAAAACAAGTATACCATTCATGGGAATGTATATCCATTGTACTTTGATAAACAAGTATTCCATGCATGGAAATCGTTTGTACATTTTAGTTGATTTAATTAAAATGAAAGATAGTATATTTATATAATTTATTAACACTATGTGAGATTTATTTACATTTATTCTTAATCTTTTGTTTGGACAATAATTTATACACATTAGTCTTATGATTTTATAATATACAGTAAAACCTGTCCGATGGAATACCTCTCTGTAGGGAAAACCTGTGAACAAGGAATGCTTTTCAAAAGAACCAAATATTTTTCCATTGACTTACATGTTAACGGACCCTCTCTGTAGGGAAAACCTATGAACAGGGAACAAGGAACACTATTTTGGGGCAATATATGAAAATTCACCTGTGAACAAGGAATATGGAATATTGGTGACACTGTGTATTCCATTATTTTTCAGAGGTGTGAAAGTCTAAGCCAATATCTGATTCCAAAAAGCTTGGATTAATATGACTGAGATTAAGATAAGCCAATTGTTGACATGATGTAGCATCCCACCCACTGTTAATTACCTTGATTTATTTTAAAACTAATACTAATCTGTTTGTTACTTATTATCATGACACCAATTTTTCCTTTCAAAAACCTACTTACATCAAATCAGTTGTGATAATCTAGGGACTGACACAATTGTTTTATGGAGATAACAGATAGTAAGTACATGGTCATGTTGAGCCAAAGCTCTTTAAATCTTTTACTGATCCAACTTCCAGATTATAAATGATATAAAATGGGGTTGATGAAACTTGAATTTCAGTTCTTAGCAATATATATGTACACATCATATCAATGATCTTTGATCAACTAGACATCATCAGACGCTAGAAGCAGCTAAAATCAACATGGGGAGAACGTAAACAAGTATGGAGTCGGCATTTGTACAATCAATCAATATATATACAAATATGCTTATTCGGCAATTTTGAGTTTGCTGAAAGTGCAGCCCCTCTCTATAGGGAAAACCTCTGAACAAGGAAACTTTCCTCCAGTCCCAAGAGCATTCCCTGTTCGCAGGTTTTACTGTATATTCAATATCATTATTTTTAATATATTTTGCACTATTAGATATTGTTTTTGTTGGTGAATAAATTTGCATATGCCCTAAGTTTTGTCAATGTTACACAGGTACCATATTTGGTATTTGAATGGGTTGTCAACCATATTTCGTTTTTTAATTGGTTGTGGACCATATTTGGTATTTGAATGGGTTGTTGTTGAATGGGTTGTCAGTCATATTTGGTAATTGAATGGATTGGCAACCATGTTTGGTAATTGAATGGGTTGGCAACCATGTTCCGTATTTGAATTTGTTGTCAACCATATTTGGTATTTGAATGGGCTGTCAACCATTTTTGGTATCTGAATAGGTTGTCAACCATATTTGGTATTTGAATGGGCTGTGGTCCTTATTTTATATTTGAATGGGTTGCCTAATGTCCTTATACAAATAGAAGCAAATATGAAATGATTTTTCAAGAAATTTTTCAATATTTTTTATTTTTCAATTGAACAAGTTGTTAAGGAAAATGTTTGCCTCTATAGAAAGTCCATGCTGATATTGTCCTTATTCCATATTTATCATCCTCATATTGTATCCTACACCTTCAGACTGACCTCCTCATTTTCTCCATCAACTTTAACTACAAAATAGGAAGAAAAATATATACAAGATTTCAATAAGTATTGCTATAATAACTAGCTTCATATTTGACTTTACTTTGCACTTACCATGTTTTGTACACAGTTCTTCCATTTAGGTCTTGCACTTCCCTGAAATTGTTCACAATATGGTGTTTGCCTCCATGCTCCAACAACTTCTCAAACTGCGCAAGCTGGAATGTAAAAAAGTAATATAGGTTAACTATGTATAATTATACATATATAATTTACATATATTTTATATAGAGTTTATACTCGTCCAATGATCATGTGTCAGAAATTATCACAGATTATGTACAATGTACTACAGTAAGCTACATATTTTCGTATGCACCTGTGTTCATGTACTGTACCTTTTGCCATATTTCTAATGACCTAGTCCGTATAATCGTGGGTCTCGCACGCGGTGATTGTTGAGATCCTCTGGTAAGTTAAGGTTTGTTTCCCAAATGGTTTCATACAAATACTGATGTATGCAACTTAGATAATAATTAAGAGTCGGTAATTTCGAAGACTCGCGTGCCAATCTAAGATGGTCTCAAGAAACTGAACAAGACAACTCTTGTGTGTCGTACAGCATGTGAATACAACGACATCTAATATTTCTTAGACAGATTCTAGTTACCTGGGATGCTGATAACTTTATAGTTTCCTTAAAGAGTGTCCAGATAACAATCTCAGAAAATGGTTTGGTTGTCAGTGAGCCGAAGTAGCGATAGAATCCTGAATCGGTTTCACCAGTGATCAGTTCTTGAAGGTTTACTTTATCGAGAACGGTCGCCTGGTCTGTAAAAACAAAATGAAATAGTCATTTTAACATCCTACGAGACAAAAATGTATTATTAATCACTGGAACCACCAACAGTTATCCCATGGAACGAAGTTCAGAGGGATATAGGAAACGCCTCCGTACGTCCGTTTGGGCGATAACTCAAATACCATTGGCCCGATTTTGTTCATATTTTGTACATATATGCTCTATGGAAGTAGAAATTCTGCTCGAAAGCCAATTTTTCAAAATGTCAGTTCATTTAAGAATGGCAGCCATTTTAGTGTCGATTCTACAGTAATTTAGGTACAGTTTATAAAACTGTAATAGCAATATGTTTTAAATGTAAAAAGATATACTGATATACAGGGCATTATGAAGCTAGAAATGTAGATATTTAAGAAACATATGTCAACCATCTTGAAAAAGGGTGGCCTTTACAAGTTATCTTACGATTTTTTATCTAACTTGAACAGTAGTAGAGCGATTTTGTTCATATTTGGTATGTGAATACTATAGGCAGCTATTTTGAAAGAATTACATTTACGTGTGTGCGATTTTGTTGAACCCTTTGTTGAAATTTTTGCTGTATCTTGAAAAGTAGTAGAGCGATTTAAATATTTGATATGTGAATACTCATAAGCATGGTGATACTTTGACTGATAGGCGGTCATTTTGAAAATGGCCGTCATTTTTACGTCTGTTAATTTTCATTTTTTACAAAAAGTAGCAGAGCGATTTTGTTTATACAGTATTTGGTTTGTGAATAATCATAATCATGGCACACTGTCTTATGACCCTTTGACTAGTAGCCATGCAGGCATTTTGAAAAATGGCCACCATTCACATGCATACATGTGTGCGATTTTGTAATATTTTTTTGATAAATGCATTTGGACATGTTTTCTCATCAGTAGTGTGAAAATTATTTCACTCTAACGATCGTTATAGCTGAAAAAGTAGTAGAAGCATTTTATAAAAATGCCAGCCATGGATGTTTGATGGGATTTGCTACGCTTTGGCGTTGCTGTTGTCTTGTTATTGTTAGACATGATATGACCTTAAATGATTACAAGTATATACTACCTTCTTTTTTAACGTCTTTGAGTCCTGCAATGAGAGCATCCCACGCTTGATTGCGCTCTTTAGAAATCTATGAGTAGAAGAAAAATACAAATATTTGAGTGAAACGAAATAAGGCTCTAAGAATCTATATCTATATACATGTACCAGGTAATCAAGTTTGGATTTTGATGCAACGTGTATCACTACTATTCTTCATTTGACATACTTTTTGCCTTTCTACCAGCAATTTATATGAAGATAGCAAAACGGATGGTATCCAAGAACACTGGGCTTCAAACAGACCCACACGGGGTCCTCATGAGATTTTATATGGTATTGGAAAATTTGTCAAAAATTGAGATAAGAATTATGATATGTAATATGTATGCTATATTAGTAAACTAAACTTATGTCTTTCTGTTTGACCATGTCAATGATGTAGGATTCAAAAATTATTTTGGCCAAAATACCCAGTCAGTGACAGAGTGATCAAGGGCGTCAATATAATCATTTTGAGTCATATTGTTTTGCAATAAACAATACCACATACCTCAAAGAAAAATCCCAAGACTGCAAGCTCTGCACAAGTTGATTTTCCAGTTGCTAACTTTGTCACAATATGCATCTACAAAAAAGATTGCGTACAATTTCAGATTTGAGATCGTAAAATGGTCCAACAAATACGTACGGTTAAACTAGCATTCGTGCCTATTTACTTTTTAGAGCATAAGTAGTGAGTACGTATAACACGATGATACTTGTATATATAATATGACTTTACACAAACCTTTTATATAAAGACCGTTATATATCGGTCTATGTTTGCGGCTAGGATGAAGAAAGTACTCTTCTTCGTCCTAGGTTTGCGGTAACCGGCACTAAAAATACATAACTTTACCTCTAATGGATATTGAAGTCCGTTAATTGTGTGTTCAGAGCCTTTTTTTAAATGTTTCCCCCAATGAAAGTGGGCTTGGAGGACAGAATATGTGCCAACTAGACCACCCCCAGAAATAGAGTAATCACATTTTCCCAGTTCCAGTTGAGCTGAAAGGTAAATTAGAAGCAGAGTTATGTGTCATCTCGAGGTCTTTCTTGAATGAAGATCAAATCTTAAATGTTTGACTGAGATATGACACATTTCAAGTGGGTCATATCTACCTTCATTTCAGTGTCAAAGACATATAATTTAATTTTTGAAAATAGAGAATATAATTCCCAAGATCAACTTTTCGAAGAGAGTTCAATGCTTGTCGGAATGAACATGCCATTTTCAATCGTGTTCTCAATTTCATGTGCAGATAACGGTTACCTGTATGGCCTCCCTTGTTCTTCAGAAGTACTCTATTGCACGTATTTGAAGGGATAGATACACGTATGTCGCCATTCTTCAGACATTTGGTGTTAGCTTCGTCTATGTTGATTGGTGATTGTCTTCCATTTGTAGGCAGCCCAGCACATTGTCGCTTTGCTTATAGAAAAATATACATACACATCCGTTATCGGGTGTCCAGAAAAGTGAACCGCTTTTTGACAAGTATTTTATGAGCAATAGATTCTTGAATTCTTTTTTTATTCCTTTTTTTATTCATTGAAAAAACATTTGAAAGCAGTTACATTAACATATACAATATACATAATATCATAGAGTCACACAATTTTCCATCATATTCTGTTTTTTAAGGCATCCAACCACACTAGTCTAAATTAATCTAGTACCCATAATTTCCCACCTTTTTTCCCTGCCTATTTGCTTGTCAATATTACAATGAGATATTACATTTGCTTTAAATCCTTTAAAGGTAGGTCTTAACATCGAGTATTTGCTTAGATACACACATATCTTTTAAATATACTCCATATATTTGTCAGGATAATCGTTCTGTCATTTATTCCTTGAATCCAGTCGGTATATTATTAACAAGTAAGCGCAAAGAGATTGGTTACATCTGTGTATGTGAGGATCTGTCCATCAGTTTAGTATCAAACTAGCTTGTCTGTGTGTCAGGTCTATTGATTTCATTGTTCTCTGTATCTAAGCTTGTATTCGCGAATGCAACTTTCGGCTGTCGGCTACTGGTTTAACCTACTATTTTATGACCAACTTACATGTATTTGGATATGAATGGAATAGTGGCATGTACTATTCATATTAAAATGGGAGCTAATCCATTTAAATATTAAGATCACCTACCGTGTATTCCGGTAGACTCACCCTCGAACGTCATATTGCGATATGTTCGCCAATTTAACCGAGCGGCTTTAAAATTGATTCTTACAGCGACATAAAAAGTCATGTAATTACTGGTCGACTAACGGGTTGTTCGTTATTTCAACATCAAAATGACGGGTTAATTTATGTAAATTAATAGGTTAACCCGGTAACCGGCAGCCGATAGTTACATTTGCGAATTCAAGCTCAAATACATTCTGTCCAGAACTTCAGTTTCGAAGGATTACCAGAGTCAAGGCGATAAGGCTACCATTGAAAACTGTTTCAATATGAAAGGATGGGGTGGAACCGTAAAAGATGAATCGTTGAGGAACCTTCATTCAATATTTTTATCACAGGATGGGATAATCATGTCATGGAAGACGATATCGTTGAAGAAATACACAAAAGTATTTGCTTTGAAAAATGGCTTCTCCTCAGACTGAAATAAGTGACGTTTCCATTGTGACTAGCATAGAATTGCATATAGAGAGTAAGAGCCAAGACGGATAAGTATTAAGTAAACGAAGCTCATTGTTGACCTTTTAGTGTTCAATGATTGACCTTAACCTTGAATTTGGCGTTCAACATACAGAGGCGATCACCACATGGCTGAATACCGTTGTGGTCCATACACCTCGGTGTGCCAAACTTGACCGCTGATCTTTATATTAATTACATGTTCCTTTCTTGATCTTAAACCACCAAATTGACTGATGCCGTCATGTTTGCTCCTATATTCGATACCCGCGCCCAACCGACGAGTATTCTGTTCAGAATTGAAAATACTCATCGGCCGAGCGCCGGTGTTGAAGATCGGAATAATTGTGACCACGACGAGATAGATACCTGAAACGACACGGCAAAGTTTGTCCTTCTCATCTGATTCGTCTTGACAGTCATTAAAACCGTCACACACCAACAGAGGGTCGACACACTTCCCGTTGTTCGCGCACTCGATTGCTCCTTCCGGACACCTTTTGGCTAAAACACAATGTGATTCAAAAGATTATAGCTATGCAACGTCTCAGTTATTATCCAACTGATAGCATTTGGTTATTTTTTAACTTAATGTACAGTTATTAGTATTTACGTAACGGACATTGGGTCCTTATATCAAAATTAGAATCAAATCTAGCATTTAATCTTTCAATTTTAGAATATGTTTGTCTCGATCATATATTATCTTTCCTACATCTATTTTCTAAAAAAAACATTTCCATTCGTAATAAAAATTGCAATAGTAGATAAGCTAATATGCAATTAGAAAACTTACGTCTAATGTCATTGACATTGTCGTCTAAATATTCCAGGGTTTCAAAGTCGGAATCCAAATTTCTGAGGAGAATATCATATTTTGTTTCCAAGAAAGTTATTTGCTGGTTAAGTCTACAAACATAAAAGTTTCTAGATCAGATAGACAATTCGACTAAACGTTTCATTTAGATGAAATGTGATTTAATAGCATGGTTGTTCATCCGAAACATTAAAACAGGCGCCCACCTACACAGGATGTCATGGTCATGGAAAATGCATTGTATACTGGTATATGGAATGCAGCTTTAATGTGTCATTAAAAACTAATAATGAGAAATGCTCAGAATGGAAAAAACTGCATGATTTTGACTCGCCAGGGGAGGGAGCTTTTACTCCCAAAGCCACCCCCCTGGCTACGGCTGGGACTGCAAATTACGAAATAGAAAATAATGAGTTTGGAGTTGCGATATGAAATGCGAAAACTCACCGATCCACACGTTCGGCCTGAGCATCCACTCTGCTCAAGATTTTAGCGAATCTACCTTCATTACTTCTGGAGGACGAGAACCTAAAGCCACCAACCGTAGAAACACAGGCCACAAGAACCAGCAATCCAATTAACTTCATGATTCTTTACCCAGTTACCAAGACGACTCTGCTCCCCTTGTCCAACTACACAATGGGGTAATCATTGGTGCGATGACAATAGTTCCCGAAACATGCGCAGAATGTAAATATGGCGGATATTTTTTTTCTGTACATGCATGTTGCTTAGTTAAGTAAGTCTTATTATCATGTTGTAAAATAAGACCCATTATTATCGATTCCATGGGTTTTGATATAGGCACTACATATACACTTACTTTGGCATATTTAAGAAATCTCCAAACTTTGAGAAAACAATTAAAACCAAAGCGTCTAATATTTTCAGGGTATTCCTTTTTTGTGGCTATCAGGATTTGCGATATTTTGATTCGCTTCAGTCACTACAAGCTAATATAATGTGATTCGCTTCAGTCACCACAAGCGATTATCATCTTTGTGATTTAAAATGCGGATGCTACGGAAACTGTAGTTCTCGTAACGATCTCAATACAAATTAATAAGAAAATTATGTTATGTTATCTAAGATGAACCACGTGAACTACACAAATAGATCGTTACGTCCAAAGCGATATATCAAATTAATTTGTCTGGCGAACAAGGTCCATCATGAGGATAACAGATCTGAAGACGACGTGACACTTGGTTTATCGGCCGTGATAGCTCTTGCTCGTGTCACGTAATAACAAATTATAGGTAGATTAGTCGTTTAATAATTGATATAACTCCAAAGCTAAAACATACCAGTTCACTCATATACAGGCCTGTCAACTGTCCCGCAATTTGCGTATTTGTCACGCATTTGCTGAAGAATTTGAAGTCACGCCAGTTTTTTTTGCGTGACAGAAAATGTCACGCAAAATACGCATTTTACCTGGTAATTGTCAAGCCAAAATATTTCTGTAGAAATTTTTTCGAAATATGTTTACGATACGGTAAAAATACGAACGCCGGAAAAAACCGAACGCAATTTGTTCGGATTTGTCACGCGAATCCCGTATGTGTCACGCATGTTCATTGGAAATTTTTCGTACCTAGTTTAATTTATCAGCTAATGCCTTGGTCACATTTGCTCCAATGAGTATTCTGTTCAAAACTGATTACAGTTGTGAACATGATACTCAATCGGCCGGGCGCCGATCGATGAATCGGAGCAAATGTGACCCAGGCATTATGCCTTAGTGAAAATGCTCCGATTTTCACTAAGGCGCCCGGTCGATTGAGTATTTTGTTCAAAATTCAATACAATATTGAATAAAACACTCAATCGGCCGGGCGCCGGTCGATGGATCGGGGCATATGTGACCCAGGCATTCGGTATCAATATATGTATTTATTTAGGTCACATTTGGAACCAATGGAAAGCTGTCATTGAATCATGAACAGCGACTTCTACAAGAGTTATTGACATTTGTGCGAAGCTTATGTTGACCCTCTGATTATTGCTTATCAGATGAGAGAGTTTAAACTTGGTATGTCATTTAGATGATCGCAAAATAAAAAAACTACTTTTCCCAATCCTGATTTTTAGATTTAAAATAAATTTAATGACCTTTTTGAAGTTATTCTTGTTTGTTTTTCAGGGTCATGTCGAACATGTGTTAATATGTTTAGAAGTGTATCATTGTTTTGTTTGTTTATTTTACAATACAGTTTAGAGTCATAAAAACATATTTGCATATCAAGTTTTCAATATACTTCTATCGAATCTTTTGAGATGAGGGTCCAGTTTCGATTAGGGTCAAGTTTCGATTAGGGCAGAGTTTAGGGGACAAGTTTAGTAGATAAAGGTAAAATCTACATTAGGGTCAAGTTTGCATGTCACGGTCAAGTTTGCATGTCACGGTCAAGTTTGCATGTCACGGTCAAGTGTATACGTCGGGGTCAAGTGTATACGTCGGGGTCAAGTGTGTGCGTCAGGGTCAAGTGTGCGCGTCAGGGTCAAGTGTGCGCGTCAGGGTCAAGTGTGCGCGTCAGGGTCAAGTGTGCGCGTCAGGGTCAAGTGTGCGCGTCAGGGTCAAGTGTGCGCGTCAGGGTCAAGATTGTGCGTCAGGGTCAAGATTGTGCGTCAGGCTAAAGATTGTGCGTCAGGCTAAAGAATATGCGTCAGGGTAAAGATTGTGCGTCAGGGTCAAGATTGTGCGTCAGGGTCAAGATTGTGCGTCAGGGTCAAGATTGTGCGTCAGGGTCAAGACTGGCGTCAGGGTCAAGACTGGCGTCAGGGTCAAGATCGTGCGTCAGGGTCAAGATCGTGCGTCAGGGTCAAGATTGTGCGTCAAGGTTGTACGTCGGGGTCAAGGTTGTACGTCGGGGTCAAGGTTGTACGTCGGGGTCAAGGTTGTACGTCGGGGTCAAGGTTGTACGTCGGGGTCAAGGTTGTACGTCGGGGTCAAGGTTGTACGTCGGGGTCAAGGTTGTACGTCAAGGTCTATTTCGTAGGTCAAATATAAGTTTGTATTTCGAGATCACCGAAAATTCCAGGTGTCCTTGCATTGAAATTGCTAATCAAAGATTCCTACAAATAATTCTCGTGTTTAGATCACCCAAGGTCAAAGTCGCATGAATACAGGTAGTTTAGCGTCACCTTATTCGCCAATTTCGTTTTTCAATGTCTCTAGAGGTTCAGTAGGCACTTGGGGTCAATACCCCTTGTAATCACGTTTATCATTGCAAAACTAACCAAAGATCAAATTCTTGATACTTTTTTTATTTAGTATAACATTTTTAGATAACATAGATATAGACTGTTTGCAAACTTAACAATATATTCTTAATAGGGTAGCGGATTTGTGTACTCATTCCTAGTACTAGTTCTGTTTGCTGTTAAGACTGAATAGTGTACTAATACACAATATGCAAATGCGTCCGACATGTTGTTGTTTTTATCATTATGTGCACGTTTTGTATACTGTCCTTCCATTGAGATCCTGCACTGGCCTATAATTGTTGACAATATTGGTCAAGCCATCATCCTTCAGCAACGTCCTGAACTGTGCAAGCTGAAACGTAAATTATAATATCATTGAGGGTGAAAAAAATATTGTCATTGGTTATGGTGCCCACTACATTGATCGATCGCTGTACATATCGATCGGTAGCTAATAAGACCGTTATTTCATCTATTTTTACTTTGCCTCGCCCAAAATTTATGAAATTCCAATATGTTCCCATTTTTGATTTCGCTCATCCAGTTATCATCCAAATTAGGTGAACTACAAATCAGAAATATATTTGTAATATCGAGATGTGTTATCACAAGTAGTTACAAAGACACGGGACGACTCTTAACATCTGCATGGGGGCGTGGGGCCATATAGTTGAAGGGGGTGCATTTTCCAAAATATTTAGGCGGCGCGGCCATTGATTGCTTGACCAAAGACCGAGCATCTTTGGGGCACCGGGCATGTTCCCTCGGGAATTTTTTTTGTTATTGAAGACGTTATTTGCAATCTGAACGTTTGTAAGGACTATAAAAGAGCATTTTCGAAGTTTCACAAGAATTTCATTAAAATAACTTTTAAGAAGTTATAAGAGGGAGTTGAGTTCACACCCAAACGCACCCCCTTTCCGACGCCCACGCTGTACTACCCAACGTTTAGTTATCGTACCTGTGATGCAGATATCTTTATGGGTTGTGTTACAGTAATATGTTCTATTAAATTCACATTAAGTTTAGTTTATCAATATGCATATACTGTAACTGATCTTCATTAGAGATCTTAGGTCAAGGTCACAATGACATTATATCTTGTAAACATAACTGAACTGAATGACTCATTAACCATTGGCCTTCTAGAAAGTACTGGAACTATAATCATTAAATCAAGATTGAATCATGTGACTTAAGATGTCCAATCAGTGTTGATTTCCAGAAATCGTAACTTCTTGAAACATCTGGACTATGCCTTTGCACTATATAATGAGAGAGCTGATTTGGGCTGTCAGCAGAATTTCAAAGTTTATCAAAAGGACATCTTCTTAGCAGATAATTACTGTGGGAACATTTATAACACTACAAACACACAACCTGAGGACTTTATATGGACAAATATTACAACACACACTATATACGGATTATCATATACATACGTGGATTATCATAAACATTTGTGGATTATCATCAAACATTTGTGGATTATCATCAAACATTATTGGATACGAACATTATAGGATTACGACAAACATTATTGGATTATTACAAACATTGGAGAACTATTAACGATTACTGAAACTTTCGTGATCTGGAACATTCTCAAGGATCGTCAAGGATATTTATCGACATCAAGAATAAGCCGTATCATTGATTGGACATCACTTAAGTATTAAACCTCCTTTATATCATTGTTATATTATTTAGTTTTCAAAATATAAATATATTGTTATCATATTTTAATTGCTGTTTTTACTTTCTGTTATTATTGTACGTAACAGAAATTGGGGGCTCGTCCGGGATACAACTACAACAAGCTAAAATTCAAATATTTCAAAATTCAAAAATTGTATATTTAAATTGTGAAGACAGCAATTAATCGAAAATGAGTTTTGAGGTTGAGACATTTTTAGAAACGCCCTCTTTGGAGGAATTTGATGATTTAAAGAAAAATGAACTTCTGGCAATTGCAAAACATGTTGGGCTATCAGTCAAAAGCTCATACAAAAAGGATACAATTAAAAACTTTGTACTTCAATATTTGGTCGCAGAATCACTTCTGCCTGAGCAGCCAGCCCAGCATGTTGAGCAAGTTGATCCTATTAAGCTCAAAGAACTTGAATTGAGAGAAAAAGAGTTAGAAATTCAAAAAGAAAGGGAAATTAGAGAATTGAAAGAAAAAGAGTTAGAAATTCAAAAAGAAAGAGAAATTAGAGAATTGAGAGAAAAAGAATTACAAAATGAAATGAGAGAGAAAGAACTGCAAATGCAAAATGAAAGAGAAAAAAGAGAAAATGAAAGACAAATGAGAGAACAAGAAATTCAAAGAGAAATTGAATTGAAACGTCTTGAGATAGAAGCTCAATCCAAAACTGATGAACATGCTACTATGCATCAACATTTTGAAAATAGGTTTGACGCTTCAAAATTTCTCAAATTTGTACCTAAATTTCAAGAGAAAAATGTTGATAAATACTTTACACATTTTGAAAAAGTCGCTCAGAGCTTAGACTGGCCTAAATCTGCATGGCCAGTTATGCTTCAGAGTGTATTCATTGGTAAAGCAAGTGAAATATTTGCCTCTCTCTCAGCAGAAGTATGCTCTGATTATGACCTTATTAAAAATGCGATTCTTAAAGCTTATGAACTAGTGCCAGAAGCTTACAGACAAAAATTTAGAAATGCCCACAAGCAGAGTGACCAAACCCATGTTGAGTTTGCTAGAGAGCAAGAGCAGCTTTTTGACAGGTGGCTTGTCTCTAAAGATGTGTCTGAAGAGTTTAAAAAGCTCAGAGAGCTTATGCTAATAGAACAATTTAAAAACTGTGTTCAGTATCACATTAGAACTTACTTAGATGAACACAAGGTAGAAACTTTAAGTCAAGCTGCCACCCTGTCTGATGATTATGCTCTTACTCATAAGGGTAGTTTTATCAAGGGCAATCCTAACTTTAGAGGTTATCAGGGTAACAAACCTTCATATGACTCTAAATCAAATCAGTCCTCATCATCAAATACATCAAACAAAGCAAAAGACCAGTCTAATTCATCACAGAGTTCTAGCTCAAAATCAGATCAATCAAAATCGTCAGGTCCAACATCAAATGTCACCTGTAATTATTGTAAAAAGCCTGGTCATCTTATTTCTGAATGCTATAGGATTAAGAATAGAAGAGAGATGTCTGGTTCTGCTCATTCAAATGGTTGTGCTACAGTTCCCATTTCAAGAAAGCCCATTGTTTGGGATTCATATACTCATACTGAGAAATCTACTCATAGTGATATTATGGAGGATTATAAGCCTTTCATGTCGGAAGGATCTGTGTCACTGTCAAGTGATGATACCAATTCAAAGCCAATTAAGATTCTTAGAGACACGGGTGCATCTCAGACTTTGTTGTTAGAAGGCGTCCTTCCTTTATCTGAGGAGTCATTCACAGGTACCCATATTTTGATGCAAGGCATTGAATTAGGATTTACTAAAGTTCCCCTCCATCGTATTCATATCACATCAGAGTTAGTCAAAGGGCCAGTTATTGTTGGTGTTAGGCCACAACTTCCTGTTGAAGGAGTCGCATTGCTTTTAGGCAATGATTTAGCTGGGGGTAAGGTATCATTAGACCCCATTGTTTCTGATCAGCCTTGTTCTATTGAGGATTCTGTCCAAGAGGACTCTGATATATATCCTGCTTGTGCTGTTACTAGGGCTATGGCTAAAAGGTTAGCTGATAGCGGGGATTCGTCTGTGGGAGATGACTTTGATAGTGGGTTTTTAAGCTCCTTGTTTGATGATGAATGTCACTCGCCACTTGTTAAAGATGATCCTTATCCTATTTTAAAGGCAAATTCTTCATTGAAACAGCCTTCTGTTCGAGCCAAGCAGTCATCTATTGAGGCAAATTCTTCATTGAAAAAGCCTATTGCCAGAGGTGATTCACCTTCTGAGCAGGATCACTATTTTAATGCGGTTTCGCCCGCTCTTGCTAGTACTGATGAAGTTTCATATTCTTCTGCTAGTGTTCATGAGGTTTCATCCCCTCCTTGTTCTGAGGTTTCATCCTCTTCTAGTTCTGAGGTGGTTTCATCCTGTATTTCTGATAGTGATTCTTTGAAAAATGATCCTCATTCTAAACACATGATAATTTATGAACAAGAGCATGATCCATCACTCATTGATCTTCATAAAAGATGTCTTACTATTGATGAAGCTGTCAAGGTCCCTGTTTGTTTCTACAAAAAGGATGGCATATTAATGCGAAAGTGGAGACCTCCTGAAGCTTCCCCTGAAGATGATTGGGCAATTGTACATCAAATTGTTGTCCCCAAATCGTATCATAAGGAAATCTTGAGTCTAGCTCACGATTCTCCCATGGCAGGTCATTTAGGAGTAACTAAAACATACCATAAAATACTCAACCATTTCTATTGGCCCAAATTAAAACAAGATGTCCAAGAGTATTGTAGGTCTTGCCACACATGTCAAATGGTAGGGAAACCTAATCAGAAAATTCCAATTGCTCCTTTACACCCTATACCTGCATTTGATGAACCATTTAGTAAGGTTCTTATTGACTGTGTTGGTCCATTACCAAAAACAAAATCTGGTAATCAATATTTACTCACTATTCTTTGTATGGCCACGCGGTTTCCAGAAGCGATTCCACTCAGAAATATCAAAGCCAAAAACATAGTGAAATCACTCATAAAATTTTTCACCTTAGTTGGACTACCAAAAGATCTTCAGTCTGATCAGGGCTCAAATTTTATGTCAGGCTTATTCCAACAAGTCATGGATACCTTGGGTATCAAACAGTGTAAGTCAAGTGCCTATCACCCAGAGTCTCAAGGAGCTCTTGAGCGTTACCATCAGACGCTTAAGACCATGATTAGAGCTTTTTGTTTCGAATATGAGAAAGACTGGGATGAGGGCATACCCTTGCTTCTGTTTGCTACCAGGGAGGCTAAGCAAGAATCATTAGGGTTCAGTCCATTTGAGCTAGTATTTGGTCATTCTGTGCGTGGTCCACTTAAATTGCTCAAAGAAAAGTGGCTTTCAGAAACTGAAAAGTTTAATCTGCTGAACTATGTCACTGGGTTTAAAGAGCGCCTATCAAAGGCTTGTGAAATAGCCAAAGAAAATTTGATAAATAGCCAAGATAAAATGAAAACTTGGTATGACAAAAAAGTCAAAGAAAGATCATTCCAGCCTGGTGACAAAGTTCTTATATTACTGCCACTTCAGACAAATCCGCTACAAGCAAAATTCTTTGGTCCTTATGTAGTGGATTCCAAGGTCAATGACCTCAATTATATTGTCAAAACTCCAGATAGGCGCAAAGAAACACAACTGTGTCACATCAATATGATGAAAAGGTACTTTGAGCCAGACAAAGAGTATGACTCAATTAAACCTGTAATCACTTTGGCACCTGCCCTTGTAAAAGAAACTGATCTACAAGATTCAGATGATATCACTTATACTGATTTAGACTATGAAGATATCAAAGGTTTGTCTAGGTTAAAGAACTCTGAAGTATTATCAAATCTAGATCATAAATTGCACCATGTGACAAATGATCAAAAACAGCAAGTCACAGAATTAATTCATGAGTTCACTGATATCTTCTCTGATGTACCGACTAAGACATCTATAGCTTATCATGATGTTGAAGTCCAAGATGTAACACCTATTAAGCAACATGCTTATAGAGTAAATCCATCAAAATCGGAAGATTTGAGAGCCGAGGTCAATTATATGTTAGAAAATGACATAATTGAAAAGAGCAATAGCCCATGGAGTTCACCTGCTTTCATTGTACCAAAATCAAATGGTGGACGTAGGCTAGTAGTTAATTATATCAAGGTGAATCGAGTAACAAAGACCGATTCTTATCCCATACCACGAATTGACGACTGCATTGACAAAATTGGAACTGCTAAATATGTCAGTAAATTTGATCTCCTCAAAGGATTCCTAGGGGTTCCATTAACTGAAAGAGCAAAACAGGTATCTGCCTTTGTTACTCCTGATGGTTTGTACCAATTTAAAGTTATGCCATTTGGTATGAAAAATGCACCTGCCACATTTCAAAGAATGATGAACAGCTTATTGGCAGATCTCAAAAACACTGGTGTATACATCGATGATGTAATTGTCTATTCTGACACTTTTGATGAACACATGTGTTTGCTGCGTAAGTTGTTTGAAAGAATCTCTCTGGCCAATTTGACCATCAATTTGGCTAAGAGTGAATTTTGTAAAGCCACAGTTGAATATCTGGGCCATGTGGTAGGTCAAGGACAGGTCAAACCAGTGAGTGCCAAAGTGGAATCAATTACACAACTCCCAGCTCCTACTAACAAGAAAGAATTAATGAGAAGTCTTGGAATGGCTGGCTTTTATAGGAAGTTTTGTCCAAATTTCTCTTCGATTGCTCTTCCATTGACCAATTTACTTGGAAAAAACATCAAATATGTGTGGTCTGAGCAATGTCATACAGCCTTTGATAAAATCAAGGCCATACTAAGCGAACAACCAGTGCTTGTTGCACCTGATTTTAGTAAGCCATTCAAGATTCAAGTAGATGCTTCTGATGTAGGAATGGGGGCTGTCCTATTACAAGAAAAGGATGGTATTGATCATCCAGTGTGTTATTATTCAAAGAAATTTGATAAACATCAGAAAAACTACTCCACCATAGAAAAGGAATGTCTAGCATTACTTCTGTCATTACAACATTTTGAAGTATATGTTAGTGCACCAGTTCATGCAGTTACTGTATTTACTGATCACAATCCGCTGACATTCCTTCATAGAATGAAGAACAAGAATCGTAGATTGTTGAGGTGGAGTCTGTTATTGTCAGAGTACAATCTTGACATAAGACACATCAAAGGCAAGGATAATTTGATTGCTGACACTCTTTCAAGAGTGTAATGTCTCTATTTTTAAGAGGCTATTCGATTTATACTGCATTTGCCTAAGGCTTTGTGTTGATATAATAAAAAGATTGTACTTAGAGTGTGATTTGATAATATTATTGTATAATATGTTTTTGGGTTTTACCCAGTCTGTAACTTTATAAATATTATTGTATTTGACTATTGTAAACAAATGTTATGTAAGTCTCAACCTCATCTTTAAAAAAATTGTAACCCTCGCTACACCAGATATTATTGTAAAAGTTTTTCATTGTATTCAAAACTTTTCTTTTAAGGAGGGAGGTGTTACAGTAATATGTTCTATTAAATTCACATTAAGTTTAGTTTATCAATATGCATATACTGTAACTGATCTTCATTAGAGATCTTAGGTCAAGGTCACAATGACATTATATCTTGTAAACATAACTGAACTGAATGACTCATTAACCATTGGCCTTCTAGAAAGTACTGGAACTATAATCATTAAATCAAGATTGAATCATGTGACTTAAGATGTCCAATCAGTGTTGATTTCCAGAAATCGTAACTTCTTGAAACATCTGGACTATGCCTTTGCACTATATAATGAGAGAGCTGATTTGGGCTGTCAGCAGAATTTCAAAGTTTATCAAAAGGACATCTTCTTAGCAGATAATTACTGTGGGAACATTTATAACACTACAAACACACAACCTGAGGACTTTATATGGACAAATATTACAACACACACTATATACGGATTATCATATACATACGTGGATTATCATAAACATTTGTGGATTATCATCAAACATTTGTGGATTATCATCAAACATTATTGGATACGAACATTATAGGATTACGACAAACATTATTGGATTATTACAAACATTGGAGAACTATTAACGATTACTGAAACTTTCGTGATCTGGAACATTCTCAAGGATCGTCAAGGATATTTATCGACATCAAGAATAAGCCGTATCATTGATTGGACATCACTTAAGTATTAAACCTCCTTTATATCATTGTTATATTATTTAGTTTTCAAAATATAAATATATTGTTATCATATTTTAATTGCTGTTTTTACTTTCTGTTATTATTGTACGTAACAGTTGCATAAAGACTGTCCAGATTACAATTTCAGAAAATGGTTCAGTGGTTAGTGAGCCGAAATAGCGATAGTATTGCGATGTATCAACCCCTGTGATGAGTTCACCTAAGTTAACTTTGTCAAGTACTATGTGGTGGCCTGCAATTTAAAAAAAATGAGTTAAGCCACATATAGAGTAACATAAATATATTTTTCCCAGTATGCACTCACACCAGATTATAATGAGACATATTATGATAAATTAAGAGATGACAATAATGTTGTTAATGAACATTTTTAATTATCCTAACAAAAACAATTATTGAAATAAATTATGAACTTGATTGAATCTGTACCTGCATATTTGATTTCCTTGAGTCTTGCAGTAATTGCACTCCACGCTGGATTGTACTCTGTAGATATCTGTGGATTTCGAACAAAACAAATATGAATAAGCAAAAATATATTAATTATAAGGTGTATAGACCACCAGAAGTGGCGACATATTGCTGTAGTCTCCAACTACATGTAATTTGTGGACGGTGTTCGGCATCTGGTGTTTGGTGCCGGTGTTTGGCGTCCGACGTTTGGCGTCTGTAGCAAATGGCAGTTGGTGACATTTTGCATGTTGACGCTTTGTTCTAAGTAGCAACAGCAGGACCAAATTTAACTTAGAAAATGAGTGAGGAAAATCTAGTATGTAAAACCAAAATTATACCAGGACACTTCATTGACAGCCTGTTATTCCATGCATTTAGTTGAGAAAAAATCAAAAGTCAAATTTGAATTTACTATGCAATGATGTTTATTAACCAGCGAAGACCCTAGCTGTTGATGATGGTACCCACGTATTACCGATAAGTATACAATTAAATTGCCAGTATACTATACCTCGAAGAAAAATCCCAAGACAGCTAGTTCTGCACATTCTGAAGTGCCACTTGCCATCTTAGTCACAATATGCATCTATAAAAATCACAAAGACCCTATACTCTGATTTCATGCTTTTAAATCTCTGATTCAAAAAACGCTATATATATATTTTAACACACTGTATACATCGTGTATAGTTGAGCAAATCATACCTTTAGTTTCTAATTATTTACTATAATGAGTGGAATGTATATCAATCGCAAGAATAACCTAACTTGCTAAAACTTAGCTCGGAGTAACTTGAAAGAAATTCAGAAATTATATGATCTTATCCCTTGCGGCTTTCATGCATTATACCTCTCCCAAAGAGAGATTGATGATGCAAATCGTACCTCCATTGGGTATTTGCGTCCGTTAAGTGTGTGTTCAGAACCTTCTTCTGTGGTTTTTCCCCAATGAAAGTGGGCTTGGAGGATAGAATATACACCAACCAGACCTCCGCCATATATAGAGAAACCACAGTTCTCGAGTTGGAGTTTAGCTGAAAATTAAAAGATCCAGTTAGTAAATGACTTTAAATAGTCATCCTCCTAAGCAGGTATCCAGAATCCGTACCTCCAGAAAGAATATATTCTGGATACTGAAGCCCTGTAATCGGAGGATGTAAATAGTAAGCAAACATGATACTTTGCATTTGATGTGTGCGATTTGAAGTTACTGGTTAGGTATATATAATGTACACTGTAGAAAGGGGGCTTTTCTAATTTGGTATAGTCTACATTAAATTTTGTTGAAAAATATACACAGTTCTAAAGAAATGTAATAAATCTATATACCACCAGTATAGCCTCCCTTGTTGTTCAGTTGCACACCATTACATGTGGTTGTTGGAATTGATATGGCTTCACTCTCCATACATTTGCTCTTAGTGTTATCGATGTTTATTGGGGATTGTCTGCCGTCAGTTGGCAGATCACCACATCGCTGTTCTCCTTATATGGAAGAATATAAATACAATGGACATAATTTCTGTAGACATTGATAGTATACGAGGCCTTTAAACCGACATATGTAACAATGTTTTGGACATTCGTTCCCCCATTTAAGCATTATAACGTGGTCTCTGGAGAATAATACTATTATTTACGATATTGATTTATTACGAGGGTTGTCCCATAAGTAATGCAAGCATATGCTCTAACTTTATCAGTATTTGATATTGTTCCAGCATGAAATTATGTATGAAAAATCTATACTTCATGCTTACCCCATGGCCAGTTGGTGAGGTAAAGGTCGACCTCGTAGAGATCCTTTACACACTTGCCAAACCATGATAAGTCAATATCTTTTCTGTGCATGAGGGACAAGGGGGCTTCTGCGCAATCAAATGGTTCCCCAACGGCTACAAGATCTTCCGTCCCTTCATAACCGTCTGGCAGAAGGGCAAGGTCAATCTGAAGGGAACACGTTAAGTAAATCAGTCCTATTGTATTTTTATACTATACTTATATTCTAGTAGATGTTTTACGCAATAAAAACTGTAATCTTCACTAATATCAGTTTACTACTGTAGATTGGGTTAATTTGGCGCCCGCTTTAATTTGGCGAATTTGGCGAAATTGAAAAATTCGCCAATATTAATCTTCGCCAAAATTTAGAATGAATTCCCGGGAATTACCTAGGGTATTTCTTCCAGTGTATTTAGGTCACTTCCGGTCTAGCTTTTTAAAAAAATGTCTCATGAATTGGCTCAGAACTGGTCAGTCACTCATTAATACTCAGGGAAAAACTAGGAAGGAAAGGGCGGTATAGTAGCAGCATCGATCGTGGTGCAAAATGTAAAGGATGATCTCACAAAAATGTACAAACGTGGTGAATATTACCAGTGGTCCTCAAAAGAAAAATTGAACATAGCCAAACATGGCCATGCAAACAGCGAGTAAGTTAAACTTCTTTTTTGCATATCCGCCAAATTAAATAGCCGCCAATATGCCAAAAATGGCAAAATCGCCAAATAAAGTAGCGCCAAATTAACCCAATCTACAGTATCTAATGACCCTCATTATGGTTTGGTTCATTTTATTTGGTTTTTGATATAATCGCAACTAAAACACAATTAAGAACGTTTTGTCGACGCAATTACTATCCGACTTGATTACTTTGTGTCTCAAATATAAACATACCCTGCGTGCAGAGTCTAGTTAAACTGAAGACGAAGTTCTCTTTTAAGAAGTGAAGTCGAACGAATGCAAAGGGTAATATAAACATAAGTTGATAAGACAACGTTCTAACTTGCTTCAATAAATTGATCGATTGTTTGAATACTTACATCTTTTTGCACGAGTTGTTGAAGAAGGTCTTGAAATCCGTTTGATCCCCGTACATCTTCGTCTTTCAAGTCTGGGAGAATGTGTTGGCGGGCACACAATTTGTCCATGTACCAGAATTCACGGAAGCCTTATACACGAATCGAAAACAAATTAACCGTGAATGCAAAGTCAATGAATCAAAACAGTGATGTGTTTAGCGCGCATACAAAACAAGCGCTTCTTATAGTCTACTTCATGACAGATACCCGATCAGCTTCAATTTTCTGTAAGAACTGGAGATTGCAATTTCACGTTGGTGTCAAATCTATTGAATACTATGCTGGCAATTTTGATTTCGATGAACAGTATAATGCTTTCTGAAGAAAATGATGCATGTCATACAGGTTTTAGCTCCAAATATCGTACGAAACGAGCTTGTATCATAAAAACAGCTATATATTATCAATGGCGTATTACACCATGATGTGTAGTCTAAGTAACGAACTATGTAAACACTAAGTGAACGATTGTTTTGTGAGAAAACTACATGCATTTGTATAGGGCGATTTATACGCATAGGTTGACGTTTAGATTTTTTATGCATTGCTCAAAAGTCTCCATAGACAAAAGAGGAAAACAGAAGTGTGATAAAGAAACACGCACATTCAAAAACGGTTTACAGCGAAATTCGAACTACAAAACAAAGCATTTCCTTTGTCATATTTTGTACATGTTAATGCCACTCTACTATACCTACTAGAAATGCATAAGATACTCTGTCTAATTGTATTGTTTAGTATATTTTTGAAAGTGCCTTCGTAATTATAACATCTAACATTCAACCGATAAACCATTAATAAGGAACAGACAAATAAAAACAAATACATAATCATTACTAATAATCTAAATGGGTTGCTCATGAACACTAAATGCAAGGTATAGAAGAGTGAATGTATATGTTTTGCAAGTCCTTGATGAAAATAAGACCGCTGACGGCCGAATTTAACATATGAACACTGAAAAGTTTAAAACACCTACCAACTATTTCACCAGGCACTACCTGGTCTGGTCTTGTGATCTGTGTAGTTTGGCGCGTGTACAGACGACTACTTGGGGCTTTTAAGAGGGGAGAAGAAAATGCTAATACGTTCTTACGTAAAGCAGTAGGGGCCCATCCTACACAACCATCAAAATAGTCGTTGAACAATCCTTTAAATAAAATGATGGCATGGATTAACCGTCATTACATCTTCATTGAATTGCCAGTTTCTAATACATCAACAAAATATTTCAACCGGTGACAAAATTCAAGCGCAATAACACATCGAGCATACAGTGACGAATGAACTAGAACATAATTAGAAAGGACTCATCTCTAAGCACAAATGTCTGGAATGAAGATTTGCGCCATTTCATCCTACCACTATACAATGTGATAAAAACTAATGAACGTTCATGAGGAACAAATGATATGTATACATTTATCGAGTACAAATGATGAGCAAAATGGCAAAACATCCAAATACTAATTGTTCAACACTTACCCTCGGACGTGTGATTCCTAGTGTTGTAACATAATTGAATATTATCGCCTATGTAGACAGTATTGCACTTCATGTCACATCTTGAACACGCCTCGTAGATAAGTTTCTGCAAGAGACCTTTGGCTTGTTGAGTATTTTGGTCCAAGTAGGAATATGGCTCCCAGTTTCCTTCTAGTGCAAACAGCCAGGTTCTGAAGAGAAATGGTAAAATGTTGAGTAGTGATCGAACAATTGAAGAAAAACATTAATTTTACAATTTTGAAATACAATAATGAATCCGCATGATCATTTAAGGTCAGGGTGCATGATGGGAAATTTTCTGCATTCCTCAATTGAGTCACATGTTATTTTTCAAACAAGAATCACTCCTTCCCTTCATTGTCTATATCTTCCAGTTTTGCACAAAGAGTGCACTTATGTGCCCAGAAAAGACTTGTGAGAAGAATGTTTTGATAAAGGTTATAAAAAACAAGAAAATTCAGTGAAAAAAATCAGAAAATTTTCAGAAATTTTTTTCACTGAATTTTCTCATTTTTTATACATTTTACAAAACAAACCTTCTCACAAGGCTTTTCTAGGCACAGAAGTGCACTCTTTATGCAAACCTGGAAGATGTAGACAAAGTGGGGAAGGGGTTATTCATGTTTGAAAAATAACATGTGACTCAATTGGGGAATGCAGAAAAGTTCTCAACATGCACCCTGTCCTTAAGGTACAGGTGGAAAATAACATTTTGGTAAAAAATTGCTATACCTGCACATGTTATTTTCTGGTACAAAAAATCATGAAGGCATGTGTCAATTCCCTTGCTTTTTTCAGGAAAGTATCATTACATTGTCTTCTTTTAGAATATCTGGTAGGAGTCCAATGGGAACTCCAGGAAATTCTGATATTTCACACTTTCTGTTTTTCCAAATTTTCAGTTTCAAGACAACACAGGAGCTACCATTGACCCGTTTCCAGGTTTACTAAAAGTAGACAGTGTAATGCTACTGATACTTTCCTGAAAAAGGCAAGGGAATACACACATGCCTTCATACTTAATTTTGTACCAGAAAATAACATGTCAAGTATAGCAATTTTAATGTTACTTTCCAGCTGAGCCTCAAGTTAGTCCCTTGACAATGCAAAATTTTGTACAGTCAAAACAGTAATGTTTTTGAGTACTTTGGATGATTTAAGGTCTCATGGAAGTTAACAGGAAATGACAAAACAAAAAATGACAAAGCCATGCTGGATTTTGAAAATTTTTGGAACCAAGATAACAGAGTTCTGTTTGGACCTCCAGTCAGTTTAACTAGTTCCAAATATCATTTACATGACCAGGAACACAATTGAAATGGTCAGAATGACCATAAACATGATAAAATAACCTTTTTAGCCCTCTGAAAATGTGGCTGAAAAATAGCTAAAAGTAGGTGCTCAGGAAAGGTCAATGAACAGAATCTTTTGATTTTTTCAGAATATGTGTCCAATATATTGCTCTAAATGACACAATCTTTGAAATTTTAAAAAATCGTCTAAAACAATAATGGCTGGAGTAAAAAGGAAAATAGATCGATTTTCAATTCAGTTTTTTTCAATTTTTTCTTTTTCTAAGAATGATATCAAATTTTTTTGAATTGTATCATTTAGAGCAATATATTGGGCACATTTTCTGAAAAAGTCAAAATATTCTGTTCAGTGACCTTTCCTGAGCACCTACTCTTAGCTATTTTTTAGTCACATTTTCAGAGGGCTGAAAAGGTTATTCTATCATGTTTATGGTCATTCTGACCATTTCAACTGTGTTCCTGGTCATGTAAATGATATGTGGAACTAGTTAAACTGACTGGAGGTCCAAACAGAACTCTGTTATCTTGGTTCAAAAAATTTTCAAAATCCAGCATGGCTTTGTCATTTTTTGTTTTGTCACTTCCTGTTAACTTCCATGAGACCTTAAAAAATAAGCAATCAAATTACCATATTGAAACCGTTTATGTAAAAATAGAAACATTTATATTCATCCTTTTAGTTTGTTTTCTAGTTTAACGATCATATCTGTGTCCTCTTATATTTTGATACTTCTCTGCCATGTTATTTTCGGAAATATTAACATGGCTAAAACTCCCTAAATTACAAAAGGCCACAGCTTTGCTGCATATTATACATTACTATCTGAAATATACAAAAGTTAGGATAAATATAAATGTTTCTATTTTTACATAAACTGTTTCAATAAATGGAAATGGTATTAGGGTTTCCATTTTTTGACCACCCTGTACATATAGCGCTTTATATAGTTTCTCACCTTTCTCTGTATTGTTGTGGAATGTCCTTCAGCACCAGTGGCCTTGCAAGGGGTGGTGTACAAGTAGTTTGTGTGGGAGTACTTGCCATTGAACCCACCACAAACATCACTAACAGAAGGGTCTTGTACATCTTTCCTATAAACGAAAATATAAATGGATAGGGAAAAATTGCTATGCCAGCCCTTGAAAGAAATAAGGCATGTGTGTATTTCCTTATTTTTTTCCAGGAAAGTATCCTTGCAATGTACGTTAATCTGGTAAGAGGTCAATATACAAATAAACGAAAAAAATGATTATGGTTTACAGTACATGTATCTGCGTAACAAAGAAACGTTGTTAGAACAAGAAACATTGTCTTACCTTGTGTCTTCACAGCCGTTTGCCCCGTCCCTAAAGTAATCTGGAATGGTGAACTTCTGTTTCCGAAATGCTCTTATATGTGGTAACCGATACGATAGCCTACGACAACAATCGTTACCGTACGCGTAATATTTATAACATTTTCCAACTAAGTTAGCGGGAAAAGGACGTCATCCCATTCTATTTTCGTTTTGTCAATATCAAATGAGGCTACTAGATTTCGACAAACGTAGATTCTCAAATAGCGGGACAAATATGTATGATATAATATATTACCCTTTTCACAATCTGGGAAAATTTTGTATGCGTAACATGAACGTTAGTCATCGTAATAGTTACCCCGCCGTTTGTGGAACAACGGGGCACACTTTATTCACCTCAGAATCAAGTAGATCGTCTATTGGTCAGCTAGTCCACGTGCTTTTTCATTTGGTCATGGTAGAGTGATCATCCTTTTCAGTCAGCACTTACTTACATTGCGTTCTATTTGCAGAATACGCTGCGCTTCATTCGATATTAGAACAATAGTCCCCGATCTGATTTCCAAAAGGGCTCTAGAAAAGGGGTTTTGTTGTCCGGTACTTTCCCACATAAAATGATTGTACCGTTTGAAAGAACAGACTTCCCTCTTAAAGAAAACACCTCTTCTATTGATGTAAACAGGGGCAAAAGGCACCAAAACGGGGTTAGACAAGGTGGCATTCTGAAGTCTCACTTTCTTGTCATCACGATTCCAGGTAAACCATTAGACGGATTTACTTCAAATTTTCACACATGTTACATGGTAAGAAGTTCTAGAGCTGATTAACTTTGTGGCGGCCATCTTGCATTCTGGTGGCCATCTTGGAATTTTTTTCAGATAAATATTGTCATCGCGATTCCACAAAAACCACATGACAGATGTACTTCAAATGTTCACACATGTAACATGGTAAAAAGTCCTAGACCTCATTATTTTTTCGGTGGCCATCTTGCATTCTGGCAGCCATCTTGGAAGTTTAAAGATAAATCTTGTCATCACGATTTCAGGAAAACCAAATGGATTTACTTCAAATTTTCACACATATTACATGGTAAGAAGTTCTAGAGCTAATTAACCTTTCGGTGGCCATCTTGCATTCTGGCGGCCATCTTGGAAGTTTTTTGGATAAATCTTGTCATTGTGATTCCAGGAAAACCACTTTACTGATTTTCTTGAAATTTTTACACATGTTACAAGGAAGGTTACATGGAAGGTTTTAAGAATGAAAAACTAGAAGAAAGATTATGCTGTTTATGTGAACAAAATTGTGTGGAAGATGAGATACATTTTGTGTTTCATTGCCATTTTTATAATGAAATTAGACAGAGGTATTTTATTGATAACAATTTTAAATGTATTGACACAAATGTAGAAAAGTTAAAGTACCTGTTTGGGAAAATGACAAGACAATTTGCTCATTTTGTAAGGGAGTGCTTTGTCAAAAGACGTAACCATATGTATAACACAGATTGATATTTATTTCACTAATTGTATAATTTAAAATGTTTAAACTTGTTAAGTGGTTGATAAGCCCAGGTGGGCTGGGTTGATTTGTGTAACCTACCACTATAAAGAACAATAAACTTATCTTATCTTATCTTACATGCTACCTTTTATATTGATATAAACAGGGGCAAAAGGCAGTAAAGTGGGGTTACACAAGGTGGTATTCTAAGGAGAATGTTATCTATTTTTCTGTATTTTAAACCACATAATTTGACATATATGCATATTTGGTGTATGATATCATGTTTTATATTGATAGAAACATGGGCAAGAGGCGCTACAATGGGGTAACACATGGTGATATTCTAAGATACATATTTTTACTCTGCTTCTGTACTTTATACCACTTAAATGCATTTTGTGTATGACATCGATTGATTTTTAGAATAAATAACTACATTTCATCAAAAAGAAAAAAGATTATTGAAAACGTCAAACATTTCTTTGAAATCCATTATTGCACAGTGATTTTTGAGAGCGAAATGTATGCTAAATTGGCCTTGATCTGAGTATATAACGGAATTAAAGCTCTTTTAAACGAAAATGTAAATGTGTGGAAAACCTTTCACTGTGCATCATGTCAAAGAAATGTTCTTCATGCCGTTGAATTATCTTCTGGACAGGTGATCACACAGAAGGAGAGACCTGCGTATCATATCCTTACTAAATATAAACAAAAATGACAAATGAGAAAGGAAAAAAGTGTAAAGCAACCTAGTGGGAAAAGCAAACTGTAAAGTGTAAAACTGGCAAACAAAAATCAAACCTGAATATCCCAAGACAATAATCTAATATGGGAATAAACAGCATCCACACCGTTCAATGACCAATTCCTCATCAACGACCACAACTCCGAGGGACATTCCATTCATACTGAAGTCATTAAAATACATGTTGAAGAAAAATTGAAAATAATGATATCCAATACTCATAAGATTAAAAAATAGTTGTAGATACTATAGTACTCATAAAAGCTGCAGATAACGTTTCTTCATCGGGAAAGCAAGCTGTCTCTTAGTCAGATATTAACTAACGAGCTGGTTCAGAGCACCAGCATGTCAAACTATGTGAATGGGCTCTGTATCCACAATGTTGCGAGTTCGAGACACATGTGCTCTTTGCGTTTAATAATCAACAAAAATCACTTAAACCTGCACTAAAACTGTGTGTCAGATCGATATAAGTATAGGGTTTGGAAACTAAATTGTACCAACAAAAAGAACTTAAAAACACTGCTACAATATCAACATATGGTGGTGACATAAAAATAATGTATAGAAAAATCTACTGAACCAAAATAAACTTTGTGATAGAAGAACTGATTGTTTGCTCTAAGTTTTCAACTAAATATATTTATAATAAGCAATGTTTTATCGAAAAGAAAAAATAATTTCATGTTATATAAAATCAAATAAATTAATTATATTTTTTTCGTTGTGTTAGTTACACCAGTAATAATAAACCTGTTTATAAAGTGGTGTTAACTAGACTATATAATTTAACAGTCATAAAAGTAATAATAAACCTGTTTATAAAGTGGTCTTAACAAGACTATAGAATTTAACAGTCATAAAACCTAAAAAAATATACCAGGAAGGGACCATTGTGAATGTAAATGTATAAAGCATGGATGCCATAGGAAACGGAACAAAAGTTATAACAGAACCTAGCATGGAGAAAGTGTAACTGGTAAATTGTAATAAAAATAGTATAATTCATGATCTAACATGACATAGTATGCCTTACAACTCATCCTCCCTAACATTATTAAAGACTACAAAAGAGTATATTATAGTGATTCACTCGATTATGCTGGTTACCTAAACGCTTTGTTTCGGTAACAAAATGTGGGAACATCGAAGGTATGATTTTTCCTTTCATACTTTGTAGGCAGAATTCCCACGACATTTTTTCTCACAAACGTGTATCAGTATCATATGTTAAAGAAAATGTGCAGATTTGCAAACAAATAGTTCAGAAGACAACCTAATCGTACATTTAATTCCTCACTTAAGTTACATAAACGGTATTTCGAAAAAACAGTTCAGATCTGCACTTTTAACCCAAACCTTTATGTAACTTAAGTTAGGAATTAAATCGACGATTCTGTCATCTTCTGAGCTATTTTTCGCAAACATGTTCATTTTCTAAGACATATGATACTGATTCACGTTTGTGAGAAAAAAACGTCGAGAGGATTCTGACAAATCGTACCTGTAATCGAGCGGATCACCAGTGTATATACAGGTTGAGATAATTCATATTATGGCATCAACTTTGACAAGTTGGTTCATCCAGTTGTCAGGTAAGAGATTTTCAGGTAATTCATTTTCTTCCTGATCTTCAACGTTTGGTGTAATGGTGTCATCAACTGGTTCAAATTCATTGTCGCTCTCAGCAACATCATCGTGCTGATGGGTTGGACAGTTCTCACACACACCTTTGCGGCACTTACATGAACTTCCACAAATGAGATCCTGTTTCTTACAACTACATCTCATCACACGCTCCTTTACAACTACAAGCAACAAGCTCCATTATTTCTTGTGGGGCAGGACTGTTTTCTATCCACTTAATTTGTAGTTTATTCCCTTTGAATGTCCAACCATGTAATGTGGGGGATTGATAATCAATCATTGATTTGCCTGCGTTTCGCCAAATATAGGCCTGATAGTTGGCTCTATTTATATGGAGAATGAGAGCATCCTTTGTTGGTGGTAAATGCTTTGACTATTTTATATTTATCTACAAACTTCCAAGATGGCCGCCAGAATGCAAGATGGCTATCGGAAAGTTAATCAGCTCTATAACTTCTTACCATGTAACATGTGTGAAAATTTGAAGTAAAACTGTTACGTGGTTTTCATGGAATCGTGATGACAAGATTTATCTAAAAACTTCCAAGATGGCTGACGGAATGCAACATGGCCACCGAAAAGATAGTCAGCTCTAGAACTTCATACCATGTAACATGTGTGAAAATTCGAAGTAAAACTGTGAAGTGGTTTTTCTGGAATCTTGATTACAAGATTTATCTATAAACCTTCCAAAATGGCCGCCAGAATGCAAGATGGCTACTGAAAAGTTATTCAGCTCTAGAACTTCATACCATGTAACATGTGTGAAAATTTGAAATTAATCTGTTAGGTTGTTTTCCTGGAATTACGATGACAAGATTTATCCCAAAATTTCCAAGATGGCCGCCAGAATGCAAGATGGCTGCCGAAAAGTTATTCATCTCTATATTTTCTTACCATGTAACATGTGTGGAAATTTGAAGTAAATCAGTTTGGATTTCCTGAAATCGTGATGACAAGATTTACCTTAAAACTTCCAAGATGGCTGCCAGAATGCAAGATGGCCACCGAAAAAATAATGAGGTCTAGGACATTTTTTTACCATGTAACATGTGTGAACATTTGAAGTACATCTGTTAAGTGGTTTTTGTGGAATCGCGATGACAATATTATCTTAAAAAAATTTCAAGATGGCCGCCGGAATGCAAGATGGCCGCCGCAAAGTTAATCAGCTCTAGAACTTCTTACCATGTAACATGTGTGAAAATTTGAAGTAAATCCGTCTGATGGTTTACCTGGAATCGAGATGACAAAAAAGTGAGATATCAGAATGCCACCTTGTCTAACCCCGTTTTGGTGCCTTTTGCCCCTGTTTACATCAATAGAAGAGGTGTTTTCTTTAAGAGGGAAGTCTGTTCTTTCAAACGGTATAATCATTTCATGTGGGAAAGTACCGGACAACAGAACTTTTTTTCAGAGGGTCCAGATCAGGGACTACAACTACATACAATGATTCTCGAATGTTTAATTAAGAAATATAGACCGAAGAACAGGTGTAATATCGTCGAATACACCCGCAGGGCTAGGCACAAACGTCTTCTATACCCCAAACGACCGAAGGGATGTGTGCGATAGATGTATTTCAATAAGTTCCCAAAAATATTTGGTGTACTAAAATTGCCCTTCCGATGTATAGGCATACAACCCGGGCATACGACTTGGCAACAGAAGAAATATGCGAGGCCTATATAGGCCTACAGCCGCCTACATGTACTGACTTATACATTATACATGCATATGATAGATTATAGGGATTTTTTCAATTTTGGGCCTATTATTTCAAATATTAGGTCCCATCTTTACAAACAAAGGGAAACGTTTTTTCAATTTTTTCACAACGGTTTTTCCCTCCCCTGACCACCCCCCCCCCTTCTTGCTGGGGCCGACCCTGTCCTGTGCCCATGTGGACAATCTTTGCATTCATCTCTTAGGCTTGGTTATAATGGGCGAGAAATTGGAATATGATAAGATGTACCAATATGTTTTGAAATCACAACATTGTTGATGTTTGACACAAGAAACGTGATTTCAAAACATATCGGTATTGCATTCCCGGGGAACTTGATCATGATCACGTGACAATTCAGAATATTTGTGGTCACGTGACAAACAAAATGGACTCTAATCCCGAAGACTTGTTTCTGTGGTGGGGAAGCGGGAGTCCTCCTTGTTGGAGGGCTATGATAGTTTTAGAGGAGAAAGGCCTGAAGTATGGAAGCAAGCTCTTATCATTTGCCAAGAAGGAACACAAGTCGCCAGATGTCTTGAAGTATAATCCAAGGGGACAGGTATGCATGACCTTGCCTAAACATCGATGAAACTTTCAATATAGTTTCGACTGAGTGCGAAATAATGCACGTATGATCGGAGTCCTGCCCTCGTATAATGCTTGGGCTGAATTGTGGGGATGATGTAAAGTATGTGCTTTGTACTCTTTTTGTCATTACGACGGCCTTAAGTTGAATACATACCCGGGAATACATATAACGGCTTATCCTGTTCCCGGACTATAGTCCTGTACGGAGCCAATACATTTGCCTGTACGATTACAACTTGGGAGAATTATCTACGCCCCTTCCACTTAAGAAACCTACCTCAATGCATTCTAGAACTCAAAATGTAACTTCTAATATATTGGAACCGCCGATTGTCTGGGTTAGTTGGCAGAACGAGGTCTTTTTGTTTCTTATGGCTCTTTTGGTCGAAGTTCGATTAAGATGGCGGTTATAACGGAATTTCCCGAACTCTTCCGTAATAGCACGAACTTGGTTTTTCGTTACTTCACTTCCATGTAAAATGGATTTGTTTCCGGTAAGAAACATTGTTTAACCATTCGGTATACAGTTAAGAGCATAGGATGTCGACATGGCAGTAAATATTGAAAATATTGTCCGAAATTTTCGAAATTCCCTCTTACCCGAAACAAATCCATTTTACACGGAAGTGAATTCCGTTATAACCGCCATCTTAATCGAACTTCGACCAAAAGAGCCATAAGAAACAAAAAGACCTCGTTCCAAGTCCAAGGGCAACAAGTTGGTTCCAGATGATAAGGCTGAAAAGGCTCTTGTGCTACAAAGACAGCACGAGGTGATAATTTTATATCAATTGTAACATTTGTCTAGTTAAGATAAAAACAGACAAGGCAATGCAAAATGACATCACCTGCCATTTGTTACACATGCCCAACGTCAAACACCGTCAGCAAAATGCTGTTGACTATAACAATATGTCTCCACTTGTGGTGGTGACATAAAAAGGATCAATTAGAAAGACTGCATCTGATCTGATTTGCACACATTTAAATTATTATTTCATTTTTTCATGTACATTTAGGAATTGATTAAAATTTGACATTTCAACCTAATTTCAATGATTCAAAGTACTTTGCATCTTCATATATCTGATGCTTGGTCCAATGTCACTTTGAAATCCAGTGTAAAGTGCTCCTAGTCTTAATTATTCATATACATGTACGAGGGGTGATTAATAAGTAATTGATGCTTTTTACACACTATTTATTAAAAAGTGTCCATTACTTATTGATCACCCCTTATATATATAATTATTATTACAATATATAGGGGTATTCCTACATGTACATGTATTTATATTAACCAGTTTATGCTTATTACTCTAGGCAGCTCTTCTTCATAAGAAAGGGGTTGAAGATGTTGTGTTTGTTATGTTCAGCTCAACACCTGATAAACTTGACAAGGTAACTAGTACTAACTACACTTAAAAGTGACAGTTCACAATTTCATATTTTGTATCGTCTTTGTTTTGCACGGAGTTTCTTGAGATCTAGAAAGGACATGGTTAGAAGAACTCTCGTTTGATATTTTCTTTTTCTTGTTTCATCTCATTTTTAATCACCATGCATTTGTATCTGTTCTAATCAAAGGTATTACGAATTTATAAGGACTTTTTCATGCGGGTATTTACCTGAAATGAAATTTGATATTTTATTGTTCACCAGGAGAGGCTTAAGAAGAACAAAGCATCTCTGTCTGATGAACTAACAATATGGGATGGATATGTTAAGCAGGTACTTATAAAAGAACTTCAACATTATTTATTCATATATAACAAAGAGTTGTTTAAAATTACTGAGAGTGCAACTCAGAAAGCACAAATGTCAAAGGAAAAACGACGTGAACCAGATAAATATAGGACGTGAAATCCTATAATATGATGCCAAATGGCCTCTTTATTCTAAACTCCCAAATTGAGTTTTTATGACTTAACTTTCGATTTTGAATTGTAAAAAAGAGGTCTCTGGCTAATTCTATTGCCACTCGAGCTACACGTCAATATTGTTTTTTAGGCAAACTTTACGTACTATATCTAGTACATTCAGCCTTCACCTATACTTTAAATTACGTAGTCATTATTCTTCACCTATGTGTCTTATTTAATTGAATGCTTATTTCACTATTATATGTCAAAGTATGTTGCACTAAATATTCGATTTTTAGACTGGAGCCTATGTTGCCGGGAAGAGGTTTACAATGGCAGATGCGATGTTTTTCCCATCATTTGCATTCCTTGTACGTATGGGACTAAAGCTTAACCCAAAATACCCCCATCTCGCTCGTTACTATGACGACACGAGAAATCGTGAATCCGTGAAGAAAACATGGCCACCACATTGGAAGGGGTCGGAGGGTAAAGATATATTGAAGGATGTATAATTAGCTAGAACTGCAGTCATTTACTGCATATTCACTGTTCAATAGAGATCTTGGAATGTCAGCATAGATGTTTTATATAATAGACTATTACATGTATTTTATGTATTATCAATCTATCCGTTTCCGATGCCTGTACAATCATGTTGCACAGAGTAATTAATTTAATGCAAACATAGCTATTTATATTGATATACATTTTTATATAGAATGCCCAACAGTAGTGAACTTCTGGAATGACATGTCAATTTTTTTCAATAACATTCATTTAAACAATAGGGAAATACTACTAGGCATCACTAATAATCCAGAAAATGACAACAAATCTGCACTAAACTATTGCCTACTCTACGCAAAAAATTACATTCACTCCTCCAAAGTGGGTAACTCGATAATCAACATAAATGTGTTTAAAAATATCATAAGAAACAAAATAAAAAACGAATTAAGAATATCAACAGAAAATCAGACTAGGCCACTCTTTATTAGAAAATGGAATTCTATTCTTAACAAATTAGAGATACCGTTTTAACAAAAAACTGTACTGTACCTTGTATTTTATTACCGTATTGTATTTTTATATTTCTATGTACCTGTATGCTATGTTCATGTTGTACATGTTCCAATTATTGTATTTTTATAGTTCCGCTATCACAAGGTAGCTCTTTTGACTTCTCAAAGTACCCAAAGTTGTGCTTATGTGTGCGCATTGTGATGTATTGTAGATTGTAAATGAAAATTAAAGATAATAAATATATATATAAAAAAAAAAAAAAAAAAAAAAAAAAAAGATATATATTTTTAAACCCGAATGATCTAGTAAATAAAGTATATAAAATTATAATATATAGTTGTTTTACTATGTGTAATGCCTTCTCCGTTTTATACTAACATAGCTAAGTGCTCTCGTCATCAACACCTCTCATCATCCAACGCTTTACTAATTAAGGGCGGAGTAGGTTTATTCTTCAAGACTTTGGATGTTTGAGTAATATGGTGCATAAGAGATATGATGAAAATCAAAAAGTATACTTGTACATGCATGAGTGTCAAGTAATCATTATGACTGCTTGTTAGGCAGAGTGAAGATAATTAATCAAGAACATCATGATAAATCGTGACATCTCAAATCTTCTCAGCCCTGAGATGTTTCAGGTGAAACAGAAAGATGCTATGCGTATCAGAATGAATCAAGAAACTTATTTAAGAAATCCGTCTCAAAATACACCAATCGTTGAATTTCTAAATATTTATAATGAGTTTCTTCATCTAAGATTTTGTCATGTGGGCAAAGTTCTTCACCAGTTCTTTACACTTTGCAATGTTATATACTAACGCCAACATTAACACTACTTATATACATATATTATCTTAGATGGTAGTGTAAACTATGACCCCAGGGAGGACACTAATGTTTCAGTATTGGTTTAATGTTCGGCACATTATAAAAGGCCATCATGACCTACAATTATGAATTGTGTCTTCTTGGAGATATATTTATATATATAACAGTTTGTAAACAAATAAAAAATATACAGATGTATACAAAACATATTTACATAAAAACGATTCACCATACTATTGGAATACATATTTGTGAAAGATTGAAATACACTCGGTAGACACGTATGTAAAGTGAATATTCCGGTTATTGTCTTTTGCTAATGAGCACATGGGCCAAATGATCAAATGGTATAGTTATTAATTAATGATTGATTTGGCAATAGGGATCACTTCAGAATGACAAGTTATATTCATGTTTTGTACAATATTTTTTTTCTGCGATCCTTCGATCATCATTAGTGCGATCTAAATGACAAGCGCAATAAATTAATCGGTGGTAACAGGCTAAGTGAGTAAATCGAAGGATTGACATTTACCAGGAACAAGAATACTAACTTCAAAATCTGAAAATGAGACGCTTGTTCTCCAGTCGTTCAAGAACCAATGGTGGATTAATGATACTTCTATTTCTGGCCTGCCTTTATATGACGATTTATCTTAGTAAGTTACTTTTTATATTGACCTGTTGACCTCACAAGTGAGTTTTTATTTTATACGTCGTATGAGATTCTATCAAGTTTAAATTTACCGAAAACAAAGTGCTTTATGATAATGAATATTAAGATGTTTAGATTATGAACTTATATTTAAATCGTGTAAATTATTATAATTTCTTAGTGTTAGTCTTGTTTGTTCTTGATTAGTTTCACATATAATCAAGATCACTGAATGATAAAATACATTTTAATGAGATTGTTTTGCCTTAGTGTTAGTCTTGTTTGTTCTTGATTTCAGGTAGAACTAGCTCCACCCAGCAACAAAACATTAACATCAATTTGTTCCATGATCGTGATTCCGTCCGTACACCAGCACCATTAAACCAAAACGACTTGTCACTAAACGAGGACGACATATCACATTTTCCTATACAGCTTCCCACCATTGATGACTGTTCTCCTCCAAAGTTTGACGGAAACTGTAGACCTCTAGGGTTCAACTCGGGTCCTATCCCACTGACTGCCTTGGCAAGCTACCCAGGGTCTGGCAATACATGGATGAGGCATATCATAGAACAGATAACAGGTCAGATCTTTATCCGGATCACTATATGAAGTTGCTAGTGTTGTATGGCGCAAACATAATTCCCATGAATTCTCACATTACATTTAGCTCCTACACAAATCCCACAACTTATGTCACGTTCAATTGATCGAGATAAAGGAGGTTGGGGTTTGTTTTCACTGTTGCTATGATTATTGACCCATCTTCTTCAACATTTGCTGATTTCTTGACATGTCTACATGAGTGAATATTTTTTGCTCATATTTTATTGCTAAAAAGTGAAAATGTTGCAATATACCATAGAGTCATACTAGGGTTTCATCTTGGAACTAATGAAGAACTAATGAAGAACTGATGTAGCTCCATCAGCCATGATTAGTTTTATAACTGAAATGTAGAACTTTATTTTAGGAATCTATACAGGGTCCATATACAACGACAAGAGTTTACAAACTTTCAAAGGGGAAGGGATAACAAACAGTTCTGTAGTGGTCGTGAAAACACATCGAAGCCCTCGCAACAGCCTGGATGATTTCACCGTTTCGTTTGATAAAGCTATTGTGATCCTGAGGGATTTGGCCAACGCAATGGTCTCAGAGTTTGTTCGACATTTTTCCAAAAGCCACAATAAAGAAATAAAAGATTTGGATGGCTTTTTCAATGAGCATGAAAGAGGTGGGTGCATACTTTTTTTGTCCATGTTAGTTCAACAACATCATTGCTAAATACCATTCACTTTTCCTTTGACAGGGTAATATATTTTCTCATCCTTGGCAATGGGTTATTTAATGGAATATGTGAAAAGTAAAGAATGTAAAATCAGGGTTAAAAGAAATTTGATTTCATACACATGAATTTTTTTCTAATTATCTCTTTATCATGTCTTTTTCATGTATTGTATGTAACATTGTATGATTGATTTTTAATTTAATAAATTGAATTGAATTATATCAAGCCCTTCCAATTTCAAATTTTACTTCCTAGAAGATAACTTAATTTAATTTAAAGTACTCTGACATTCAGAGTACTTTACATCAGAATAATGAAAAGTGACCTCATGGAAGATCTTATGACAATGGAGAACATTATCAATTTACGTATATGTTGCCAATAAATGTTCGGCTTGAATGTCTCACGTGATCGTTTATAAAAAACACATCACAGCATACATATCACTTGTATCGAGACTCAGGGTCACTAAGTGAAACTAGAAGGCTGTTAAAGTTGGCCGAATGATGGTTGCAACACAATCAACTTTATTATCATCTCACTTTAGGTCACTGAAATAAGCAATAGTTCAAGATGCCAATTTGCTCAAACAGGAAAGGACACAAATGCTTACATATCGTAGTAGTTCATACTTTTATACTTTCAGATCTCTGGACTTTTACTATTCTTCAACCAGATAGATGGCAGAAGTTGTATAAGTTGTGGCTACATGACTTTAAAGGTGATGTTCTCCTTGTTAAGTATGAGGATCTAGTGGAGGATTTGAGGCCACAACTTTTAAGGATTGTAAAGTTTCTGGACATTGATGTAACTGATGACGTCATCGATTGTGTTGTATGCAATTCAGACGGACGCTTTCGAAGGAAACATTCAAACAAAACGTTTACTCCTTTTTCTATAGGACGGAGAAAAAACTTGAATTTTTTCATAACTCATATTAACAAAAAATTGCCAGAATATTGTAACAAATCAAACGTCCAGTGTTCTGGGTCCTTGCACTATCCTCACTATAGTATAACTTAAAAGGCGTACGCCATTATGAATAGCGAGCGTAAATATGTCAACGGGTCAATTTTTTATGAGAGGACCATATGTATTGTGAAGAATGAATATTACAAATAGTTTCATGGAAGTTTCGAAAATAAATCTGATTTTTATAAATATTTCGTGCGTGTTTTTTATCTCGTGCTTTAGAAAGCTCCAGTACTCTTAATATTTATTTTAACGTTACATGATACTTATCTATTTCCCTTGAATACTTATAAAGAGGCACTTACATTGAATACCTGTACAATATCGTTCATAGAAAATTTTGATAATTCTTCTTTATCTTATAATTTGTCGAAGAGCAAAAGAGTGCAATTGCACCTCAAAACGTTCCGACCTGTAGGGGAGAATTCCTTTTGCATGCATTCCTAATTTAGTCTAGGATGTGTTTTTGTCTCAATATATTGTTCTCTAAAAGTTCCTCGATCGACCATGTATGATAACAATTGAAGAAATAGACAAACATACATGCACTTCTAGTTTCTGTACCATTAAAAAGTAGATGTATCGCATAAATGTTAAAACAATAATTAAATTTTTTATCGTTTTTGTGTCCTCGCTATATTTTTGTTATCATCATGCATGCAACGAAATAAGCAATAACCTTTTTAAACCTGTATTAGTGTGTGAAAATTAAAAGCTGTTAAAACACTTCAAATTCAATGTTCTTAATTTGATAATATATACATTTTTGAACCGCTCCTGACACTCCCTTTTTGAGATTGGTTGGATACATTTGAGAAAGTTTTAGAGGAAATGAAAGCACTAGTCATCCTCGTAAGCTGCCTGTGTTTGTGTCTAGCAGAGAAAGTCCGATATGATGGGTACGTGTTTTCGCTTTGGTTGATAAGTATGCTTGTATTGATGGTACCTAATGCAGGACCATTCCAATTTATTTCTTAAATCGGTCTAAAGACCATGCATGAATATACCAACCCAACACATCCTATTCATGGTCCGTTCATCATTGGCTTATTTAAGAGTTGTGGAAGTAGTAACTAAATTATGCAATTTTAGGACTGTTGGGTCCTAGACTTTTTGGGTACAGTAAGATTGCCTTTGCTTGTATAATCCGTTTGTTTGTGGTGCACGCACACGGACATGACATACTAAATAGCATCTGGTTAGACCCCAGTCGTATGGGTTTTCTGGACGAATGAGAGCATTTGCTTTATTTTACTTTTACCATTCATCCAATCGAGATGGCGGATATGGATATGGAAATTTCAGGGGGGGGGGCTCCAATATTTTGCCTGTTAATGCCGTGGTCACATTTGCTCCGATTGCCCCGATTTCCATTACTGGCGCTCGACCGTCCGATAAGTATTTTGTTCAAAATTGCATTCAGTTTCGAACAAAATACTCATTGGCCGAGCGTCGGAGTTGAAGATGTGACCATACCTTAAACAAATCTGGAAAATACTGACTGGAAACGCGTCCATATCCCAAGAATGCACCGCGATATTGACGAGATGAAAGCTAAAATTCCAGAACAAAAAAGATTGGGAATTTAGTGAGGTATGTTCCCCTTGTCTGTGTTATAGATAATAGTAATGTCAAGTGTAATACTATTACATGAGATTTTCGTAACACTCCCTCCATAAGTCTAGCAGCCGGAGATTTTCATTTACCTGTTAACGTTTGAATCCTCATTTTCTTTCCCAATTATATTCATACTAGATATTACAACAATCGACAGATGTAATCAAGCAAAGACATTTTTGAAATGACCTTATATGGAAGCCGTTTAGTTTATTACCGATGGGCTTTCATTATCTATTGAATGCCCATGGTTTACCACATATTAACTTTACATCAACTATTGGAAATGAAAGACAACTGGCTACACCGGGTGAGCGGAAAATGTAACCTAAACAAATGTATGTAAATAACTCACAGTCATTCATTTGGCACAATTAAACCATGTTCAATGTTCTTATTTTCTACTAAGTTTCATTGGTCTCCATGATCACGATTTTTGGACATAAATCCCACCAGCTTTTATCGATCTACACTTAGCATTGAAACATTGAAACAAAAAAGAAAAGAAGAAAGATTTGAGGATTTCATCTATCTGTGGTCATGTAGTGAACAACTACATGTATATACACCGGGTACGTTCAAGTTATCCAATCCAAGATATACAAATGTCATTCATGTACATTATGAATAAACTTTTCCATATATTATTGCACAATGGTCTCCCAATTTCTTATTTTTGCCGTTCTACTGACGAAATGAAGCAGTGAAATGGACTCTAACTTTATTTAGGTTACCTTTTTAGCTCACCCTGTATAAGGAAGGCAGAGAATGGTGGTCTAAGATGTGATAAAGGTGTAAGTACAACTTGACCTGAAATTCGATCGCCTCACTAATAAACACAAAGAGTCGTGAGATATCTTATACAAGAGACATATAACTTGATATAAGTCTCTGTTTATACACATCGCACAATTGTAAACAGACAAATGTCATAATTCTCCTGGGCCTCATATTGTGGATGAATTCGCAGTGAAACATGGATCGAGCACAACTGAAGCATTTCAACGAGAACGGCTATGTTGTAATGAAAGGGCTACTGGACAGCGAGACTCTTGATTCAGTACGAGAGGGTTGTGATCAACTCACAAATGAATTGGTTCAAAAACTAATAAGCAAAGGAAAAAGATCGGAAGAATTCAAGGATGAGCCATTTGAGACTCGCTTGTTGAAGGTCGTTGGGGATAACATTGAATATGCACCGTTGATTTACCGATATGAACTTCACAAAGGACAGTTCTTTAAACTATTCGGTAACGTTCGTGTCCTCGAAGTTGTACGTCAGATTTTGTCCTCCGCTGAGGACATACGTATATTCCCAAATTACAGCATCAGACCTAAATTCCCCAATTATGAACCGCATGACGTTGTATGGCACCAAGATGCGGGATTGAGCCCCGATGGGAAGCCGAATACGGCACCCGTTTCTGAGCGTATGGATGCATTCGGTCGTGACGCGACAGTTAATTGCTGGGCTCCCTTGGTACCTGCAACAGTTGAGACTGGATGTATGAAATTCATTCCAGGCAGTCAGAAGCTCGGACTTCTGGAGCACAAGCTATTAGGTCGGTATCGAGAAACTGCAAACTATGGAACCGAGTCAAAATATTCAACTTACGCCGCCCAGGTGCCTATCGAGGTCATAAAAGAGCACGAACCTGAGATCATCGATGTTGAATGTGACCCGGGAGATGTTGTTTTCTTCTCCAACATCTTAATCCACCGTGGTGGCTTTAATCATTCCAAAATCGTGCGTTGGTCAGTTGACTGGAGATACCAGGATGCGGATAAAGAGACACATCGCGAACAAAAGGGTCACGTCATGTGGTCCACGGACCCAACGCAGGCTGTAGCTAATGCAGAACAATGGGAACAATTGAGCCTTGTGTAAAATATTTCTACAAGCTTTTGCAGGGACATATTCGCGTAGATTATATTCTTTATCTCCAAGGAGATGCATAATACATAATACCTTCGTATCATATTTACTTAATTATAGTGTTAAAAATCTTGAAATCATAGCAAATCTCAGCTGCAGGACGACATCATGTCGAGGAGAAATTACCTTCCTTCGCATTGTCCATTGTTATAGTCATCATTTCTTGTGAGCGGCATTTGGCGTATGTTACAAAAAAATGTTACACTTATACTCTAGTATACATGTACCTTGCATTTGATGTCCATGAGCAACCCATTTGGCCTATTAGTAAGAATTATGTTATTTGTTTTTATTTGTCTGTTCCTTATTAATTGTTAGTCGGATGACTGTTAGATTTTATGCATTTCTAGGGGCTAGGTATAGTAGAGTATGCATTGTACTTGTACAATCTTGTACTTGTACAATTTTGTAAAAGTATGATTTAGAATTGATGATTATCGTACATTTAAAACCCTGAAAGTCAATGGGAACATTAAAACAATAAAATCACCTACTTGATATTCAATACTGAACAACCGTCTTTATCAATTGATATGATACATATAGGCATGTATTTGTAAGCAATCAAGGTTAATCAAAGTATGTCGCCTGCTCCAATATTATCACGTATATGTTTGACGTGGTTAAACTCATGTAATCATGCAGGCCTTGAGTAACATACACTCCCCTCCATAAGTTTGGCAACCTTTGCTCCTCCATTGAACTACGTGTTAAAGCCTCTTTATCTTTGAATTTTTTATTTACTTAACCTGCAATGTAACCTGCAAACTTATGGAGGGGAGTGTACATGCCATTTCCAAGGCGTCTCTATACATTGGCAAAATATGTCTTCTTTTTATAGTGAAGGAGCAATAATTTAACATTAGTCATTAGTATTATGAATGTTTTTAGTTCATAAAATACATAACTTTGATTGATACAATCAATGAATTTACGAAATTTGATATAATTCGTAGAAAAAGAAAAAAATGAATTGAAAAGCAATCTATTTTCCTTTTTATGACCGCCATTTTTGTTTCAGACAATATTTTAAAATTTCAATGATTGTATCATTAAGAACAATATAATATTGGACAACTTTTTCCGAAAAATCCAAAATTTCAGTGACCTTTCCAAAGCTCCTACTTTTAGCTATTTTAGTCACATTTTCAGAGGGCTGAAACAGTTATTTCATCATGTTTAGTGTCATTCTGACCTTGTACATTGTGATCCTGCTCATGTAAATGGTATGTGGAACTAATTAAACTGACTGGATGTCAAAACAGAACTAGTTTTTTCCAGCATGGTTTTGTCACTTCCTGTTTTGTCATTTCCTGTTAAGTATCCGCAATGATCCATAGTTTTATTATTCGACAAGTTTTATCATAGCTAGAATAATGTTAACATGTACGAGGGGTGATTCAAAAGTAATGGACAAAATTTAATAGGCATACTAAATTTCACCCAATCAGTCTAATCTTTTCACAGTGAATAGATCAATTAATTCTCTACTTTGTGTCGAATTCTCATTTAAATGCATTTGAAATTGTTTCAGCTATGCGTAACCATGGTAACAAGGGTAAGCATGGGTGGAATTGGTTTTTTAATAATAATTGAATGTTTTTGTCATTTTTGCTTGATTTCGTTTTAATGACTCAATTACCAAACATGATATGTCTAACAAGCATGGTAATGCAATTGTCAAGCAAGACTCACATGCCCATGTGTTTGCTGTTGAGTTCTAAATTCAGCAACCAATTGTGCTATGACATCACAATGATATTTCTAAGAATAATGAGTCACAGTGAGTCAGAAAGTAGATCAGACTCTTAGACTCACACACATCCAAGAAATGTCTACTTTACAACAAATCAAAGTTAAGCAAAGGATTGTTATTGAATATTTGGTAGCTACTGGAGAGACAAGGCAGGCAGTTGTCAAGAAAATAAAAGAGACACATGGAGACAAGGCCTTGTCAAGGCAAGCCATTGAGCGATGGTACAAACACTTTAGTGAAGGGGATACGAGAGTCTTAGATCTAAAGCGATCTGGAAGGCCCAAGACTGGCCGCACTGATAACACTATTCACCATGTAGAGTCCATCCTAAATGCAGACAGGAGATTGACGCTGAGAGAAATAAGTTCCATTACAGATGTGTCCTACTCTACAGTACAAAGGATTGTAAAATGCGACCTAAATATGAAAAGGGTGTGTGCCAAGTGGATTCCTAAGCTTCTTACCGAAGAACAAAAGCAACAACGTGTCGAAGTTGCGCAGGATTTTCTGAAGCAATACAACATTGAAGGAGAAGGATTCCTAAAGCGTATAATCACTACTGACGAATCATGGCTATACTTTAGAGATCCAGAAACTAAACTACAATCTACACAGTATATCAAAAAGGGTGAGCGGCGCCCAAAAAAGGCTAAAATATTTTTCACATGCTGTCCGACAGTCAAAAAATCAATTTTTAGAAAAAGTTCAAATCTCTCAATAAAATCATTTGGTCTACTTACTCATATTTACATGACTTATTTTTTGAAGTCAAATGTGTCCATATTCGCCTAGTAAGTAGGCAGATTCTTGAAATTGGATCCAAATACAGTAGGAAACTCGGCCATTTTCTTGAGAAGAGTTTCTTCTCACCCTCTGTTCAAGTGACGTCAGAGTTCCAAGAATCTTCCGGAATTCCATGAATTCCATGAATGAACTATAGTTTAATTTTTGAAGGGGTGATAAATATCCCAAAATTATAAATAAACAGATTCAAATGTGATAATCCAGTTTACAAACTAATCTAAACATATGTTATTTCACATAATGTAATAAATGTAATTGACAATCTCAAGTATGATGGTCAAGTTTACGAAATATAATGACTTGTCATGTCATGAGATTTTTTCAAATCATCCACCATTTTGAAATTTAGAGGATTAATCAGAAGAAAATGTAATTGGACACGATTCTGCTCAGCTCTCTGACGAAAGGACGGAGGTGTAGATAAGTCATAGACCAAATTTATCATAAATGGGTGAAAAACTCAGGAATACGGCCAAATGAGAAAATAAATGGATTTTTCGACCGTCGGACAGCATGTGAAAAATATTATAGGCAAAGCAGATCCTCTGACAAAGTGATGATTGTTCCCTTCTTCGATGATGGCGTGATCCTGACCCACTATGTTCCTCCTCATCAGACTATCACAGGGAAATACTTCACCAAGGTAAACATGATATTTTCATCCGTTTTAATCATTGTCAATTTAAAAGGAGAGAATGAAGTCATAATAGCTTTAAGCAAGATTAATAATTTGAAAATAGATAAATAAATAAATAAATAAATAAATGAATGAATAAATAAATAATGATATTTCACTTTCAGGTTCTAAAATGCAATCTTGGACAGGCACTTCAAAAGAAAAGGAAAGACACAAGAGACAATCGTTTGTTACACATGGACAATGCCCCAGACACAGGTCCAAGCTAGTTCAGGATACTCTTGCAGCATTCATGGACATGCCTCAACTTCCACATGCTCCATATAGCCCTGATACTGCTCCTTGTGATTTATCTTTTTCCCACCCTTAAGATGGCATTAAAGGGACAATCCTTTCAGACATTAGCTGAGCTGCAAATGGCTGTACAAAAGCAGCTGAACACCATGGCTGATGATGGATTTGGGCATGTGTTCTCTGCATGGGTGCGCCGACAGAAGAAAGTAATTGAACTTGGAGGAGAATACATTGAGGATTGAATATAATTCAAATGGATGATCATCAGGAATAATAAGGAATGATATGGATTATTATTGAACTTACTGCGATATGCTTTTCATATACATTTTGCATTGCAAAATATATTGCACCAGCAAACTTTTCATTGAAAATCCATTTGTTATTATGATGAAAATAGCCTTAAAAATGGATTCCGGGTGTATGCACCATGGTCCAAGAGAAGTGCTCTATCTCAAAATGTATTTGCATTTAGTTAATAAAATTTTAACATCTAATAGATAATAAAATTAATCTTTATTTGTACAAAGTTTCATTCAAATCTGGTAAAGGTAAGCGTGCCTATAAAATTGTGTCTATTACTTTTGAATCACCCCTCGTATGCGGCATGATTTGCAAAATGAAAATTGTTGTGCTATAACAAAAATGTGATTGCATTGCTTTAGATCTATAGAACTTAGTATTTATAAAACTGGGATAGTCAACTCATGCAAATGTCATCAAATGTTTTGTAGACACAAGGTGTTGAGGCTGGTACCAGTCACAGAGGATCAGATAGAAACTCTTCACATCTGGCACAATGAGGCACACAAACGCGGGGTGAGAATCTATATATTTCAAACCACCATTTTTTGTGGAATGATGTACTAATTGATATTCGAACATGACTGTATTCACGCCTTCTATAAACTGTGGACAAAGTCAATGCTTCAGCTGGGTAATATTCGAGATCAATACCCCAGCTCTGTACTAGTGTTTCGTTCAATGCACTCAATGGTCAGTTCAGACTGTTCCGTTCTTTTCTTTTTTATATGGATATCCGCTGTGATTTCTTTGTTTCTGGGCAATATAGAATTAATTTCAATAATTATCAATGTAGTAGATATGCGTGAAACCAATAAAATAGGCCGAAATGTCAATAAAAAAAGTCGGGGTCAGGAGGTAAGTAAACAAATTGGAACAGCTAAACGATCAAGCGGATATAGAAATGAAAAAAGTTGAAATGAACATTGAAATTGACGATTTTGCTATATTCTGGTGAGTTTTCATGTTCGAATCGTAGTATAGACCTCAGAGCAGGGCTACTAGTTTCGAATAGGCCTACACCCCTTAGGTCTTGGCACAAAAGCTTTCGAACCTCTCACCCTTCGGTCGGTCGGGGAACAGAAAACGTTTGTGCCAAAACCTGTGGGGTGTAGGCCTATTCGGAATTAGTAGCAAAATATCACAGGCGACCTTCATTATGTATTGTATTTTCATCAAGAGGTGATTTCGACATTTACGTGAAAATATTCATAGATCTACATATTCAGAGTTACTGAAATTCAAGCCACAAGGAACTCAAACAATAATATATGCGGCTTTTGATTGTGTATCTTTATTCCCAAATGAAAGAAAATGACAACGGGAATAAATGAGAAAAAAGCTTGTATTCGTGAATGCAAATAACATCTGTCGACAACCAGATTAACCTACTATTTTAGGTCCATCTCATTTAAACATATATACTTCCTGCCACTATTTCATTCAAATGAGTCGGTCAAAGCATAGTAGGTTAGTCCGGTAACCGACAGCCGAAAGTTGCATTCACTAATACAAGCTTATACAGATAATACCACAATATAGATCTTAAGTTCGTATACACATGTGATTTCAGCTCATTTTCTGGGGCGAACCAGGCCTGTTGAACCAGGCTGTTGATGTGCAGTTTCCACCTGAGAAGTTCGCCGCTTACCGAACACGCCTCAATAACCTTGGTTTCCAACCCATCGTTCTCTTTGATAATGTCCAAAGGTAATTACGATTTAGATATTTTCAAAATAAAGTTTCGTGGCGACTGTATTATTGTTTAACAATGTACTTGATGCCGTGAGTGAATATTTATAACTGGAATTCAGAATTACGATTGTTGAAGTCCGTACCAGTCGTTCAATGAAACTAGTCTGCCATTTGTCAATATTAAGATTAAGCTACACGTTTTAACAAAACTTATACGTGAATGTTATGTTATATCATGACCTCAGAGATTCTTATCATTCCCTCAATTGTTTTTTCACTTCATACTCCCTTATACTTTTATTCCCGTATACTCAGTTGGGCAACGGACTACTGTTTAGGGGAAGAACTTAACCTCTATTACTAGTAATAGTAATCCACAGAGGACCATAATTCAACACGTTAACTTCCCTATTAATTATTAACATCACCCCATGCAGACAGATGCAGCCTACAATTATATTCGTATGATGTGGACTCCACATTCACCGGGAAAGTAGTATTAACATTTTGTCACCTATAATGGAAATTCATTTTTTACTGCTTAATAAATGATGAATGGCAGTCATATTAAGTTCTATAAGTATGGGAACAGCATGCCGTCTTGATATTTCAAGGTTACTCGTTGAAAAATGATGACGGTGATTGAAATGACGATGTAAAGATAAATCGCAACGAAATATTTGTAGATATCTTTGAAAAACTAAGAAATATACATCTCATATTGAATTTTTCAAAACAGAAAAAACATGCATAAATAGTAAAGCATGTAGGTCCGATTCCCCCTGGTAGCATTAACATTGGTCTCGTATAAGTCATACAAGTACTATTTGAAACCCAACTATTATTCAAACTTATGATCGGACATAAGTTTGAGGAGTACTTCAATGTATGATATTGATAAAGTAACATCATACTTACGTCCGATCACAAGTTCGAATGATAGTTGCATTTCGATTATTATCGATTATTAATCGTATGACATGTATGAGACCAATGTTAATGCTACCAGGGGGAATCTGACCTGCACGCCTTATTTTTATATAATATGTTTTTCTGTTTTGAAAAATTCGACATGTAATGTATATTTCTTGGTTACGGTTTTATCTTTACATGGTAAGTTCGATCACCGCCATCACTTTTCGAATGAGTCACCTTGAACTATCAAGACGTCATGCAATTCTCATACTAATAGAACTCAATGTAACTGTCCTTGACCATTTATCAAGCTGTAAAAATTAATTTACTTCATGGGTGACAAAATGTTTCTTCTTTCCTGGTGAATGTCGAGTCTCGTATCATACGAATGTAATTTTAAGCGATCTGCCTGCATGGGATGTAACATGTTGAGCATGAGATTACGCGATGTATGAGAATTTATCATATTTTATCAACGGTGACTTTTTAGTGAACTTGACAACCAGGAAGCGGCAAGGGTTACCAGGCAACAGCAAACGCCCACCTTGAATTTCTTCACCGATTACCGAACTGCAGCCGAGGTAATATAATGTCATTGGCTTACTTCTTAGGTCTTAAATATCATTAAAGGTTTATGTTTGAACATGAAATTAATCATCATCCCTTTCCAAATATCTTTTTAACTATTTACTTACCCTACAGATATTGTGATTGGAATATACAATTCAGAATGACGCCATGAGATGTTTTCCGATTCAATATATGATCAAATGAAAATGTACAATTGTAAAATAAGAAAGTATCATTAACAAATATATAAAGCCAAATATAAAATGTCAGTATTATTTGCCATTCACAAATGAAAAATCTATAGTTTGGTTGCGATTTGGAGATTATTTGGATTTGTGTTTTTGTAGATATTTCAATGGCTGGACCAAACAGCTGCAAACTGCCCCGCTGGCGCTACCTGTACAGTGACAAACATTGGCACCTCATGGGAAGGAAGAGAACTTAAAGTTTTCAGAGTAAGCAATAATATTGTCGACAGTTTAATTTCCAAGATTTGCCAAAATGATGGTGAGCCCCTTAATATAATACACTAACGTATAGATTGAGGCCGTTGTCAGGCACGATAAAGTTTTTCAAAACAGGTAATGTTGGCATCTCTTTTCATAACACAATCTTTCTGGAGGGGGCAGGGGTGTTGATGACCCCTGCCAAATGAAAATCGCCCATTAGAAATTAGAATGCGTGTAAAAGAACGTCACACATTTTTGGCATTATATTTGACACATGCAAAGTCGAAATGCATGTGAAACCTTTCCCGTCAGAATGATCGTTTCTTACCATTGCACGGTATCAAACATATCACTACTTTACTTTACCAACTATGGTCTCTTGAGATATGCAATGAAGCGTCTTACTGTAACTGCATTTGGAGGAAGAAGGCGTTATGAATAATACTTAAGTTCGATATGTGATATATTCCATCTAAAAACAAAAACAAAACAAGAAGACCATCTGATATAAAATGCGGTTAATAATAATTTCAGATATCCAACGGACCCAACAAGAGAGCCATCTGGATTGACTCCCTTATCCATGCACGAGAGTGGATATCTGGAGCAACAAACCTTTACTTCATAGATCAGGTAAACTATAAACTACATTCTAAAGTACTCATCGTTGTCAACGAAATCTAACCTTTACAGATAATTGGGAGCTTTGCTGTATATTTTCATATTTGTCATAGAATAACACTATATCAAATATGTCGGCACACTTAGTACTTAGTACTGAGAAGGCAGATGTGTAACGTAACGCCGAGTTCGCGGAGTACTGGCCGTCGGCGTACTGATATTATTTTTCTCCTGTTTTGACTTTACAATTTTACACATTTGCTCTCCTATTGGATAATACTGACGTCACATTATTGAGTTGGATTCAATCGTGTTTCATTTACTCCAAATTGATGTTCCGTAGAAAATATGGACGTTAATTTTAATGAGCCTTACATAAGACTTTTTTAGTTGATTTTAAGACGTTTCCCGATTGCAAACTCTTCTCATGCGCTCTGTTGTTACGATGTCCAAATTGTGTTTCAGTTAGTGAATAACTATAACAACGCTGCCAACAGAGCCATGGTTGATGCTTACGACTGGGTGTTTATGCCAATCATCAACATTGATGGATACCAATACACATTTGATACAGTATGTACGGCTATATCTTTTCAAAAACTCTCAATTCAGATTATTATCGTTGATTGCCGCTGAACGGATGTCCAAAACCCTCTAATTTTTCCTTGAAATCCCATTATACGAGGATTTCGAACTGTGAATTCTGATGGAACGCAATAAATGGATCCGATAGTTAGCCAAATGCTCCAAAATGTGTTATATATTCATTTTATGTATAATGTCGAAATTCATACAAGATATGAATCTTTGCTTTGATCACAGGATCGTATGTGGCGTAGAACACGCTCGGACAGAGGGGACATTCTGGGATGTGTTGGTTGTGATGCCAACAGGAACTTTGATTTCCAATGGATGAGTATGTGTCCCCTGGTTTTACATTTGTAAGCGCGGTCATTAAGAGAAACCCCACTTGGTTAGGAATTCCTAGAGTACATTCTTGTTCTCATAATGGTTTTATGGTTTCAATAATTAGTTTAGGAATTCCTGTTTTTTGTTGTTTGATCGTAATTGAACCACCAAATTAAATATAATATTCCAAGATTTAAAAGTATCTGTCAGGTAGGCCAAAGTTAGATCATTTGATTTGTTCGTCAGTATTTAATTGCTATAGCCTATTTCACTGCTCAGTATCGAGCGAAAGTAACGACCGTCACCTTCGCATCAAAGATGGCGAAGGTTACAGGCATTACATTCACTTGATACTAACCAATGCAGTATATTTGCGTCAATTTTTTTCAATTCCATATGACAAAGATTATATGTCGTTACTTGTTTTGCATTCTTGCGAGTAGCAATTGGAGCAAGTGACGACCCATGTTCCAACACCTACGCTGGAGTTGCACCCAACTCAGAGCCAGAAGTTGACGCCGTACGGGCGTACATCATGCAGAACCCGTCATATTATGGCGCATTCATCACCATGCACTCCTACAGTCAGCTCTTCTTACTTCCATATGGCTACACCGTAGATTTCCCTCAGGATTACGATGAGATGGTATGTATCAGATGATAATTGCGCGTTATTGTTATAAGCACTCATATTATCTTACTATATTCTATTTCGTTTCTATATTACACAATGCATTCTAAATATTAATACCACCAGTCATTAGAAACACAAAAACCGTGTGTTATAAAGAGCCCCCCTTCACACTAAAAACATTTAGAAATTTAATAAATATTTAATATACAGGAATTAATAAAAAGCTCATGCGATAACGAATACAATAACAACTATTGATACAAGTGATGATCCAAAAGTTTTGGACGCCCCGCTCTAACTTTGCTATTATAAAATATAATTACATGAAACTTTCAGATAGTAAAGATCAACATCTTAACAACCTTGTGTATCAGTTTCCCTAGAAAATAATTTATTAATATCGTATGATAGTATTGTAAGATGCATATGTTACAAGTTATTGTCGGACTATTTTCTTGGGTCATGCACAGTAATTTCAGTGTAGTATTTTTCCACAGATGAGAGTAGCTGATTTAGCCACGGAGGATCTGTTCAATGTTCACGGAACAGTGTATGAGTCCGACTCCGCATCTGTCATATTATGTAAGTCAAACTTTGACATAAATGTGATACAATACTTCTGTTACAGGGTGTTCCATATGTTTCAGGAATGATGCTGTATTTTATTGGTTTTCTTTTCAATCTAGCTGATTTTTTGACAAAATGTGTCCAAATATGTTGTGAATAAGTTAGAAAAGTTTCATATCATGAAACGCAGTAGACTGAATAATATGGTTGCGATAGTAACCTAGGGGTAGGGTAGGTGGAGCAGGTGCAACAACGCGCAAAATATGACATTTTTGTAAAAATAGTAGTTTTTGTATAAAGTATGAATTTGTCATAGTCGCATCAAACTTGTTGGAAATTAAAAAGAATAAAGGTGGATTCCTGGAAATTAAAAATGTTATCACACCCTTTATTAGCCATCATCATTATTTCAGCATCTATTCCTTCCCCATTAGTAAGTGCTCTCACTGTTCTTGGAAATCCACATTTTGGATAATCGGTCTCAGTTTCCCTTTCAGATTTGAATCGCTTGTACCACTCATACACTCTAAAGGTTACCATCATTGAGTCCCCATGTGCATTCGTCAGGAGTTTAATTGTGTCTGCTGCAGAAAACTGTTATTCCCACATGTCATGTCTTGTCACAGATTGTTGTGTGTTGCCTAAGTCGAAGGTTTTCCTTTGCTAATGACTTTTTCACTTTTCAAGATGGCCGCTTGTCCAAAATGACCTGTGTTTATTCTCTTTTGTGACTCATGACATGACAGTTGTTTAAATTGTGATGTGATCAAGGGTGATGACATTTTTTTACTTTCTTGGAATCCACCTTCATTTTTGTTTAATTACTGACAAGTTTGATCCAACTCTGACAACTTAATACTTAGTCACACTTCGTACAAAAAAGACTATTTTTACAAATATTTCATATATTTTGCGCGTTGTTACACCTGCTCCACCTACCCTACCCCTAGGTTACTATAGCAACCATATAATTAAGACTACTGAACTTCACAATATGAAACTTTGCCAACTTATTCAAAACATTACCCAGATGCGAGTTGCAAACTTGTCAACAAATGCTCTGTTTAACGTCCATGGAACTACGTATCGGTTTGATTCAGCGTCAGTCATTCTCTGTAAGTATGTGTATTCATAATGCCCATACGATTCAATTGTCTATCGGAATATATTATAATATGTAGTAAATCAATCCAGGGTGAGGGGGGAGGGCATGGGGTCCACCCCCTTCCCCGAGCCCCAAGAAAATTCGGGCCCAAACATTTTGAAGGGCCTCAATTAGTGGGCCTTTTTGGGCATGACTTAACAACTTATTCCTGAATTGAAATTTGCCCCCCTCCTCCCTTCTTAGCTTCTGGATCCGCCAGTGATAAGTGACGTGAAATTTATTCGATATGAATATAAATTGACGTAAATTGACGTTCTGGATGTTTACATCTTATTAGAATTATTTTCAATGTCAGTACCATGCTCGTAATCACGACGTTCAAACATCACAAACATTTCATTCATTCTCATATATAGATCCATCTTCCGGTACCTCAAGAGACTGGGCCAAGGGTGTACCGCAGATCAAGTATGTCTACACATTTGAACTGAGGGATACGGGTAACTATGGATTTATCCTCCCTCCAGAACAGATCATACCCTCTGGGCAGGAGACCTGGGAAGCAGTCAAAAGGATTGCCCAAGAGATAACTTTTCCTTGAAACTTTAATGTAACGATATTCTGATATTGTAAGAATATAATTATCAGATCTTTTTCAAACCATTTTCTGATGTTGAATGCGCCTTTGTCATACTATGGTTATATATCCTTCAATGATAAGTGAATATCTCTATATCGACTCCATATCGAATATAATTGAAGCTATATATTTTCATATGTGTAATGTTAAGTCACAGGAAATGGGTATTTTTTGTTTAAATATTTCCAAATCAAAACGCACCTTGTAAGAGAGGACGCTCCTGAAGATTTAAACTACCCAATCACGAATTATACCGGTAATTATTATCACTAATATCGGGTAACATCTGCTAATCAAGACTTTATTATTTTTTTACGTGATTGTTGTTTTTTTACATCCCGTCGACTCGCCTTATTTTTTGTCAGCCTCACCTTTAAAGCAGAATCAGATCCAGCAATGATCCGTCATCTGCATCATGATCTTGACGAAAATTGTTTCAATTTCAGATTATTTTGGGCCCATGTCATTCTTTGTCGTATCTATTGTAATTGTAAACTTATTTGAGAAAAACTAAAGATTTTTACAATGCAATATATTGTCTATTTCACTAATTTATAACATATCAAGGATCTTTTGGGAGATATTTGAGCTGCGCTTGCAATGGACACATCTATTAAATATCGGGTGTCCCACAAAGTGAATCGCAATCGACGACACAAAAATTTCTATAAAATTTCTATATAGTAATACTGGGTCTGTTCCTAATTACGTATGCCAGTTAACGCGCGTAAGGTAGAACACGAGGATGATACGATTTGAGCGAACTGTTTCGAAAAGATCTGGTCTAGTTATTTTTATATTGTGAATGTCTGTAACAACATCCTAGACAGTGAACTTGACAGTGACATTCATAATTAAACCTACACAAACTCCTAAATGTAGTATGTATAACGCGCGGGTACATTTACCTGAGATACGGTATAACGCAAATTCAACTTCCTTGTGTTGTATCTATGGTTTGCCAACCTACCCTATGTATGCACGCGTTGCTTACGGGTGTGTAGGCGTTAATTACGCCCATGCAGACATGAAATTACGCCCGTGTAGGCGTTATTACGCCCGTTAAGAATATTATCTTATATTCCGAAGAATTAAAGCTACATTCATGCGATACCCTAAAAACACAAGTGCGCCAGCTTTTTGCGACGTGTCGGTAGATTTTGAAAATAATGTGGTCGTTTTTGCGGTAGATTTTTGAAAAAACTGTAGTTTTGCGGAAGATTTTGAAAAATGCGGTAGTTTTACGGTAGATTTAAAAAAGACGGTAGATTTAAAAAAATGATTTTGTGTGACTTCAAATTTTCAGAATTTCCAAATAGTAACGGTAGGTTTTACGGTAGTTTGACCAAAAATATTGTCAATTTCAGCAGAAATACGATAGATTTCTAAATATTTACGGTGTATTTTACGGCCATTCTTATAGAAAAAATTATAATAACATATTTTAGGGTCGATTTCGGTAAAATTACGGTAGATTTTTTACGGTCGTTTTTACGGGAAAAAATGGTATTTTTTTACGGTAACCCTAGTTGGTCATTTTTTACGGAAAAACGACCGTAAAAATCTACCGTAATTTTACCGAAATCGACCTTAAAATATTTTATTATAGATTCCCGTAAAAATACGGTAGGTTGGCAGGTGTCATATGCACGTTTTTCTGAGCCACGGGGCTTCTCTAAAATTACTAATGGCAAAATGTATACGAAGTTGGAGAACGTGGTTCCTATTTTCTTCTTTTCTAAGATCTAAATAATTAATATGTGATAAATTAAACCAATGGGATTTGTTAGTGTTCTTTGTTGTGTTCTCACTGGTCTTTGAAAACGTAACTTTTTGTTTAAATTGTCAGCGTTTGAAATGTCAAATACATTATGGATTATTTTTCATCGAAGTCGCTTTCAGCCGTGGAGTCACGTTCGATATATTAATTGAATTGCATCTAAAAACGTAACTGGGAGATGAAATGACTACAAACAATGCAGATGTTGCTATAAATACATGATAAATGTACTGTTAGCTCCCATTAGAACAATATATTATTCATTATCGGGAACTCTCAGGACTTGATCACGAATTCTCTTTTTGATACCGTATCGTACGTATGTATTGACGACCTTTTATGGATATAAAGGAGGACATATTCTTGATGGATGCATAGATGTAGCAAGTTCAAATTTGAGATCGCCAGATGCGTTTCGCTAATGTAATGTATCTGCATTTTTGTTTTCATTTACCCCTTTTTGTTCGAGAGTGATTAATGATTACTGATTACTGAATTGTTATTTTGGTCATTGCCATTAGATTATTATAAAAATAAAGGACAATTAATTTGATTCTATTGTACAATAATTCTAATTTCTTGCCGGTTTGTAATATTTCCAAAATAAAACATTTTAACATTGTATCAATTTTAATAAGCCGTTACAAAATAAACTGAAATTCGTCAAGTGCCTAATATTCTCATATGAATGAGCAACGAAAACGGGTATCTTTGACAATATCTAAAAAATACTATGTATTGCAGTCACGTGTGACGTATTTGTAGGGCTGTATATTTAAATGTAATTGTTTGTGAAGAGGTTACATTTTTCGTAACCTTAGCTCATTAAATGGTATCAAAGACAACATCAACATTTATAACTGACAAATGAAGCCATTAATAGTAATTCTCGTCTACTTTGAATTAATGATTGTACCAGATATGTCTTTAATAGAAATACATTGTATTTCATTTTAGATCAAATATTGATGATGACTGATTCCACTTGATCAACTCGAGTATTGCAAACCGTACAAAAGCCAAGGTTATCATAATTATGACGACGTATTCATATCCATTCGTCTATCTACGTTTAATATAAAGCGAAATTATTTTATAAGAATGTATTATTCACCTGGTAATGAAGTTTGTAAGTCTCTCGTCTCTAAACAAGTTCATGGTTATTACTATAGTAATTAGTTTCTAATCTCTCAACCTATTGATCAGTTTTATAAACATTAATGTGAGTTTCTTGTCTCTAAATAAGTCAATTATCATATATCAATGAGTTTTATCAACATAAATGTGAGTTTCTTGTCTCTAAACAAGTTAATTATCATCAGTTAGTTTTATCAACATTAATGTGAGTTTCTTGTCTCTAAACAAGTTAATTATCATATATCAATTAGTTTTATCAACATTAATGTGAGTTTCTTGTCTCTAAACAAGTTGATTATCATATATCAATTACTTTTATAAATATTAATGTGAGTTTCTTGTCTCTAAACAAGTTAATTATCATATATCAATTAGTTTTATCAAAATTAATTTGAGTTTCTTTTCTCTAAACAAGGTAATTATCATATATCAATTAGTTTTATCAACATTAATGTGAGTGTCTTGTCTCTAAACAAGCTGATTATCATATATCAATTAGTTTTATCAACATTAATGTGAGTTTCTTGTCTCAAAACAAGTTAACAATCATATATCAATTAGTTTTATCAACATTAATGTGAGTTTCTTGTCTCTAAACAAGTTAATTATCATATATCAATTACTTTTATCAACATTAATGTGAGTTTCTTGTCTCTTATCAAGCTAATTATCATATATTAATTAGTTTTATCAACATTAATGTGAGTGTCTTGTCTCTAAACAAGCTAATTATCATATATCAATTAGTTTTTATCAACATTAATGTGAGTGTCTTGTCTCAAAACAAGTTAATTATCATATATCAATTAGTTTTATTAACATTAATGTGAGTTTCTTGTCTCTAAACAAGTTAATTATCATTTATCAATTACTTTCATCAACATTAATGTGAGTTTCTTGTCTCTTATCAAGCTAATTGTCATATATCAATTAGTTTTTATCAACATTAATGTGAGTTTCTTGTCTCAAAACAAGTTAATTGTCATATATCAATTAGTTTTATCAACATTAATGTGAGTTTCTTGTCTCTAAACAAGTTAATTATCATATATCAATTAGTTTTATCAACATTAATGTGAGTTTCTTGTCTCTAAACAAGTTAATTATCATATATCAATTACTTTTATCAATATTAATGTGAGTTTCTTGTCTCTAAACAAGTTAATTATCATATATCAATTAGTTTTATCAACATTAATATGGGTTTCTTGTCTCTAAACAAGTTAATTATCATATATCAATTAGTTTTATCAACATCAATGTGAGTTTCTTGTCTCTAAACAAGTTAATTATCATATACCAATTAGTTTTATCAACATTAATGTGAGTTTCTTGTCTCTAAACAAATTAATTATCATTCAATTAGTTTAATCAACATTAATGTGAGTTTCTTGTCTCTAAACAAGTTAATTATCATATATCAATTAGTTTTATCAATATTAATGTGAGTTTCTTGTCTCTAAACAAGTTAATCATCATATATCAATTAGTTTTATCAACATTCATGTGAGTTTCTTGTCTCTAAACAAGTTAATTATCATTCAATTAGTTTTATCAACATTCATGTGAGTTTCTTGTCTCTAAACAAGTTAATTATCATATATCAATTAATTTTATCAACATTAATGTGAGTGTCTGGTCTTTATGATAACATATTAATTAGTTGAATCAATATAAATGTTAGTGTCAAGTTTATAATCAAATATTAATTAGCTTTGTCAATATCATGTTGCTGTGTTTTCTCTAAACAGGTTAATGGATATATATACGATTACGGGACATGAACATACAATGCAGATAATATGTTAGAAATATGGTGTAATCGGAAATTATATTGACTCGTTCCCCTGAGTTGCTAACAGGAGAGACGAATTGAGTATTGTGTCGAATGTATTTAAAACACGAACAGAGAGCTGTGAACTAGAAATACTGTTAATGGAATAATTTTTATTAGAATTGCAACAAGGAAATGATAATCCGGGGCGTGACTTGCATGCTGAATGTGGTATATAAAGTCGGTGACGATATTAAATTGTCATTCAGTAGTTCTTGAAAAATATCGTTGTGTAAGTAAGCTATTATTCTGTTTCAAAATACTTACTAGGTTTGCCTATATTAGTTGGTTTGGGTAGTACAATTAACAAATGAAAGGTAGTTTAAGTCATTGATAAAGGGATTTTTGGGGCTACATTGTGTCTATTAACTTGCATCGCTGATATCATAATATGATGTCGCAGAGCCAACGGGGGTTGTGTAATTTACCGCCCTTATCTAGATTGATTCCCACCTACCGAACATAACATTTCGGGTTTATTTTTCATTTTTTCAATTATTGCTATCATTTTAATTTCAACTGATGATAAATGCAGACAAATATCTTAATTAAACAAAAAAACAAATTTACAAAAATAATCACTCAAAAACCGCAAATTAGCAATCTGACAAAATAACAAGATTAAACTTGCAAAAATTACCATGGCAACGACCGATATCTGATTTGGCGCCAGACTAAAAATCTAAAATCATGACAATACATCTGAAAAAAGCTATGTAATCTACCATTGGATAAATGCAAAAGAGAATTAAAATCAGATCTTGCATGGTGGGTAGATGGAAATCCACCACAATTCCACAATCCCGAACCAACAGGGTATATGATACGTACATGTACTTAGCATTGTTTTGCAAAGCTTTTTATGGGAGCTCATCAACTATGAAATGGTGTATTGTTTGAATGGGAGCTGGTTCTAATAACAGATAGGAATGCATAAGAGAGCTTGTATAGGCCGTACGCATACGTATACCTTATTGGATTCAGGAAATCATAGTAATGCCATCGATGTATAAACACGGCTATTATTTGTGACAGTTGGCAGAAGGTTAAAGATGGATGGTAATAACACTCGGCATTCCTCGACAAGAGCCGATGATCAACAATAAGAGAACATACATACGTAATATTTCTGAGAAGCTTAAAAATAAAGTAATATGAAACCATGGGATGAATTCGAGTGATAAAGAAGTACTAATGTGCGAGACTAGTATGTCAATGCGATTTTTAGACGCCCATAGGTTCTGAGTAAAGTCAGTTTTTAGACGTCAATAGGTTCTGAGTATAGTCACGTACAGTAAGAATGAAGTTATGTCGGCTGTATACTCAGTATAGCACAGCCTCATGGATCGCTTGGAATTGGAAAATTTTGTTTATCAAAATCTTGATAGCCGACTCAGTGGCTGACACAGTGCCTGAATGTGTACTCTATAGAGATGTTTGCGTTTGGATACCAAGTAAACGCCTCAATTGGGCAGAAGCACAAGAATTCTGTGAGCGCAATGGACCATCAAGTCAGCTGGTCAGAGTAACTGATAAATCATTTACGAAGGTAGCTGAACGTCTTTCACTCTCAAGGTTTGTATTTAATTAATATTCTCATACTTCAATCATAACTTGGGATATTGGGTATTTCTATCAATTATCACCCATTGTTATGCTCTAATGGATTTTGTATTCTGTGCTGTGTAATGAATTCTGGTGCTTCCCTTTCTGGCACGTGTGCTTGCATATTTATGGAATGAAATTACAGTATATATGTCATATTTTGCTTCACAAACCCCGTGCCGTTATCTTTGGAACGCACAAAGGCTTATCGGGAAACGTAACCCCGATAAACAATTACAGAAACCGAAGTGCCGAAGGAGGAACGACCGATAGGCATTTCAAGACGGTAAGAAAGATCACACAGCATGGGAAATACAATAAATGTAAATTATGAGCTAGCGTTCAACACAATTTTAACAACCCAGCCCCACACATCGTCCATGAATCCTGACACCACCAATCCTCATCATATTAATTTTCTTCAACAACGAACTGCACTGTTTCATAAACAGCGCTGAACGGTACTTTTTGAGTTGGCAGTGTACTACAATTCGAAGACAATGAGAAGGTTTATCTCACTACACAATACATTTCGAAGAACATACACTCCCCTTTAGCCTTGCCCAAGACGGTATTTTTTACTTATCTGATCTTGAGTTATAACCGGTGTGAAATAAATTATGGTCCCTTGATTGGGGATTATGGTCCCCTTTCCTTACAGCCCTTACTGGCCCTGACTGTGTATAAATAATAAGGAAAATAATTGTAATTAGGTCACCATATAAATCAATAGAGAATAGGACCAAAATTTTATACGACCACCTACCCTTTTACACCGGTCATAATAGAAACCAAAATAATTTTTTCTCGTAGAGACCGATTTGGGCAAGGCTATTAAACTCACCTCCATAAGTTTGACAATTAGAGAATCTCATTGCACAGTTCATAAACGACGGTCAATATTTGACTTTTGGATTGTCAGGACCAAAACCTAATCAAACTTCAAAATCAAAGATTTATATTTTTTAATAGATTGCGCTGCTTAATAGTTAATATTAATATCTATATATTTTGAGCACGTCCTACGGGTAATATTAATTATAAACTGAAACAAAGAAGTAAATTCAGCAATAAAACCAGATCGCAACTCTACATAATCTGCTACTGTAACAACAATGCAATGTTAATTGAATCATATACCACCTACATGTATAAAACACCTTAGAAAGAAAAGCAAGAGCATGCCAATAAATAAGTAAAACTTGTAACAGGATACAGTCTATTCTAATCACACAGAGCACAATTAATTATGAATATGAAAAGGGAATCGCTGATGATTATATCAAAATAACCTGATATCTGATTATGTATGGATGAAATTATTTCTGTTTATTTTGTTTTGATTGAAATTGCATCAATTCATTTCAGATTCCGTAACATAATTCATCCATTGTGGATAGGTGCCACAGACAAATCCAACGAGACTCAATTCCAATGGGCTGATGGGACAACAGTTAATTATACAGGTAGGTACATACATCCCATAATTCATTCATGGTGGATAGGTCCCACAAACAATTGCAAATCAAATGAGATTCACTTTCAATGGGTTGATGGGACAACAGTTAATTTTACAGGTAGGTGCATATATCCCATTATTCATTCATGTTGGATAGGTCCCGCAAACAAATCCAATGAGGCTCACTCCCAATGGGCTGATGGGACAACTGTAAATTATATAGGTAGGTGCATATATCCACTAATTTATACATTGTGGATAGGTCCCACACACAAATCCAATCAAACGTTGTATCATTCTTAACGGTATATAAGATCACACAGATAAACTATGTGTTATATATCAAACTATTGAAAATTTAATAAGACTTTAATAAGACTATAAAATCATGTTATCACTTATAACTTATTTTCAATGTTGTAATAAATGTGACACTTTCTGATAGTGATATCACAATTCACAAAAATACATTTTACAATCTAAAAATAAAGAAATATCTTGAATGGGATATGTCCACGGACAGTGGGAAGTCCTCCATATATTACTTATATTATATACACCAGGTAATGTTAGTAAAAATTAAAAAAAATATGAAAAAATATGGTCACCTGTCCTCTAGATTCAATTTTTGAATGAATCGTAGTGTGACGGTACGCGCTTCATATGATGCAAATGAATCAAGAAAGTTTGAGGAAATTAAATATTTTATCTGTTTTCTACAGAAAAGGATTATCTCAACAAAGACGTACATTATAAATCAGGTGTGAAATCGGCAACAACTACAGTATGAACTCAGTGCTACTTTAGAAACGGAGGAAACGTAATTTGTAAGTCTTTAACTTAAAACTGATTTATTTCTTTTTGCTAGACTAGTGGTCTATTGAACAGAAAATATACGCGATCTTTAGGGTTTGACGGCTACAGTAGCATAATGTACAGATTATTCGATATCATGCTATTCTTGAAACATTTATACGCAAAAATAACTGGGTCGCTCACCTCTTATGCCTATATGTGTTCAGTAATCATCAATTCTCGTGAGTAAAATTTCTCCAGGCCATTGAAAGATCCGCTCAGTAAATTGACAATTTCTACTGCGCATGTGTCATAAAAAACCCGCGAACTATTGCGTTTTCTACCTTTTTTCCGGCATTTTTGGCATCATGAAGTAATTCTCGAAGAAGAGTTGTCTAAGCAGTTCCTGCTTGACCTATATCTACAATGCAAACATTATGACCAGCGGCAACTAAATCCTTGACATTTTCCCGTGGTAAATTCACAAACTGAGCCGTGTTTCCGGGTGCCGTTGTGCGCATGCGCGCCTTCGCGTGATTTGCTTTATTCTCGCGAGATTAGGCGCTCCGTCCCCTTAAATTTTTATTTTGAACAACTATTATGATTCGGTGCATTATCTGACCAATAAAGCATATTTGGAGGTATGAATTTTTTTCTGTTTAGTGTTTTCTACAGGCCCTATGTGTCTCAGGATATTTGTTTAACGAAAACTAGACAAATAATTTATTTTAAAAATACATATTTTTTATTTTAGATGGAAGCTGCGTTACCTGGTGTATATAATATAAGTAATATATGGAGGACTTCCCACTATCCGTGGATATGTCTGCCTCTATGTGTAATAATATCTCTCAATCTCAGAAAAAGGCATTGTTGTACATTATGTATGCCTTCTTGAAACCTTTGCTACATTTTCGATATATAATGTGTAATCGAGCTATAATCATGACACAGTTCCATTTTTGCATAGAAAACCTGATTTTCAGGCCTTTTAATCAATTCATACAAAATTTAAATTAAATGCTGGTTTCTTCAGAGAAAATCACAATATTGCCACAATTTTATTCTTAATATAAAGAAGATTGTCTAAGCAACAAACAACGGTGATATTTTGACGAGATATGAGTCTGCGAGTAAAATGATGCGAAAATGGTGGAGAAATAAAGAATTGTATCCAACACTTTTAGAAATTATTAAACTTTCTACAATTTCAAGAGCTGTTTTAAGTAATGCGTCACATTTCCTGTTTAAAGACTAAAATGAAAAATAGAATTGTTTGGTTTAAAATTTTACATGCGTGTTGTAGAAAGGACAAAGTTGAGTACGGCAAGTGATTTTAGACTGTCATATCTTTTCACCACAAGCACTTTCTCAATTTAAATATAAGATTTGCCATTAACACAATATGTTATCTTTGAAGTAAATTCTCAAGGATAATAAAAAGATCAATCAAACATTCAATCGGAAAATTATGAATAGGGTCCCCATGTCAACATTTTTTCAAAATGTTGAACTTTTTATTTACTCAAAAGAGGATCTTCTTTTCTGATTTTTATTGCATGAAAATATTATTGAACAAGGGGTCTAGAATTTTTATAAAAGTTGAATGGATTGAAAGTCTAGTTTTGAAGATATCAATTTTCGATAACCAAAATCATGCTGAAAATCATGGGATTTTGGGTTTTTAACTTTATCGCATTTGACATTTCAATTCCCACCCCCTTTTAGAAGTTTTTAATAAAAGTGTAGAAAAATCTTGATATATTTAAATTGAGAAAAGCGAGATCATCTTTTAGAAGAGTTATATAATATTTTATATTTATCTTGGGGACTTCACTTGAAAGAAAACATATTGTTTTGATAACCACTGTATTTATGACAAGGAAGTACTCATGGTGAAAGATATCACTGTCCAAAATCACTTGCCATACTAAACCGAGTCTTTTCAAATTTTGTAATACCTCATTTTATGACAATTGGCCCATATCTGCTCCTTTGAACAGAATTTATGCGAGTATATTGACGCACGGAGAATCATATAATCCTATACTTCTCATTGTTATAATTAGACTGTTCTTATCTTGTCATGGTTACTAAATGCAATGTATATTCCTAGTCATACTACCTGTACTAATGGAATTGATATATAATATGCATTGGGATATTAATACCCGTTGATATGTAGAAACAACGTATTGTAATACTATACACACAATGGTATGAAAGATACAATTGTGCCCGAGGGATTCTGGTTCACCATACATATAATGATCTAGAATGATAAATCAGAACTGCCGACCATAAAGCACAAATATCTAACGGGAATGACAAAAGCGTACTCCAGAACACAGCAATAAAACAAACCTTCCTTGATATCAATTTGAAGAAATTCAAAACTGTCATTCCTAGAGTTTATTTCATTTCGTGTTTTTATCTAAATAGTTTAAAAATAGTTTTTGTTCTCCAAACTTGAACTGATGTTTTCATTCTCTTATATTATTACGTTCTGTATCATTAAAGAACTCGATCCTAGAATTCCATAAAAAGGTCGTCATATCAAGAATTCGTAAGGGGTAAGCGTAAGAATGAAATCATTACATGTTCCTCTCAACAATACAACTTGCTATCACATGCTATCAAAAGTGGAGTGCCACAAGGATCAATACTAGGTCCCCTTCTCTTCTTACTATATATAAACGACCTACCCGATAATATGAATACCGATTGCTTTATATATGCAGATGATACGTCTATATACTTCCCGTTTAGTACTAAAAATCCTTCAGAAATTGATAACAAAGTAACCCAAACAATAGAAAGAATTGAATCATGGTCTATTAAATGGAAACTCAACTTTAAACCTGAAAAAAGTGTCGAAATAATTTTTCATAATTCCAGAATTAAACTTGGCCAAGTGAACAATTCCTTTATGAATAGTGCTTTAATAAAAAGGGAAACATCGCATAAACATTTAGGCTATACCTTTGATGAGCACATGTCTAACAAACATCATATAATTGCCATAAGAAATAAAGTAAACAAGCTCCTGAATCCTCTCAGATCACTGCAAAAGAAACTAAATTCCAATGTCCTCGAAACAATTTTCATGTCTTTCATTCGACCACACTTTGAATATATGGCGCAATACTCTACGATTCCTCTACTCAAAGTGTCTCTAACATATTAAATAAATTATTCTATCAAGCTGCTCTTATATGCAGTGGATGCTTACATGGTAGCAGTTCAATTAAGGTAAAGAATACACTCACATGGCCTGATCTAGAAACAAGGCGGTCAATGCAAATAAATAAATTCATGTTTAGAGTTAAAAATAATCTCACTCCAAGCTATGTGAAAGACATCTTTGAACCTCTGAGGATTCAAAATCCCCGAGAACTCCGATCAAATCCTGATTTCAAAATACCTGCCAAAAGCTCAACCAAATTTAGAAACTTTTCTGTCCTCAATGCTATACCCACTGGAACAAGCTACCGAAGTATATTCGAGAAAGCAAAACAATTACCAGCTTCAATAACTTACAAAAAAATAAAATCCCTAAGCCCTCCTTTTTACCAACTACTAAATTACAGTTAAAAAGAAATCAAGAAATAATTCTCAATAGATTCAGAGTTGACTTGCTCACTAAAGCTCAGCTATATGGCCATAATTTTACTTATATTGAAACACCAAATTGCGCTTGTGGTGTGCCTGAAACTCCAAAACATTTATTCTTTTATTGTCCAAATAAAGCACAAAATAGGTACACTTTTCTTGCACTTGTAGAGACTTACAAGCCTTTAGCTATAAGGAACAAAAGCCAATTTATAAATTTTCTGAAACATGGCAGTGACGATTTATCGCTGGCACAAAATAATGAACTTTTTGCTCTTGTTGCCAATTTTTTACTGGAGAACTCTTAACATAATCGTAATTCTCTATGGGACCCTCCAAGCAAGTATTAACTATGCCTACTATTCCCTCACTGAGACTATGATACATGACCCCAGCCTGTCCTATTTCCCATTTCTTATCCAATTGCTGCTATTCTTCCATATTACATGCATTTACATTTGTAATTAAATTTATGTATTTTCTAGCTTAGCCTATATAATGCTTTATAAGCGATTGGCAAGCCATTCTTGTAAAACATGATTATGATGAAATAAATTGATAATGTATAAAAAAAACGAAAAATACAACTTGCTGACATATTTTCCTATTAGTGTCATAAAACCTTGCTGCAAACTTGTCGTATGTGATATCTAAAGGTACGCAAGCAATCGTCACGTTTTAGGTTCCATGAACATGTGACATATAACGTCATTGAACACATTCGAGTCATCTCAATATACATTTACACTACAGACTTCAGGGGGTAGAAACGCCTCCAGTATTTTCGTCTGGTACAAACCGAGATATTAATTGGAAGCAGACCTCTATTTTTGATTCAGGGAGAGGTAGTTGTAATTTTACTCGGTAGCCTGTGATCGTTTTACAATGTTTCCTTATCTAGAAATAGGCTCATCAGTACATTGAGGAACCCACAATTCTTCTAAAATGACAGGTTGTGTTTTTGTCATTTTGTTCCAATGGGGTTCGGATAGATGTTTCATTTCATTCCGAATATATTTCATTTCATTTGAGTTACATATCTCACACAGACACCATAGGGCATATACGTGTGGCAAGTGGTGACCATTCAAAAGATGACCATTAAATTGACGATGTGTAAAGTTTTCAGAATTTTTTGATGACTGGTTTAAGAGAAACGTGTGTTCAAAAAGTTAACCATATCGATACCAATCTTTTAAAATTGCGAGGATGGTTCACCGTTCAAAACTAATTTGAATCAGTTCTCTTTTTCTTCAATCACCAATTTAGTATCTACATTTTATTTTCTCATTTGTATATTATTATAATAATATACAGATCGTCCAACAACACAAGAACAGCATGAGTACCCAAAATCTTGTGTAAATGACCCTGTGTTTGCAAATTAGTACATAAAGCTTCAAATGATATTTATGGAAACACTTGTAGTTACTCTCTAGATATCATACAATGTTAGAGGCAAAACTAGTTTTATTAGTAAAACCGCACGAATTACTCTATTTAATGGATTAATACCTGTAATATGGACATAAACGTCCATAGAGATGAAGTTTAGCTAATAGTATTTTGATGAACTTATGATGTACACCATTTCAAACTTATATAGTACAGTCTTACGCCATGCAGCAATATGACATAAAATCGATGCATGGTACATTATACGTCAAACATTTCATTTTATAGGTGATTACCTAGTGTGTATTTTATTGCAATATTCCCTGGGCTTGGGGGTTATTAAAAGATGCACAAATATATCTTTGAAGATGAACAGGCATTCACCGAAAATAGAATACTGATGCTCATCACTCTCAAGATCTTCAATATGCCCTTAGAATAATGATGCTCATGACTCTTAAGATCTTCAATATGCCCTTAGAATAATGATGCTCATCACTCTTAAGATCTTCAATATGCCCTTAGAATAATGATGCTCATCACTCTTAAGATCTTCAATATGCCCTTAGAATAATGATGCTCATCACTCTCAAGATCTTCAATATGCCCTTAGAATAATGATGCTCATCACTCTTAAGATCTTCAATATGCCCTTAGAATAATGATGCTCATCACTCTTAAGATCTTCAATATGCCCTTAGAATAATGATGCTCATCACTCTCAAGATCTTCAATATGCCCTTACAATAATGATGCTCATCACTCTTAAGATCTTCAATATGCCCTTAGAATAATGATGCTCATCACTCTTGAGATCTTCAACTTGCCCTTAGAATAATGATGCTCATCACTCTTGAGATCTTCAATATGCCCTAAGAATAATGATGTTCATCACTCTCAAGACCTTCAATATGCCCTTAGAATAATGATGCTCATCACTCTTAAGATCTTCAATATGCCCTTAGAATACTGATGCTCATCACTCTCAAGACCTTCAATATGCCCTTACAATAATGATGCTCATTACTCTCAAGACCTTCAATATGCCCTTACAATAATGATGCTCATCACTCTCAAGACCTTCAATATGCCCTTACAATAATGATGCTCATCACTCTCAAGACCTTCAATATGCCCTTAGAATACTGATGCTCATCACTCTTAAGATCTTCAATATGCCCTTAGAATAATGATGCTCATCACTCTTAAGGTCTTCAATATGCCCTTAGAATAATGATGCTCATCACTCTTGAGATCTTCAATATGCCCTTAGAATAATGATGCTCATCACTCTTGAGATCTTCAATATGCCCTTAGAATAATGATGCTCATGACTCTTAAGATCTTCAATATGCCCTTAGAATAATGATGCTCATCACTCTTAAGACCTTCAATTTGCCCTTAGAATAATGATGCTCATCACTCTTGAGATCTTCAATATCCCCTTAGAATAATGATGCTCATCACTCTTGAGATCTTCAATATGCCCTTAGAATAATGATGCTCATGACTCTTAAGATCTTCAATATGCCCTAAGAATAATGATGCTCATCACTCTCAAGGTCTTCAACATGCCCTTAGAATAATGATGCTCATCACTCTTAAGATCTTCAATATGCCCTTAGAATAATGATGCTCATGACTCTTAAGATCTTCAATATGCCCTAAGAATAATGATGCTCATGACTCTTAAGATCTTCAATATGCCCTAAGAATAATGATGCTCATCACTCTCAAGGTCTTCAACATGCCCTTAGAATAATGATGCTCATCACTCTTAAGATCTTCAATATGCCCTTAGAATAATGATGCTCATCACTCTTGATCGAGATCTTCAATATGCCCTTGGAATAATGATGCTCATCACTATTGAGGTCTTCAATATGCCCTTGTCGTCTCTAGACCCTCTCTATTACTATTCCCAAAATTATGAGATCCATTTCAAATGAGACAAATGTTCAAAACAACGAAAAGGGTTAATAATACATTTACTGTCAATACTTATTAAAACCAAGCGGGGGAAACCCCAAGGGTTCAGAGACATATGTCCAGGGGATAGAAACGCGTCCAGTATTCATATCAGGTACAACTGGAAATACTGGACGCATACCTCCATTTTTGATCCAGAGAAAGGTAGGTGTAATTTTACTCTGTAGTAGCCTGAGTGTGATCGTTTTACAATGTGTCCATATCAGTACATTGGCATCCTCCTAGCAGGTGTCCAGAATCCGTACCTCCTTCTTCCCCCTTCTATAACCAATTTGGAAGCGGCCCGATTAAACTGAATCACGTGATCTAATTATGACTTATACATGATCAGATTGCGAGTTCTCAATCGGCCGGAAATGCTAACTGCTTATCGCAGGGGGTAAAAAGAAAGAATATATTCTGTATTTTGAAGCCCTGTGATCGGAGGATGTTACATTGGGGGAACATCCAAATCTAATAAAATGACAGCTATCCATCTAGTTTTTCTGTAATGTGGGGTTAAGCACAGAAATATTTTGATTTATCGTTGTATAACTATGATATTTAGAGGTCTTAAAAAATGTTGTATATGCTATTTTGTTCCAACAAGGTTCGGAAAGATATTTTATGTCATTCTCAAGAATTGGTAGAAAGGAAAACAATTGCACTTAAAACAAAAATGTTAACAAAAAACAGTTATACAGAATATATATAAATAATTTTCGCATTAAATTGTTGTCAATCAGTCAACATTACATAAAGGATCGTGTTTTTTACAGAATGTTTTCAATAATTGGTTTAAGAGAAAAACATTGTTGAATTCATTTCACCATATTGATACCAATCCGTTGGATTTGGATTTTTTCATAAAAAATGTTTGCCTTTCCAAAAGCGCCATCTATGGAATAACTAGATAAATACAATTTTCATCAAATCGAGGAAGAACTTCCAGAACTGATAATAGTATACCCCCTTTTCTAGATTGGTTCACGGGACAGCCAAATGATGATGGATTGGGAGACGACGACTGTGTGGAACTCAGGAACAAATTCCCCAACCCATCCGGTGGTTGGGCAGACACAAAGTCATTTCACTGGAACGACATTAGTTGTACTGTAGAGAACTTCTTCATCTGTGAACAGGATAAAGGTACTCGTAATTTGCATCCTCCTAAGCAGGTGTCCAGAATCAGTACCCCCTTCTTCCCCCCATCTAATTACGCGCCGATGACGTATACATGATTGCTGTCGCAAAGCGAATCAAATTGCGAGTTCTTAATCGGGGAAATGCTAATTGCTTATCGCGGGGGGGGGGGGGGGTAAAAGAAAGAAGTATTCTGGATTTTGAAGCCCTTGGCCTGTAATCGGAGGATGCGTAATTTGAGTTAAAGAAAAACATCCGATAGTCAATAAGTGATATTATGATCACATTTATCGCCGTACATTAAAAAGTGGCACCATTCTTTGTCTCACGATTCCATAGGCTCTCAAGTCAGACCAAAAACAACTTGCCAAAGGCTGTACAAACATAAAATAATTCACAGTTTTGTTCTTGGCTATTGCGATATCATGTTAGCCTCATATCCTATGTGTTTTCCCAGCTGTCATTATAATTGATAGTAGCATAGAATGCAATACACATTCTACTTACCATGCTTTATATTGACTGAACTGAATAATAAACTGTTATACTTTAACAGAGTTTAATTTCTGTATGCTTGAGTCTCAGATGTTCATTTAGATGGAAATAGCAAGTCCCCATAGCACCCACCCATCGCGTCAGCATCAGCAATACTATTCTTCTTCGACATCCCTGGGATTTTTATATTGTTCTACTGTATGTTTGGCAAATAGTAGCGAGCCACTAAATAAATATAATAATTTCAAATAATACCATATATTAATACATTAACCGTCAGTATGGTGACAGGTGTACCATTATTGTTGAACGATGCCTATAGCTACAAGAAAGATAGCAAATGAACAATACTGCGCGATTGTGTAGATATTTATAAATATTTCTGTGTTTCATTATCTAAATACCCTTATCAAAGTTTAATACCACGGCCTCCCTTTTTTCTGTTTATATTTGAAGAATTCAAAATTCGTAGTTTCCACTCGAGTTTTATGTAACTGAGGTTAAATTTTGAACATGGAAGCACGTACTTAAACAGGCTATCCAATTAGAGCAAGGGGTCGCCACATTTCAGAGGGACAGGGTTGTGACTCAGGCGAGTACACATATGGTGCAATCAGATCCTTTTACAACTGTCCTCAAATCACCGATGAACAAGTAGCCACACCCCGGTGTTGATTAGTTATTATCAATTCTTCTTTCCTTTTTTAGATCTTTATAAGATGTCTTCACATATCGACTGCTTACCTATACTACAAATCAACTTTAATGAAACAATGGTGATAGTGACACTGAGATATATGTTCTTCAACCCATCCATGTCACGCTGTGTGGACATTAATAGAAACAACAGTGAAATGTCACTGACAAACTCAACTTATAGAATGTAGGTCAATCGTGTTTTACCATGATTTCCATGTTAATTTACATCTTAAAAATAATTCAACGAATTTAGTACCATAATAAGAAATTGTCCTGCTGTAATAACATCATTAAGGATACGAATTCGTGAAATGGCAATTCAGATAATCCAAGTATTGCACATTACCTTCAGTATTTTGGGCATTCTTGGACTATCGAAGCAGATAGCGTTCCAAGATACATTGTAGTTGTTATTGTTCAAATGTTCATTTCAAAAACGAAACAGTTCAAACAGAAACAGAAATATCAGATTTTCAAACACAACATACCGAAGAATTTGAAAGAATAATTATTTTTTTATTCAAAGAAGTAGAAAACAATAGCATAAAAAACTAAATATATATGGTTGCAAATCTATAATATAATTTCATCAACGTTTACATTTTTCAGATGCAAATCTGTCAATGGTACTAGAGAGGCAATAGATATCTACATGGTAGATGTATGCTTAACGCTAGTGACAGAATCACAGGAAAACCTCTCTTTACATTCATCGAATACGTCATCTTATAAAGACGTAATATTTACATTTTGCTCAGTAGAAGGTGAGTTTGATCAGATTAATACAAACGAAAGAGAGATAGCACACTATGCTCATGAAAGTTCCACAGCGTTTCTATAGATTAATTCTTTATATTTCGCATCCAGGTAGCATAATAAATTTGTTTAGTGGTTTTGTCACGTGGTTCCGCTGTTATTCTTCGTTTTTCAATCTATGTCCCTTGAAAACAGCCAATAGATTGTGTAAGCATGTAAGCTTGTTTTCTATAAAATATAAATGTTTCAAACGTCTCAAAGAAAACAGTAAACATTTGTAATGTAGAAAAATAATATTGAAAACCTCTACCATCTTTGGTCAAATGGTATTTCAATTTATTCCATAACTGGAACACTAGTGATGTCCGATCTTGAAAGATGATCCCCTGCATCAAAACGAAAAATGGAGAACCAAAATTAGTTTGATCCAGGAAATATCAAGTACTGATCCCCCCATATATTTGCCGATTCCTACTTCTTATCATATAAATATATATAAAGGTTGTCCCAAAAAGTGTACCCATAATAAAGAATGTAAAGAGAAGTTGATTTTTTACTTGATAAAAATCATTTTTCTATAAGCAGTTAAAAATTCATGAATCACAGTACTTCTTTACTTTACTTTAAGTTTTAAATAAATAATAAATAATCTCGATCATGATTGATGCAGACAAACTAAATGCAATTCCAAAAATGGAAAAATGGACGATGATACTAAAAAAGTTTTTATCTAAAACTAAAGAGAGTTACCAAATAAAACGTTCAAATATAAATGATAATTGAATTGTCTGTCACATGATCGAATTTTACGAATATACTCTTTAAGGGGGTTCTCAATGTCTGTCTCGATACAGCATTGGAATATTGGTGGTGTTACTAAAACAAATTTTCTCTAACACTAAATAACAGGATCTTAAGAGGTTCTGGACAAATCATTTGATTCTGGACTTGTCATATTTTTTTTTTAACGAAATCACATCCAAGGGTTGAATTTTTATTAGCTATTTAGAGAGTGAGTCCTGCCTAGTATTAATTTCAATAAAAAAGTTAAAATAGAACCCTATTTGAGAGTCAATCTAATACTTACATTACATTGATAAATTAAGGCAAATCCTGAAATATTTTTAAAGTGCATTTTTTATGAAATATTATCCAGCAAGTATTTAAATGAAACGGTCTTATTTAAATACAAATCATAACATGATGATATTTTTCATGAAACATTTTTCAATGAAATTCAATTGAAGGGTCAAGATAAAACGAGCTAATTTAGGTGAAAACCCTTACATGATGATGTGTTTTCATAACTTCTTTCATAAAATTCCATCAAGGGGTGAAGATAAAATGATCGAATTTAAGTGATTTAAGGATCACGAGAATATGTTTTCTTTGATATTTTCTATGAAATCCCATCCAATGGTCAAGGTAAAATTTTGATTTTGATTTTGATTTGGTCACGTGTTCGAAAGATCCATATAAGGCCCATAGAACCATATAGGAACGTCATTTTGAATGTCATGTGATAGATCCATATAAGGCTTTTAGAACCATTTATGGAAAGATGAGGGGAAGCCCCTGACACCTGTTTCACGATTTTTATGCACTTCATTATTGTACCGAAGTTTGCCGATTCGATTCGTCGTATTTCGGAATCCTGGTGACAATTTTATACTCCATTGGAGTATTTTTGACCTACTTCTTATGACGGAAATTCCCGAACCTTGTTCGGATTAATCCGGATTTTCTGACCTACTTTATCTACCGAGATTTCACGAGTTAACATTCGTCTCATTCCGGAATCCTGGTGACAATTTTATACTCCATTGGAGTATTTTTGATCTACTTTTTCTGGATTTTGCCCTACTTATTATATCTTGACAACAAGCAAATCAAAAAGTTCGACATGAACGGGTCTCGATCAACTAACCTAGACAATGGAAGCCAGGCACGCTAACCATGAGGCCAACGAGCTATCGATATGAAAGAACAAAAGTATTATATATTTATACCGAGCGCCAATTCAAAATGATCCTCACTTTTGTCTCCACTTAAATACGACTCGTCAGTTGTATCCAGAATAGTAGAACGCCTATGGCGCTAGTGAATAACCAAGTCCCAGGTGAGTGGTTCGTATCCCTCCGTGATATACTATTTTTGTTTTATTAAATACGACAGAAAGGAGCAAGGTGTAGGTTGAAAACAAGACGTTAGTTTGTTTCAAAACAGTTTGGAAACATTAATCTCTGATAATTTAAGGTTTTCCACTCCTGAAGGGCCTCTAGATCTATGAAATTCAATAATCCACTCAGTAAAAATACGATTTCTCTGCAACCTGATGTCCAATCAAGATCATTCAAATATATATGTGTTCCTGACACGTTTGGGCGTCCGGGAATAAAATTTCTTGTGAAAACTACAAAAGTGTTCCAGAGACCCTTATCTACTTGGCTAAGGTTTTATTTGAAGATACATTGCCTTATTAAGCAGGTAGAGGGGCATACAGAACACAGAAGCAAATGCTATGTTGAAAATTTTCTATATTTCAATTTGAACCTGTGTTTACATGTCACGTAGGTCAGTGTTTTATATGGGGATTATATGTACTTTCCTTGTTTACATGAACGTTAATCATTACATGAAATCTGCATTCTTCTGGGTTTAAGGTACAGCTGGAAAGTAACATTTTGGTAAAAAATTGCTATACCTGCACATGTTATTTTCTGGTACAAAATAAAGTATGAAGCCATGTGTCAATTTCCTTGCTTTTTTCAGGAAAGTATCATTACATTGTCTTCTTTTAAAATATCTGGTAGGCGTTCAATGGGAACTCCAGGAAATTCTGATATTTCACACTTTCTATTTTTCCAAATTTTCTTTCAAAGTTTCCAGACAACACAGGAGCTACCATTGACCTGTTTCCAGATATTCTAAAAGAAGATAGTGTAATGATACTTTCCTGAAAAAAGCAAGGAAATACACATATGCCTTCAAACTTAATTTTGTACCAGAAAATAACATGTGCAGCTATAGCAATTTTTTACCAAAATGTTACTTTCCAGTTGAACCTTAATCTGGGTTTGTATTGTCTTATTGGGGCTTTTCGACTTTAAAACAAACCCTACCTAAATGGATTGTGTCTCGGGAACGTTTTTGTAAATAGTTATTATAAACAATTCTGAAAGAATATCACATATTTTTGTCTTCCCGATTTCAGTCATGAATTACGTCAATTTCTCGTGCAAACATTGGGTAGACGTTGTCATAACCGGATGCCTGCGAACGTGTCAGGAACATATAGATACTCGAATGATGTTGATTGAACATCAGGGTGCAGAGAAATCGTAATTTTACTGAGTGGCTTCACGAAAAAATAAGCAGCACTTTAGGCCACCTAAATACAACTCGTCAGTTGTATCCAGTTGGAATCCCAGCGTAATGTTTTTAATTATATGGTTGTGCTTTGATTTTACGCTGAAAACATTTATAACTACGTCAACTTTATATTAAAACATTTATTATCTTTTCAGTTGTATTAAAATGTAAAATATGATGTATGTCAGCTTATTGCTTTCTGGAGAACAATCAAGGTTTAAATTTGGTACAATGAATCGGACACTCATGTAAATCGACATGGTTATAACATTGAACTCAATGCAGTAAATTAGTTATTTCTATGAATCACAGCGGGATTGGTTTCATTTTATATGATTGCCAACTCTGGCGTTTTTTGTAAATGCTTTTGACCGCTGTAAATGTGAAACTGATACAGTATTATTCAATTGTTTTATGTCTTGGTCACATTTGCTCCGATTTTCACTACGGCGCCCGGCCGATTGAGTATTGTGTTCAGAAATGTATTCAATTTTGAACAAAATACTCGCAGCAAATGTGATCCAGGCATTACGCAGCGGTATTTCGAACATACTATTGTTGCTTAACCACGACCTAGCCAATTTTAAAAGCATACTCCTTATTTATATCCAAGTAAACGATCAATGTCTAGGTATTTGGCGTTTGATGATACTATGGCCCTTGGCGAATTATGATTAGATGAACCGAGGTCAACATTAATGTTTCTTGTACAAGGTCATCCCAAGGTCAAAGATAAATATTTAGGTATTTTACGTTTCAAGACCTTTGGACAAATTCGATTCAACGATGTATTAAAGTTAAAATGTATACAGAGATAAAATAGGTTATCTCCTATCGTTTCCTTGTGTATACGTTTATGTCTCTGCGTAATAACGCAGATGCGAGCAGGTAGTTACCAATCTCACCAGAAGGTGCTCGTTCGGGTCAGATAGCATGGCGGGTATGGTAGAAAGTTCCCTTTAACTTAAAGTACATCTGTTTTCGTGGTTCAATTTTCATATCACCCTTAAAATGTATCTAATAGCAATGTAAATTAAAATATGTCCAGTGAACGAAAATGCAATACAAGAATAGATATTTCACTTTTTGTGATTTTGTAACAATGGGGTTATTTTTTGTATATGTAACATGGTCATTTTCACATTTTATATTATTACTGTTCATATTAATCAATCCCTATTCATCTCAATATAACAGGTCCCTGAGTAGGTTGTTTGCAGTTTTACTCTTTTAATACCATGTTCACTTTTCACCTTTTATTGAAACCAGTTATTCAACTATGCAAACTGTGTCAGTTTTATATATCTATTGTTCCCCTATATGGTCTTTCTCACTCACATGTAGCTGAGTTTGCATTGGGTGTTGGCTTGTCAGTAGTTGTTGTAAGAGTTCATGTTGTACATTACAGAGCATTGTATTTTAAACATTGAAGTTTGAAATATACTATTTTATATATATTTTAATTTGAAGTTCGAGTTATTTTATTGCCACCCACGGGCCTTCCACACGCCCATTTACATATAACGCTTTGAAACAACTTTAAAAAGTGAGCAATGTCAGTGTTGTGATAATAGAGAATTTTCGTTATAAGTTGTTTCAAAAACTTATACGTATACTTATAGTTTAAAGGGTCTTGTCGAACTAAAATCAATTCAAATTGATTTTCATAATCTGTACCAAGTGGGGCATAACTATTCCCGATATAGTCAAGCTCCATCATCAACTAGGGACTGTGAATACAATGTCCTTTGCTAGTGTCAATTTAGTTCAACGTCGTTAAACTCAATAACGGCGTTATTTATTATTAAGAATTTTCTTGGGGCCATTATTGAGTTTAACCTCCTTACTATTCTTTCCATTGATGCAAGTTTTGGATCCACCGAAACCATTTTTCCGCGATAACATGCAACTGATACTTGACAACAATATAAAAACACATAACATCAAGCGATTAAACACAATATTATTGTATTAAATGGTCATTTATACAAGTAAAATGAGGTTAAACTTACCAATCTCTAAAATGACATTTCCGCATGTCCGCCATTGTGTCTGTTCGTCCCGGGTTAAAATTTAAACTATTGAAACGAAATTGTTGTCAAATAGATTGATAATTATCACGCGATTACTCGGGATAAAATAACTATTTTTGAGGATAGCAGGTATCTTTGATTGATTTATATAGCGCTTGTATACACAAAAAAATAGTTATTAATTGCAAACCTACTGTTCGTTGATGCAGTGTCGCAATGACGGTTAATTCCTGATACGATTTGCAATTTCGATGTTACCGGAGTTGACCGATATTTTCGTAAAATTCCAAACCTGTCTCCAATATTTTCGTAATTATGCATCAATATGGTCTAAGGGGGGTACGGGATGGTGTGTATGTATTTATAAGGTATGTATGCATGCTTGAATCACATTCTTTATGTAATATTACCATGTTTTCGGAGTTTAATTAGTTCCGCATGTCGGAACCTGCTGAACGACTAAAATAACACATCAAGGGCAAAATGATCATGGAGGTTAGACCTAGCCGGGGCCATAAGACATGTCAGATAAGAAACGAGGCCCAGGCTAGGTCTAATGTTGTTGGACTAGTGTCAATTATGAACACGATAAACTAAATGCTAGTTGACGGGTCCTTGTAGTGTACGATAAACAAGACCCTTTAAAGTGAATCACTACACGAACGAGTCGATCATTTAAATTATAAGGTCAATTTTTAAGTTTTTACGTATAAAAGGGCCTTTATACGCAGATTATAAACTTACAGAGTTGGATCTCCGCATAGTATATGTGTGGACCTACTGACCAGAATGGCTTATTAAAATTAATCGGCTGAATAGGCATAGTATCCAATCAAATAGCTCGACTCATTCATTAGCTGAACTAATTCTCCCTTCGTTATTTCTACAAGGTGATTCAAAACGATCATCTACAAAAAATATATTTGAGAGTAGATAAATCTGTAAAACCCGTGTGCTATATCAGCCTATTTGATTCTAGAAAACACATATGACACAACTAAACATGCTTTACATCAAGGGGGTACGGATGGTATTTATTACCGTCCTAGGAGATATTTCCCGACGAATTAGGAAATTATGAAACACCTTGTTTATTGGGTTTATAAGTATAAGTATATGTATAAGTAAAAAACTTATAACGAAAATTCTCTAATAACGCCCCTCATACCTATTTATTACAGGTCGTGTAGACCATTGTTGCCTGATTTATAGCAAAAACATTGACTTTTGCACGTTGATGATGATGATGATGATGCGCCTTTTATAATAGATCTCATATCTTAGAAGCGTATCAGTTCAAAAAATACTAGAAGACCTTACATATTTTGCCATGCACTGCGCCTATTCATTTGGCAATTCAGTTGTAAATTTTATCTTGAAAAAAATAAATCTTCCAAATTTGTTGAATTTTCTTGCAGAAATCGCATACCCCCCCCCCCCCTCCATCCATTTTGTATGATCACAAGGCGTGATTTAAGCTGCTGATATTCTTCTTTAAACGAGTCGGATTTTCAAAATCTATAAGTTGGACTCCCTTTATAGAAGCTTTGAACTGAATTTGCACTGCTTAATGCTGAAATTTTATTGTTTATCCATACATTTTAAGAAAAAATGTATAAAAAAAGATGTTAAAGCCAAATGTTGCCCTAAAAATTCAGAAAATGTAAAAAATTTCGAATTTTCTATGTACAGGCCTTGTTGCCCCTTTAAGAAGCTTAATATGTAAATTATCTAATCAAACACTTCGTCCACCATTTTGAAACACTAATCAATCCAATCTGTGCTAGCGATTCATAGGGCGAGCCAGTGGGATATTTCCAGGGTTCGTACACACCTGGAAATGTCAGGGAAATTGACTTGATTTTCCAAGTGCTGGAAATGTCAGGTAATTTTAAAATTAGGTCAAAAGGGCCAAAGATGACCGGGAATTTTGAAACGGTAGACATGTCAGGGAAATGTCAGGGAAATTTGTATCAGTGTTGAAAAAATAATGTTCCAGAGATTAATGTTTCCAAACTGTTTTGAAACAAACTAACGTCTTGTTTTCAACCTACACCTTGCTCCTTTCTGTCGTATTTAATAAAACAAAAATAGTATATCACGGAGGGATACGAACCACTCACCTGGGACTTGGTTATTCACTAGCGCCATAGGCGTTCTACTATTCTGGATACAACTGACGAGTCGTATTTAAGTGGAGACAAAAGTGAGGATCATTTTGAATTGGCGCTCGGTATAAATATATAATACTTTTGTTCTTTCATATCGATAGCTCGTTGGCCTCATGGTTAGCGTGCCTGGCTTCCATTGTCTAGGTTAGTTGATCGAGACCCGTTCATGTCGAACTTTTTGATTTGCTTGTTGTCAAGATATAATAAGTAGGGCAAAATCCAGAAAAAGTAGATCAAAAATACTCCAATGGAGTATAAAATTGTCACCAGGATTCCGGAATGAGACGAATGTTAACTCGTGAAATCTCGGTAGATAAAGTAGGTCAGAAAATCCGGATTAATCCGAACAAGGTTCGGGAATTTCCGTCATAAGAAGTAGGTCAAAAATACTCCAATGGAGTATAAAATTGTCACCAGGATTCCGAAATACGACGAATCGAATCGGCAAACTTCGGTACAATAATGAAGTGCATAAAAATCGTGAAACAGGTGTCAGGGGCTTCCCCTCATCTTTCCATAAATGGTTCTAAAAGCCTTATATGGATCTATCACATGACATTCAAAATGACGTTCCTATATGGTTCTATGGGCCTTATATGGATCTTTCGAACACGTGACCAAATCAAAATCAAAATCAAAATTTTACCTTGACCATTGGATGGGATTTCATAGAAAATATCAAAGAAAACATATTCTCGTGATCCTTAAATCACTTAAATTCGATCATTTTATCTTCACCCCTTGATGGAATTTTATGAAAGAAGTTATGAAAACACATCATCATGTAAGGGTTTTCACCTAAATTAGCTCGTTTTATCTTGACCCTTCAATTGAATTTCATTGAAAAATGTTTCATGAAAAATATCATCATGTTATGATTTGTATTTAAATAAGACCGTTTCATTTAAATACTTGCTGGATAATATTTCATAAAAAATGCACTTTAAAAATATTTCAGGATTTGCCTTAATTTATCAATGTAATGTAAGTATTAGATTGACTCTCAAATAGGGTTCTATTTTAACTTTTTTTATTGAAATTAATACTAGGCAGGACTCACTCTCTAAATAGCTAATAAAAATTCAACCCTTGGATGTGATTTCGTTGAAAAAAAAATATGACAAGTCCAGAATCAAATGATTTGTCCAGAACCTCTTAAGATCCTGTTAAATTAAGTTTCCTTGTGAAACTGATAATGATGAATACATCGTCTGCCAGATAACCAAATGCCAAGACTATTCCTTTATCACTCATAGAGTTATTATGTGTTTAACTGGTTGCAATTTTTTGAAACACCCTGACTTTGTGTGTCGCCCCTGGCAACTACCATTTAAATTCCGAGTCATCTTCTTCATCGAATAATTTGGAATAAAAAAAATGTGACGAAACTGTGTGCTACAATAAACCTTAGTGTCGTTATAATTGTATCTCAATCCTAATCTATTCTTAATGTTTAAATATTGACGTATGTTGTCTTCTTTTAGATGCTAGTTTTCCTTTGGAACAATGTAACAAAAGCCTACGCATGCGCATCATTATCGAAACATCATCAACACAGTTGGGTGAAGGACACCCCATAATCGTTATGCTATATTTGATGACCGGGTCTAATAATACTCATTATCTCAGAATATCAAACTCTACCAGGGTAGAATTGCAAGGGAGAATTAGAAAATTAACACGAGTTTTTATGAGATACACTTTCACTGATACATTCAACGAATGGTATGAATGGGCTAATATTGAAATTGGAATGCGATCCGAATACAATGAGAGATTACCATCACTTATTGTGATTAAATACGTCATAAATCAGGAAAATAGTGTACCGGTCCCTATGTTACAAGTGATATTAATCAAACAGGCAACAAACGCCCATATAATACCAACATTTGATCATGGAGAAATAGTTAACGATTTTCGAGATGAAGGAAATGACAACAATACTGTTGGATCAACTCTTATTTTCAACGTTACAGAACAGGAAATCGACAAACAATATCATCTCCGGATTGGGTTTTCAGGAAAGGAAATTAATTCTACAAGGAATATGGTTTTTACTTTTTATTTAACAGACACTACATTGGAATTAAGTAGAGAGCACAAGGCCGATGCAAACAGGATACAAGTCACAATACAGTCTGTGATCTTAATAACATTCCTGTTAACACGTGGTGAGACTTTTAAAATAGGAATCAAACAAGGTAATGTCCTCATCTAACACATGTTTATTAGCTTTAATGTCAAGATACATTCCTCTCACGAAAGAGAATTCCTAAAAACGGTCTTAATTGGTATATTAATGATATACATGTTCATTAATCAAACTTACAAGATTTAATGTTTTTCACAAATCATTTCACAAGTATTCTCAACTTTATCATAGAATTTTTCATCCTAATGTAACTAATTTGGATAAAACATAACGATGCATTCATATTGATTAACTTGCAGCCATCGCCCCTTTCGGCTGATGTCAAATTATTATAGTTGTTGACTACTCAGTATCATCTGTAATTCGTGAAAAAGAATCAGGTTCACTAGCAGGACGAGTAACATCGGATATATAAACGGATTCGTCTAACAATTAATGGAATAAGTCTGATCTGATTTTCAGTGAAAAAGGGTTGAGATGTTCATGATGATTTTCTGACACTGAAGAAAGAAGTTCTGATAATAATGATGATATAATAAGTATTTTTAAAGGATGTTTCATTTTCAGACTCTTTCTCATAGGCAGCTCATTGAACCGATGTCAGAGTAAATATAGTCTCCCTGAATATATGGTCTGGTGAACCATACACACAATCCAATCACCGTTAGCATAGTGGTTAGAACAGTATTCTGACTGTTCCCTAGGTGTGGTCCTGTTTTTTCTCTTTACCATATTCTGCATAAAATAAAACTATTCGTTTCCTCGTTTTCATGAGACCATTTTTAATATTAATGCACGTGCAGGAGACTATAATTTCTAGTTAATTCTGTCCCTGGGACAACTTATTCTTAATTTTTTAGATGACCAAGCGGACTATATTTTCTGGTTGCCAACTAATCCTTATTTTTTATATCTCCAAGGGGACTATGTCGTCTACTTACATTTGTGACTATAAAAACTGGGTAGTATAGTCCCATTTGTAGTATATACATTTTCAATAACTTATATTAGAATACGTAATTGCACTCGATCCACTGCCTTGAATCATAACTAGAGAGATAGCACCAAATATCTGTCTGGAGGAAGTGATAGGAAGACGGGCGGAGAGCTTTGTTCAGTGTGTTGAACCTTCTGTTGATGCTCTATCTGGAGCACGGCTAGCCTACCACTTGTCAAACTGTGTTTCAATTGAGTTACCACTGACACCCAATATCGTTAAAATGGATAGCTGTCTTGAACAGTATTCACTCTCCCTAAACACATCCCCAAGGCAGCGAACCAACACCATTGAAATAGCAGAGGTGGGAATCATCATCCGCTTTAAATCCGACATTCCTAACATCATGCTATAACGTACTGATATTGAAATGTGCTCAAGTATGAATTATGGCGTGGCGAGAGACATGACCGTGAAAAGCCATTTCTTGGCTACCCCTCTGATTGTTGATGAAACGGGTACGAGCATGCAAGATGCCTTGATCCACACAAATCAGGAATCGGAGGTTCCATTCGATCACGCAGTTGGCCTATTCTGGAACACAACTACATCAATGATGAGATTGGTAGTAGTATGCTGGGTCAGCTTGCTTGGAAACCGTGCAGAATGCCCGTGTGGCTCCTGTAACAGTTCAGCTACACGATGAAGATTAAACATAATATGTGTGCAATTTTACATTCGTTTTACTGGTACAATCATTTAAGCTCCAAAAGACGGACTGTTTGATTGGCCAAGGAAATGAAACCCTGTCGTCCCTGTAGATCCAGAAGATCACACGTCACACTTTACCTCACACGTTCTTATTCGCACATTGTGTTTGATAATTCCTGGAGCAGCGAAAGCTTATAGGCCATAGACGATATGAGATTCTGACTATGGGCCACATCAATTTCTGCATCTGCATAAAGAGCTGGTTGTACTAGCTATCCTTGTTTAGACCCTTCGTAATGTCAAAGAAGCCCCTACAGATTGATTCGTTCATCGATAGTATAGGGCAACAGTTGTGGCTTATATCTTTGACCATCTAAACAATCGTGGCGATATGCCCACCACTGCTCGAGATACATTAGTTACAAAGGGAAGCCAGTTGTGGAAAACCCCGTGGAAAACATTCAAGTGGTCAGTGGTGCAGATGAACTGTCAGTAAAATAATATTCAAGACTAGAGGAATGTTAACGTCAAGCCGGGATCTTTCAAGGCAGGATCTTTTTTCAACTTCCATCGCTGAAAAATCCTCACGATTCAGAAGGAAGAGATGGCAGAAAATCTTTAAGACATTTTATATCAAACTGAATGAAATATTGTAGCCTGAATGTGTGCTCTCATTGATGTATAGGCTATTATTGTGACAAAAAACATATCAATCTAGATATTCTCGCGTGATTCAACTGATTGAAAAGGGATAGCAATATCTATCTGGTTTTTATATTATTTCCATGCAATATCCAGCCATCAAAAACAAAAACAGCACCAAACCCCAAGATTATCCAAAAAGACAATTAAATCAAATATTACGCGACAGACAAATATGGTGGTATGGTCTTAATGTCAGCGTATTTGGCTGGATGTTCTTCTTATCGATCAGGTGAAATAATTCAAAAAGCAGCTTTATACAAGAAAGGGTATAAAGAAGAAAAACACCCCCAACTTCCTGAGAATGGAGTGTCAGCAATACTATTTTGGAAGACAAACGATGAAACTTATGCGCTCGATTTCAAAACGTAACCACATGCCACACGGGCCTAGTGATCCAATACGAAAATAATAAAATTACGTTTCATATCGATCAAAGGATTGGTATCGATTTGAATAACTGAATTCAGCAATGTTTTTCTTTTAAACCAATCATTGAAATCATTCTGTAAAAAAACACGGTCCTTTATGTAATGATGACTGATTGACAACAATTTAATGCGAAAATAATTTATGTATATTTTATATAACTGTTTTTGTTAAAAAAATTTGTTTTTTAGTGCAATTGTTTTTTGTGCCTTTTTTCCATATCTTGAAATGAAATAAAGTCTCTTTCCCAAGATTGTTTGAACAAAATAGCATACAACATTTTCTTAGACTACCCAATATTAGAGTTGTACAATTATAACAAAAAAACGAAATAGATAAAAACTAAGATAAACCTTTAATTTCATTAACAAGATACTTCTTTTAAAACAACCAAACTTTCCCTTGTATAATTACAATATTGAGAGACATGTCAGAGAGACATGTCATTTTGTTCCAATGAGGTTCTTATAGATGTTTTATTTCATTCTGAACATATGATACCAAGAACAAAAGAAGTGTCCGATGTGTTTTCTAAAACAATATAGAGAAATATTCAAATCATATTGTTACCATTCAAAAGATGACTATTAAATTGACAATGTGTAAAATTTTTCAGAATTGTTTGATGACTGGTTTAAGAGAAACGTGTGTTCAAAAGGTTCGCCATATCGACACCCATCCTTTAAGGCTACGGGATGGTTGTATTTTAAATACATAGAATTCGTATCGTTTATTCAAAGATGTAATTTAAGAGTCAATACTCTGTCCGATTGGTCCTCGTCAGTGACTTTATAAAATATAACAAAAAGAGTTATCCAAAATACAAAATAGCCATAAAAGTAATGCAAAACGTATCCATGTTTTCAGTCCTTGTTTCATCTGGTATTAGCGTGTAGCCTAACAACGCTTCTGGTATTATTTTAACCGAAGCAAAACATCATTCACTTTCCTTTATATACAAAGTGGCTTTGAGTTTGTCCCTTGTGCAAATCGAGACTTGGATGGTGGGATTTGAATATACTTGTACATTGGAATTCATACATCCAATGATTTCATGATGAGTTATGCCTGGGTCACATTTGCTCCGATTCATCGGCCGGCACCCGGCCGATTGAGCGTTTTGCTCAATATTGTATTCAATTTTGAACAAAATACTCAATCGGCCGGGCGCCGTAGTGAAAATCAGTGCACATGTGACCAAGGCATTAAGTATATTGATTATATTAAGATCATGAATTATATCACATGCGTTAAGGAATATTCTTTGAATAATCACTGTTAAACAGTATTGCTGGGTATTACACTAATTTAATTGTTTGTACACTTGAAAGGTTGTTGTAATTTATTTCAGTTGATACGTTGATTGTAGACTTATCTCTTTACTAGAATTAAGATTAATCCTAATGTTTACCGTAAGTGAGTTGATGAAGTTAAATTAAGTAACTCAATTCCAGTGTAGAGGTGTGTGATTTTTACTAAACTGTTCTCTTCGCTGACTTTACGACAATAACATTTGAAGTTAGGCTATTGAAGTTTCGGAAACGTCCAAATTAGAAAAGGACGTCTGCAATTTCAGAATTGTTGATTAATGATTGTAAATATCATAGGTTTAAAGAAATAAAGTCTAAACTTTCAGAGTTTTCGGAACAACGTTTAGATAGTTAAGATAAGCGATGAGTTTGCAAACCTCTAGTTACAAAAACATTATTTTTAGGGGCACATTGGAATACTACGGAGATTAAAAGTCGGATATTTCACTGCACAAATAACATGAACAGACATACATTACCCTTCTTGGTGGCTTGGATTGAGAGTCTGATATTCCTGTTCAGTTTTTTTAATCATATGTGATGTGAGGAAAGTAAATGTAGTTAGTTATATTAAAAAAGGGTGTAGCCTATATAATAGATTGAACACAAAACTCATATTTGCCAACATAATAGTGTAAGTATCAAGTTATCAATTTATCAAATTCAACTGAATAACTTTTTGGCGGCAATATTGTTTTCTGTTGGCCATTTTAGACGTTTTCGGTAGTACAGTATGTTGTCTGATTCGCACTTGTCATTCGTAATTTTGTAATTTGTATTTCTGGTAGTCATTTTAAACCTTTTTCAATAAATCTTGTCATTGTCATTGAAGAAAATCCACGAAACTTGTACATCCTTCACCAGAGACAAAGCACAAATACGGTATAGTTCACCCGTGTAGCTCAGCGATAGCGTATGTACCAATAAGGCAATAGGCCCCAGATTTGACCCCCGTTTCAGACAAGACTTGATTTGCTTGTTTGCGTAAAGTACTTCAGGGTGTTTGACTGAGTATCTCACAACTCGTACAAAAGGCTGCTGTGTGAACGTGTATGTCTGAGTATGGGTGCACATGAAAGAACACAGGGCTCCTTCAGGGAGGGGTTACGGGTCTGTTTTCCAGGTTAATAACATGCATTTAATTACGACCGTACATGTTTGGAGTATACCCAAGAGGTATTGCTCACTTTCATTGGTGGTAAATAAAAAATACAATATGGAGGTATTAATTATATAAAATGTATAAGAGTACCCTCTAATGTATACATGTATATCTTTATTACCCTTTATGGAAAAGGAGATTTTTACATTTATACAATGTACATCTAATATGTATATACGAATTAGAACACGTCATGTGTCAATGATATCCTCCGATCGCAGCTGGCCAGAACTCATCGCACTGACAAGATTCATCGAAAAACGTTTTTATATAGCTCGCAAAATCAATATGGCCACCACAGATTAATCAGTTGATCGAACTTAGTCATTCGAAACATGGCTAGTAAAGGTAAATATAACGACACGCATCGTGAATACCACGAGTATATAAATGTGACATAGGATTATTATATATATGTAGGTGTATTGATATATATTCATATATCTATCTTTATACCACTCTAAGTCCAATTACAGTTGTATAACATGCGTCTATAACAACGATATACAGTGGAGAGTGGTATATCGTCATCGTACCCTACAACTCCTCCGTATACACTTCAGCGTATACCACTGTAGAAGTGCATTCTGGGAACTAATGCATAAAAAATCATGAAAATTTTCACGATTTCCTAGAATCAAGTGACGTCATAAATGGTTCCAGTGTAAAATAAATTATGGTCCCCTGGGGATTATGGTCCCCTTTCCTTACGGCCCTTACTGGCCCTGACTGTGTATAAATAATAAGGGAAATAATTGTAATCAGGTCACCATATAAATCAATAGAGAGTAGGACCAAAATTTGATAGGACCACCTACCCCTTTTACGGCATGATTTGCCAGAATCAAGCCACGTCATAAATGGTTCGAGATAAACATCAGCATTATTGAGTTGGCTATGGGATATATTTATGGTTTCTAATTGTTATGAGTGTGTTCGAATCAACTGTAATTGAACTAAGAGTGGTATAATAAGATTATATAATCACACTACCCTACCTCGATAGCGCATGCGCGAATTTTTGGGCTTTCAATCAGGTCGCTTTTGAGTATATCGACTGCTTAGTGAAAAGGTTAATACGTTTGGTGCTCGGAGTGAGTCAATATTGCTATTCGCTGAACTTCAGTGGTGCAATAGTGAAGTCCATGTTCCAAGTTATATGATAGTTGAAGAAATAATGTAAATAATATCGTTTTAAATTTTAAAATATTTTATATGTCATAGTACACGGTACACAGCTGCAAAAGTTGATCAATACAGGGTACAAGGAATGTAAATTGTTCAATAGTACAGGGAGCGAGAAAGTAAGCTGATTATACAGACATACTATGTCCCGATCTCATGTATATTTACGTTGCAAACAGTGAACATAATACTTAAAAGGCCGCCTGTTGATGCTTTGAGGTGTCATCAATTGTTATTTAATCCAAATAAAGTAAACATTATTTAGTAGATTTAGACACGGGCTTTCAGGTCGTAAATGCATTTTAGTCATTAAATTAACAAGAACGCTAGATTATACGTGTTACTAGGGTATCAAATTGAAATAAAATAACGAAATTAAATATAAACACGTAAGTGATAAATGACTATTGGCTATCAGGATTAATGACTATCCGCTATTCAGAATAATTAAAATTGCGTGAACTACATGTAAAGAATCTTTCTTGAATGGTCTAATTCACTACCGTCCTCAAAAACCGATCATTTAAAATAGTTTGTTCAAAATACCATCATGCCACGACATTTTGTTCTTCACGATTTGCTGTAGAGGTGATATGACGTCGTATTTCTCTATTATTGTAAAAAAACTAATACCAGATCGATGTAGTCTTATATGACGTGTTGAATGTCAGATGTTTTTTGATGGTATCTGCTCCAGTGATTTTGCATTTAATCATGAAACGCTCACCACAAGACACCTCGAAACAAACATTATCCTCCTTGTGACAAGAGGAAAAATGTTTCACAATATGTTATGCCTTACGGCAAAGTAAAGATACATTTCCGGGACGACTATTTTGCATCTTAAGATTTTAGAAAAACAATTAATTCACAAAAGTACATTTGAATAACATACTGGAAAACGTATCCACATATAACACGCTGACAAGCAGTTTAAATAACAGTTTACTGGGGTTTTGTTACATATCAATGTAACATTTTCGAAGGGAAACTTACATGCTCCCTGTACGTTGACAGATTTACTGAAATGTATCGTGTATTGCATTAAGTTTTGCTTCACTGCGCCCACTATATTCTACAAACTGCTTGATGAATCAATTCTATATGTCTGGTAGAACACTAAAAATAAATGTAAAATGTATTTTACGTTCAGAAATATGGAATTAAACCCACGTCCTCCATTTGCAACTTAGCTGTACCCTGTCTCCCTTTTAAACGTGGTCACGTGGTAGGGTAGTGTGATATTCTGTATATCGTGCATTTTATACTCTCGTGAGAATATAATATATTCACTCGTTCGCTACGCTCACTTGTGAATATATCATATACTCACTCGAGTATAACCACGATATACAGAAAGAACCATTATATAACCTCATAATATCTATCTGCAATGTTTCTAAGAATAAGAAAGATAGGATTATTATTTAGGAGTATATAAATGTGAAACATTATTATTTCTCTGTAGTGATAATCAGCATGTGATTGGTCAGTCATGTACCATGTGACCAAAAATACCACAAGGTTCGATTTGAAAGGTTATTTTTTGAAAAATAAATACAGGTTTTCAACGAATGTGACGTCACATGTATAGACTACTTTGAAAACGTGGCATTATTTATCAAATTTTCGATTTTTGAGACACTATTGTTAAAGTGTTGATATGTATGACAGGCCCGTAGCCAGGATTTGCCAAGGGGTTCACTTTTTGAAAAATTCCATGGGGGGTTCACTTGTGACAATTTTGGTCCAAAAATGGCGAAAACTGCATGAGTTTGAAAGAATTTTTGGCCAGGGGGGGGGGTCGCTCGAACCCATCGAACCCCCCTGGCTACGGGCCTGTATGAAATAGTAAAACAAATATTGAATTCTGTTTTCGTGCAATACCTGTATACATTTCCGGGGAATGTATTCCACTTGCCCTTCGGGCGGCGTCGAATACGCTCTCAGAAATATATACAGGTATTGCACACAGTCATTCAATATTTGTATAGTAATTATTATTATATGGTTACACAGGTAGTATAATGTATTTTGAAGAAATTGATTAACCAGAGGAAGGTGAAAGGAAGGTTAAAGCTTTTAAAGAACTCTTATTTTAATTAGCCATTTCCATTCGGATTTATGGTTGGTTAGTTTTAATTGATACAAACGAGTTCATTTTTCTGAGATATCAGTGACCATTTATTGTAACTCGCATTTGTTACCATTTGTTGAGTTCTTAGATGACGAGCAGACTGCGTAGTTAACATGCCAACGTGGGAACTATTTTCTTTTAAAATAGTCATGTTTTGATATCAATATTAAATTATTCCCTAATAAATATCACGCGTTCTCAAATTATATTAACGAGGCGACATGTACACTCCCTGTCACGTTTCTAATTAACTCATCTGTTTTTCAGCCACTGATGACAAAATTACAGAAGCAGTGTTGAACCTGGACAGAACGAGTATCGGTGACATAAGAGAGCTGCCTATCAGGGAACCTAAAAATGCTCAATCTAACGCAAAGTATATACTTAAGCTCATAACGCTTACGGGATCACACGTCAGACTATATCTAAATTCGTCATCCTGTTACCTTTCATGCATATCAAGTGATTATATAAGCCTCTGTGGAAACACAGATAGGAACGTCAGCGGTGCGGATGAGCACGTGTTTGATTGCGTGGGTCTAAATGAAAAGTCGGCATTGGATGAAAACTCTAATCAGACATCTTCCATGCAAATACTTACCTCGGCGTCGAACTCCTTGAATATCCTCATTAGCACTGGACAGGGAGGAGACAAGTCTAATATCTATGCAACATATGAAGTGATAGGTAATATTATGAATGATGCTTTTTGCTTTTCATTAATTTGCATGTAGCCTGTTATAATTGACGTTTGATTTCAAATTCAATGTGTTTCTTGGACTCTATAATACACGAATACACGATTACACTGAACGAGTTTCTAGGAGATTCGTCAACATTAATGAAAGATTTGATGAGTTTGATGCAAGATGTTACAACGTGTATCTGTTTAAAACATTTCAATCAAGGTACTTTTGGGAGACAGTTTAGGCCTGATATTGTCAAATTATCATCAACCTTTCGCTAGTATATAATATAATATTAGTTGATACATGTATTAACGAACAGTATACACGTACACGAATATGGCACATATAATGTATCCCATACTTGAGTGGGTTTGGAGTAGATATCACCCGGGAATATATTTCATATCTGAGGAGCGGGTAGGATATATTGTATATGTCCCGCTCCAGGCCAATTACCCAAATGCGAGTAGGTAGTTACCAGTTTCACCACCAGGTGGCTGATTCGGGTCAATTAACATGGCTGGTATATAAGAAACTTCCCTTAAACTTGAATATTATCAATTTAAGTGGCTCAATTTTCATATAACCCTTATGTGTCTGATACTTATACTCATGAAAATATGTCCAGTGAAGCAAAATATTATCTGACCACTAAAAGAAAAGATATTTCATTTTTTGTGATTTTATAGCATGGGGTCTATGGGGAATCTCCCCGAGCTAGAAGTCAGATTTTCAAAGAAAATTAATTTTTCAAAGTTGATAAACACTTTTTAAAACCACATTTCTAGATGTAATTTTACATGTAGATTTCAAATATGATATTACTTTGACGGAATTTTGAATTTTTAATGACGTAAATCAAGATTATTTCTACTCACATCTGGGTTATTGCGGGTAGATATGATATATCCATCCCGCCCCGGGAATTTTTCAAAAGTTTAAAAATCAAGTTTGAAATTTAATTTTTTTTTTCAGTTTAAATGTTACAATTTCATTGTATTGAACTAAAGGAATATTACGAAATTGTTAATTGTAAATTGTTCTTTTACTATAGGCCTATTTTGTCATTTGAAAAGGTGGAAAAGGTTATATCTACCCCAAACCCACTCAAGTATGAGATACACCTGGTCCAGTTATGTATGGTCGGGTTTGGATAGAGGGTATATACATCGGGAAATATTTATATCTCCCCTTGGTCCCTTCGGTCCCTCGGGGAGATAGATTTATCCCATAGTTGGACGTGTTACAGGTACATACGTCATAATCGCCGCTCGCATATTTGTTCATAATGCACATAATGACTGAAAACGACAATGGAGAAAAAACACAGACAATCGGGATCTGTTTGATGGTTTAAAAAAGGGAAGGAGCATACACTTTTAATCAACCAAAAAGTCGAGAAAATAAATGTGGGAATATTTGAGAGAGCAGGAAAATCCGCCCACGGCCAAGAAAACAAAACTGGACATGAATATTCTAAAATATTTCAACCATTGAACAATGTGAACCAGATGACCAAGATTGGTTGAAAAACATATTATCCTATAGTCGGTTCAGGACATTGGGATTATCCCTATATATATTTTCCCTCGGGATCTGCGGCCCTCGGGCAGATATAATATATTTGCCTCGGGATAATCCCAATATCCTGAACCTCATATAGGATAATCTCTATATGTCCCTTAGGATAAACCAAAACCTATATCCAAAACCTCCTAGTACATATAACCCTTATATATATAATCAGTATTCTAAAAGCTATTGCTTTGTTTAAGTTTTATACAGGTATCCAGATCTCTGCCTTATGAACATATGTTTCAAGGATTATAACTCGATGGTCTTGGTGTAGTTTTTATTTGCAAACAAACTGAAGACACAAAAATTCAAAGGTCTCGCGTAACATCGAAGTGAATTCTACTTGAATTGATTTTCAATTGATGGTCAAATGGAATGATTGATTATTTTACCTAATTGTTTGCTTTTTCACACTATCTAATGACCATTTCTTGTAAGTTTTTTGTATCTACTTTATTTTATACGATTTCACACTGTGGTTACGTCTAAACGTATTAACTTCCTAAGTAAACAGTAATAAATAATAAACGACTATAAAGGTATTAGGTTAACCAAAAAGACAAACTAACCTAGAAGTTACGTATATCATATAAAGCAAACAAGAAAAAAGATAGAAACAAGCAAGCATCTCTTGGAAACTCTCTCAAAATATTGACATTTCTTTACCTACGCAATGTTACGGTGAGTCATATAATGTTCAACTTTGTTCTCTGGGTGGGCCTCTTTTGTTTTGTATTATATGTGCCTCTAGATCGAATGATTGAACACAACAGACAATTAAAAGAGACTAGGGATTGAATCAAAATGTTTGTGTTCATGAATTCTATACATTGATAAGATCCCTGTTCAGTTGGCATATCAAAAATTATCTAGAAAGAGATAAGGTAATTTGTTAATCAAAATTGATTGAGTCTTTATACAAAATAAACATAGCGTCGGAACAGCGTCGTATGACGAATATAGACCCGACCCCTCGATGCAATTACAATATATCAGAAATATAAACGATAAAAGTTATACGCAGGTATAGGATTACTAATACCCTTTGTTATATGATGATAATTCAAACATTTAATATGGAAATTAATGGATCTGTCTGTTATTCAACATTACAAGTGGTGAAGTATTTTAAGAGCAATGATTTAAGTGGACGGATTAAAGAACCTATGTTTCGCTGCATACTGGGTCTATAGAGCAGCTTTGTGATACTCTATAGCATTCTATTATGAAAGAGATATGTTTTATCATAGAGGAATCCGATGAATTTTTTACCCTAGTGGTATTTGATTTCAATTCATACCGATATCAATATTTAGAATCTACTTCCAGAGCATTTGTACAACAACAGAAGCGTTGTTGAAGGGTGTACGGATATCCGATGTAGCAATGGTGGTTCATGTATAGCGCTCATCGACAGGTCCAGATCAAATAGAACGTACTGTAAATGTGCTAATGGATTTACAGGTAAGTCTATAAGCATTTAAGCAGACATATGGGTTATTTTGCTGATGTCGATCGAACTGTACAAAATATACATTTTACAGAGCATTTTTACAAATAGTTATGACAATTACAACTTACCTAATATCAAAATAGCAGATACACAATGGATTATATACATCGCTGTGTAATAAGAGATTCTAATTAAGTGAATAATCAAGAGGGAGTTATTAACATTTCCCGAAAAATAAACCGCATATCTAAAATCGATTACTCATTGTTTTTGAAAATAAGAAATGGGCTATTACGAAACAGACAATTGTGCATGAGTAGTGGGAATATAACATATATTTTATGAGGGTAATTAGAATAATACACTTTGATTTTGAGTGCAGTGAGTGCGGCGAAAGAATAAATATAATCTCTATATATCTTTTAGTGGATTGAAATAATAGGAGAGACTTACATTTTTATCCCATTGTAAATTATTCTGAATGTCGTTGGGAGGTGTTCAGAAAACTTGATCTACATGGAATTGCTATTTGAAATGCAACGGATATCACTGTTTATAAAGTGATATTCCGAATTTTGTGTTTTTCTAAAATATAATTATCTTCACGTGATGAGAACAAACGTTATTTTTAATCATCACATACAGGGTGATTATAACGTATCGTATTTTTTACACCGCGCGTTTATCTTTCCGATGCCTTACTGAATATGGAATAAATATTTGACTGATCCTATGGTAAACGACTAATATAATGTACTGTAATAAGACCAGGATTTAAAGGTAAATGATGTAAGACTGGTGGTACATCTTTAATCATGTCTATATTCTGATAATTAATATAACATCATTATACATGTATGTTATCCAAAAGGTAAAAGAATCAAGATAACAAATATCTTAATCCAATTCTACGAAAAACATTGTTAGGGTCCCACCTCAACACGTTTTCCGAAATACTAGACTTTTTGGTATCAAAGTTGTAATGTTGATTTGCTCGTTTGGTTTTAGGCTCCTTATGTATGACCAGTCCTTGTGCACATCAGGATAACACATATCTTAATCCAACTCTACGAAAAACATTGTTAGGGTCCCACCTCAACACGTTTTCCGAAATACTAGACTTTTTGGTATCAAAGTTGTAATGTTGATTTGCTCGTTTGGTTTTAGGCTCCTTATGTATGACCAGTCCTTGTGCACATCAGGATAACACATATCTTAATCCAACTCTACGAAAAACATTGTTAGGGTCCCACCTCAACACTATTCCGAAATACTAGACTTTTTGGTATCAAAGTTGTAATGTTGATTTGCTCGTTTGGTTTTAGGCTCCTTATGTATGACCAGTCCTTGTGCACATCAGGATAACACATATCTTAATCCAACTCTACGAAAAACATTGTTAGGGTCCCACCTCAACACTATTCCGAAATACTAGACTTTGTGGTATCAAAGTGGTAATGCTGATTTGCTCGTTTGGTTTTAGGCTCGTTATGTATGACCAGTCCTTGTGCACACGTTGGAGGATGTCAGCATGGCATATGTAATATCTCAAAAGATCAATGCGATTGTTATCCTGGTTGGTTTGGTAACAATTGTACCACACCTGCTGAAACCTGTGATTTTACTCGTTGTAATGGCCATGGCACGTGTAACGGCCAGTTTTGTGAATGTAGAAATCCATGGAAAGGTATAATATATTGGGCTATTTAACGTATCCTCGACATCAGTTAAAGTAATAATCATGCATTGAGTTAGAGAATTTTTAAAATCTTTTCCAAAGTTTTTTGCTCTATTTAAGTAGATAAATAAAAAAGGTAACCCTTTTCTTGATTCATAATTCGAGTATGTACATTTTTCTTAATTAAAAGTATTATTAAGAAACTATATGTATTGAAAATATGCGTTCTTGTGTGAATAGGTGATGGATGTACTAAGCAGAGTCAGCTTTTATTCTCAACTAATTTAAGTATGAAAACATTTGCCGAGCGATTATTGGACGAACCATTTTGGATAGGGGTCATTGTAGTGTTGATTGTGCTTCTAATAACTGGGATGGTTTACTGTATAAAGAAGAAATGTGCCGACAACTTTGAATGTCTCCAAGAACAAAAGCCAGATGATACAGAAGTCTTTACAAGAACTGGTGAGTGTATCAGTTCAAGTATCATAGTTTGTACCCGTTCTTCGTATTCTCCAATTTTGCCCGTGTGATTATTTTTCTTAATTTTCAATTTATGAGCGTTATAAACACAGTGACATCAAATTTGTAAATGTGAAATTCATCGTTAACGATAAAAGATGGTATCCAATTCACCATGGCGCATGCGCTCAACATTAACTATAAACTGCGCATGCGCAACGAATCACTGTATAATTGCCCTCTATTTCGTAAATTCTTTGCTTTTGTTAATCAATTCCATTATTTTATTGTTACCGGTATGTAATTCTGTATCTCTAATTCGTGGCTGTATTAACCGAACGTATATTGTTTTCTTCATTAGGGGATTATGGTCTGAATAGCTCTAAACGAAAAGGCCAACACTTCGTTATAGACATAGATAACCCAGCAATGATGGACAAACTTGATACCGGAAATGAAGCAACTGGGGTATGTGTAATTCTCCTGTTACTATAAGTATGTTATAACAGATTTCAAGGAACTCAAATACTGCCACTATCTGTATATTCCTATATCTGTCCCACGGCATTAAGTTATATGAACATATTTTCCGAATGCCCCGTCATGTACTTAGTACAGTATACTAACTTTGTTCGTAAAAGGGTCATCCATACATATCCAGATTATGGCTAAATTGTTTATTAACTCGGTATTGACGTTATTCCAATTAAAATGTTTCATAACAGTTGTTTATGATACATTTGATAATAACAGTTATAGTTTATGATATACCGTATGACAGAGATGCAAGTTTTACATCTGGGTTGTGTAGCATAACATTCCAATGACGAAACATTTGACTTGTCACGAAAATCAAATAGTGAAAAATTGAGACCAGGCCGATTATACTTATATTGATTTGCTATTTGTGCTTAGATATTTACTCGTAACTCGACGGATTTGCCTTCCCTCCACAAGTATTAAATTTACCTCTTATTACAGGGTACCCTTGACATGCCTACTTCTCCACGCGTGAACGAAGACAACCTCGAGGCCGCTGCTAGGCTGTTTGCATCTATCAACCATTCACAAGAGGAAGATACAGACAGCAGAAATCTGGATAAAAAAGACGGATTCCACGGTGTGCTTGGTGCATTTAATAAAACTAATTTCACAGAAGTTCCACTTAGGAGGTCACATACAATGTACAACAGTCCAAATTCTTCAAACCAGTTCAAAGGAAGTCACTTACATAAGTCAAAATCTTCAGATTTTGCGAAGTATGAACCTCATTTCGTAAACACACTCAAAGTTGAACCACGTGATGCACGTGACGCATTTCTAGCCAGTGAAATAGCTAAGATAAGGAACAATGTTAGGATAAGACGTGACAGATCTAACAGTGAAAGAAAAAGACATCAATTTGCAGTAACAAAGCAATGTCACTTAGACATGACTCCTACCCCTGTCAATGATAATGTTTTCGATTTCGACTTTGTTGACTCTTCCTTAGTTAAAGGAAATAGGACTGATGACTTGAGAAGAGAATTAAGTCAAATGGGAAAAGCAAAATCAGAAACACACATAGACTACGACATTTGTTCGTCTTGTTCAGAAGAAATAAGGAATACTGAAGAATGTATGAGCGATGGAAATAACAGAGTCAGAGTAAAAACAAGAAAAATCTTGCAAGAATCTAAGAAATGGAACTCTTACGAGGATCGTTTGATGGCACATGCGCAGCACAATCTTTCAACCTGTAGACGATGTTGTAAGTGCTCTTGTTGCTCAAAAAGCCTTAGTTCCCATGGTCGAAGCAGAGCCGATCACCAATATCACCAGTATAGATATCAACATAAACGGAGACATCATAAATCCAAGAAACCGAAGTTCTTTCTCGAAACAGAAGAACCATCGAATACACCATCCAGTGGCAAAACTGCAAAATCGGATCTTCGGAATAAACGTAAGTCGAAGCATCGATCTGCGAAGTGTCATAAGAGTGACTGTTCTGACCCTATCGATAATCCTATAAAGAATTTGCAAGATAATTTGTCAGTATCAGAGATGGGTGTCCCTCCGTATCAAATCAAGAAAGAGTCTGGATACGAATCAAACCAAGGCAGCCACGATCGAAGTGATGAATCAGCCACCGATTTAAGAAAATTAGTAATATTTACGAATCACCGTAATGAGAGCTCAACAGACGGTAAGGACGATGGCTCATCGATATATTATACTGAAACGGATCTTATTGAAAAAAGTTTACAGAAAGATAAAGATAGCATTGCTCAATACAGTAGTATCGCTGTTGATATACACAATGAACCACCTGGCATTTTAGATGATCCCATGGACCCCATTAGTTCTCTCAGATCATGTAATGATATGATCTTTACTAACGATACAAATAAAGCTGCACATATGACATTTTCATCAGATGGTTTCCCCGATGAATGCGAGACTCCACTTACAAAAATCCCAATCTCCGAAGCCGGTGAGTATTCATTATCATCGGATGGATCATCACCTTATAGTCATGGTACCAAAAAACGTCCAGTTGGTATGAGTCTTCAACGCAGAGAACATAGGCTTCGTCGTTTGATGACAGATTCAGCCTACCAATCAAAGGAATCCTCTATAGAGTGGCACAATTCACACAATAGATCCTCCACCCAAGGAAGCCCAAAATCAAACAATAGCAGTTTAAGGTATTTATAAACACCTACATATTTGTTGTATAATTTCGATTTGAATGGCTTTGTATTTTGATCATATATATTGGTAAGTGCTTCGTAAAGTACATTATAAAAACATTATAAAAACAAAAATCTACTTGTAAGTGCGTCTTGGTATTAAAAGACTTAATTGTTCACATATTTAGGATCACAAACTTATTCATAAAAGTTCTATTATTTAGCATAGCATCAATAATTCCTGGGTCACATTTGCTCCGATTGAGTATTTAGTTCAAAATTGTATACAGTTTTGACCAAAATACTCAATCAGCCGTGGGCCGGCCGTCTGATGAATGGGAGCAAATGTGACCCAGGCTTAAATCAAATGCACTATTATGTGTACAAAAAGGTAATGGATACAAAGTAACAGTACATAGCCAAAAGCAACGCACATCCAAACATAATGCGAATTATCCAGAACGAACATTAGAAATCGTATGGCAGATACACAGTGTAGCTTTCTCGCTATTAGCATGTTCTTTCCATACACCACATGATTGCAGATTTTCATTTAGACGCTATTAATAATTTAATATATACTCTATTATTATTTTGAGATTGCACCGTTTAGTGCATATGATTCTCAATATACTCAACCTGTTTTGTGCCTGAGATAAGTGTGAACTGATGATGCATGTATCTAGAACATAGACAAATGTTACAATGGAACTATGATGCATATATAATTAACAATGTTTTTTATCATTTAGATAATTGAAATATGATGCTAACATGTACGTATATAACTGTGTGTATATCAAGGTTGTTGAGATGTAATGCCTTAATATAACAGTGTTGGTTTTATAATTGAAATACGATGCCTACAACTGTGTGTATATATTTAGGTTATTGAAATATAATGCTTATACGAGGGGTGATCCAAAAGTCTTGGACGCCCCGCTCTAACTTTGCTATTTTCTTATATAATTACACGAAACTTTCAGATAATAAAGACCAACATCTTAACAACTTTGTGTGTAAGTTTCAACATAAACTAATATATTTTAGCTACCTTTCTAAATACTTTTTGATACCGGGTCCCTGCCACCCGGAACGGATTTAAATATAGCAAATCAAGTCACAACTGTTATAATATGGCAAATACTTTAGGTGCAGGTGCACAACCTAGCACCAGTCATGATATGAGAGAATTTCCGACTTTCAGTCTGAGTGTCATCTGCCATCATCATCTTCGCATATTAAGACCTACTTTTCAACATATTTTTTACGAATTTGAACACATTTTTCATACCTCTTTACCAATGAATGAAAGACATTTATGAAACAGCAATTGGCTATGTGATACAAATGCTACTGGAGTGCCACTCTAAACCTCATCCAATGAGTAAAAAACATTTTCTTTCAACCCTCCTTTCAACTTGGAGAAAAGGAAGAAAATCACACGGAGCCATATCTAGACTGTATCGTGCATATTGAAGCTGCTCAATGTCAATAATAGTGAAAATATATTGTAGTATTCTTTGTTCCACTTTGATTTCTTTCATGTTCTGCATTTCAGCAGCCATCTTGGAGCAAAAATGACACCAAAATGAGAGATCTGATTATTAGTCCCGAGCCCGACAAATGTTTTTCACAGAGCGGGATATAATAAATCACAGTTACACTGTCACGTAATTTTATAGGGCTCGCGGGATAGTCGCAATTGCAAACACCTTTATCCCGTATGAGCACTTTGTAGCACTGAGCCTCGGGACAGTCAGTTTCTCAAACTCACTGTCCCGTAATTTTTTTTTTGCAAACGACGGGATATAATTAATTGAGACCTGACATATCCCGGCGCTGGGTAAAAAAATTTGCTGCGGGATAAAGTGATTTCAGAACTTGACTAATGCTGATCAAAGTATATGCTATCAAGCCATCACACATCTCTATGTAATTACCATACTATATTACCCTTGCAAAAAAATCCATTTTTCATGACCTCTTTGTAGATCAAAGTATATGCTATGAAGCCATCACACATCTATGTAATTACAATACTACATGTATATTACCCTTGCAAAAATTTTCATGACCTTTTTGTACTGTATTATATCAACATCTGTCTTTTATTTTAAAAATGTTGCTAAAGTTTATTGGGAGGGGTGGCACCTACACACTTGATTCAAAGTGCTATCTGTTATGTGGGGGGGGGGGCATCTTCACACTTCACTCACACCATGGTCTAGAAGAATCACAACTGTCACAATTCCTCATTCCATCCATCTGGTATCATTTAAATAGCCTTGAATATAATATGCAGTATGTACATAAATCCTTGTGTGACATCCTGTATGATTTATTATGCCTATTGCTGCATATGTCTTTCTATTTTTTAATCAGCGAATATATATGTATATAAATCCTGGTGAAGTAATGTGGTCATTCCTTAAGCCGTCTCATATCATTTATCATCCTAATTGTTCATATTCAACAGCTCCTTGCAGCGAATTAAAGAAAAGTTGTTTTTCACGATAAATACTGGTGAAGTATTGTGGCAATTTCCTCGTGTCTATCTGGTTTTCTTTGTCATCCTAATTGTTTGCTGTACATTTCTGAGGACCTGAATAAATCAATAATAAAAACATTTATTAACAAGACACACAGTGATAAATATCGCACTTTGAAGAGCAAACTGGCCACCATGCAATTTATCCAGCATGGCCAAAACCTAATCAGACCTTGGCACTAGTCTGCTCTTGCATCTGTAAACATTTCAAGTTGACAAGGTTAGCGGTTTTCCTGCAATTTTGATGACAAGAATTGATTTGTAGTGTGGAACTTTGGGAAAATTTAGATGACATCGTTTGTGACCTAATTTGATGACCTTCGACCTTGAAAATTTAACTTTTTCAGACCTCAGTAGGTGTTTTGTAATTAAGCTGACCTAAATTTAAATCCAAAATATCAATTTAGAAAATCAACTTTTTTGACCTTTTCAAGGTCACTGAAGGTGAATGAAAGGTCAAATCTGAAATCTAAGGTCAGATTTGAACTTCTGAGAATTTGTAGATGTTTTAAAAAAAAAATTTGGTAAATTTGGAGCAAGTTGAAAAATTCAAAATGGCCGCCAAATTGAAAAATTCAAAATGGCCACCATGTAATTCAGCAAGCATACCCAAAACCTAATCAGATCTTGGCAATAGTCTGCTCTTGCATCTGTAAAAATTTCAAGTTGAACGGATAAGTGGTTTTCCTGGAAATTTGATGACAAGATTTGTTGAAAAATTCAAAATGGCCACCACGTAGTTTACCCAGCATGCCCTAAACCTAATGAGATATTGGCACTAGTCTGCTATTGCATGTGTAAAAATTTCAAGTTGAACAGGTTAGCGGTTTTCTTGGAATTTTGATGACAAGAATTGATTTGTAGTCTCAAACTTTGAGAAACTTGGATAACATCATTTGTGACCTAGTTTAATGACCTTGACCTTCGACCTTGAAAATTTAACTTTTTCAGACCTCAGTAGGTGTTTTGTAATTAAGCTGACCTAAATTTAAATCCAAAATATCAATTTAGAAAATCAACTTTTTTGACCTTTTCAAGGTCACTGAAGGTGAATGAAAGGTCAAATCTGAAATCTAAGGTCAGATTTGAACTTCTGAGAACTTGTAGATGTTTTTAAAAAAAAAATTTGGTCAATTTGGAGCAAGTTGAAAAATTCAAAATGGCCGCCAAATTGAAAAATTCAAAATGGCCACCATGTAATTCAGCCAGCATACCCAAAACCTAATCAGATCTTGGCAATAGTCTGCTCTTGCATCTGTAAAAATTTCAAGTTGAACGGATAAGTGGTTTTCCTGGAAATTTGATGACAAGATTTGTTGAAAAATTCAAAATGGCCACCACGTAGTTTACCCAGCATGCCCTAAACCTAATCAGATATTGGCACTAGTCTGCTATTGCATGTGTAAAAATTTCAAGTTGAACAGGTTAGCGGTTTTCTTGGAATTTTGATGACAAGAATTGATTTGTAGTCTCAAACTTTGAGAAACTTGGATAACATCATTTGTGACCTAGTTTAATGACCTTGACCTTCGACCTTGAAAATTTAACTTTTTCAGACCTCAGTAGGTGTTTTGTAATTAAGCTGACCTAAATTTAAATCCAAAATATCAATTTAGAAAATCAACTTTTTTGACCTTTTCAAGGTCACTGAAGGTGAATGAAAGGTCAAATCTGAAATCTAAGGTCAGATTTGAACTTCTGAGAACTTGTAGATGTTTTTAAAAAAAAGAATTTGGTCAATTTGGAGCAAGTTGAAAAATTCAAAATGGCCGCCAAATTGAAAAATTCAAAATGGCCACCATGTAATTCAGCCAGCATACCCAAAACCTAATCAGATCTTGGCAATACTGTACGCCCGGTATTATTCGCGTGCGATTAACTTTCGCGCTTTTCGCGATGGTGTTAAAATCGCGAAAAATTATCGTCGCGAAATTGCCAATTAAATCCCCGGGAATTTGTTTTTACCCGTGGCTCTGATGCATTTCGTCAACTTCTGATCCCTCCATTCCTACATGTAAGAAGAACTACTGTAAGAAGAACTACAAAATGCATTTCGTTTTGTGTAAAACGTTTCGTCTAGTGTTATTGGGCGATAATTGGATGATTTCCACCAACATGTCTATTTTACGTTGGCTAGTCAGGCCAACTACTACCAATGGGCCTAGGCTCAATAATGACATCGACGATATTATAGAAACTGAAGTTCAAATTGCTAAAAATAACATGAAGTCCAAGCCTGGAACATATAAAGTGTACAACGACGCAGAAAGGGCAAACATAGCCCGGCACGCACTTCTGAACTTGTGAAATTCGCGAAATTTAATAGCCGCGAAACCGTGTTTTCGCAAAATTCGCGAAATTAAAGCTCGCGAATAATACCGGGCGTACAGTAGTCTGCTCTTGCATCTGTAAAAATTTCAAGTTGAACGGATAAGTGGTTTTCCTGGAAATTTGATGACAAGAT